TGGTGCACAACAAAGATAGCGTTGCGTAGTTGCCGGGAGAATTCTTTTGCGAGAACGTGCCGTTTGGGTATCTTGATAAGCGCCATGAAGTGATAGATGTCTTTTAGGATTCTCGAATATACTGGTTGCTGCTGGGTATCCTGCGCATAAATATTTGTGAAGTTGAAGCTTGAAGAGTCGGAACATGGTATATTCGATGTGCTTTGTTCATTGGAGTTGTCATTGGGTTCGTGTGATGTTGACGTCGAACAAGAAGATGTTGACTCCTGATCACTATCGTCTGGTATACTGTCGGTTATATGAGGTGTATCGTGCATATCGTCAGGTATGTTGGCTTGTGATCGGTTGTTGCCTTGATGCGGTGGTTGCTCTCTCCATAAACATAGCGACTTTTTTTCGAATCGTAGCATGGATACCGGTACTGTCACAGCAAAAGGGAGGTCTCCAAATTCCATAAGAGTTTTTTGAGTGTGCGAGTCAAGAATTGCGCCAGGAACACAAACGTGATTGATCGATATATATGCCATGTTGTCGTCGAATGTTATCTAGTAATTCATGAAGAGAAGCACATGTTGTTAATGAATCACATATTTCTTCCAAAGAATATTACGTAAATCGTAAAGTACCTGCTGCTCATTGTGTAATATCTCGCCATATGCAATTGGAAATGAACATTGAAGACGGGAATAAATAGCAACGTACCCACCATGCGGAGGAGGATTTAGTACGGTTTTACCCAGTGTACGAAAACACACAAGCTTTGTATATATCGCCAACGACGCCCACGCGTCCAGCGCTGCATAATACACTTGATTCTCGGAAAGATCTTGTAATTCCCAGTTGCTGTCTCTATCATTTTTCGATCCTACCCCCAAGTACTTCTTCAGCAATTGTAGATAGTCCTACATTTCCATTTTCGATGAAGCCTCGTCTACGAGAGAACTTGCCGAGCTCCTACCCCGTGCCTTCATGATAGTCTAGTCCGTAGTCGCGCTTTAGTTTTTTTAAGTCACCACTAACAATACGGCCAGCTTTTAGGACCTTGGACGACTTTAGAAGAGTTTCGATAGAAGGAGGAATATTATTATACTGGTGGATTGGCAGGATATAGACGTAGCTCTAAACCACAAGTTATTTTGTTAGCGTGAAGCTGTAACTTGCCAAAACGATAGTGTAACAGAACAGAGCCAATACCTTGTATGCTAACTGTAATATTGCCACTTTGCCAGGGGAAGCATGTCGACTGAAGTTCCATTCGCAATCCAAACCAATTACAATCGTTTGTGGATCAATATCACACAAGATGGTGTTCGTAATTTTTTCTTCAGCTTCGGTTTCATTGCGTATGTAGTGCGTAGTAATAAAGGTTGGCAGGTGTAATATGTGATTGTTGCGGGTAGATCCAGTTAAAGTCAAACTGTTCATCTTGGGACCGTTCTTCAATGAGCTGATATTATCAAGTAGGAACGCCTTGTCTCCCCGGACGTTGTCAGTAAAAAATAGCTGCGGTGGTTTATACCCGTACATGTCGTATGTTTTCATCATTTCCTTTAAAAGGCGTCTGTAAATGCGATAATGACTTGGTGGGGACTAGCAATTGCATTCGTATCTCCTCATACTCGTTACATATAGTATATAGAGCGCCAAAAGTCGGTGCGTCACCCATTTTTGCAACTTTCTTCAAAAACTTGAATGTGTGGTCTCCCTTGAGTATCTCTCCATCAATAGTAACCATCTGCTTGTCCATAATTGGCCGAAGAACATCCATGATAGTATTGTATATGAGTCGAAAATATGGTATAGAAGGAACGTATCCAGCGTATCCTTGAGAAACCTTGAATGTCGAGAACTCAGGGTAGCTTCTGATGCGATTTTCGGTCTCCTTGTAAGTTGGGTTCGTTCGACGATGTATTTGATATAGGGTGTATATGATATGCAGTCGGATATGGCGTATGAGGTGCAGCTCCTGTAGCATATCTTGAAAGTTTGCAACTCCCATACCGTGCTGCATACATGGTCGTAAAATGTCAATGAGATCCTTAGAGATAGCACACCGATAGGAAAAAATGGCGGGAAATTCTGCTGCTAGTTCGTCGGGCAGCTGTTTCAAGGTTTTTTCATCGTGTGCACCCAATGAGGCATGACAGGTTTTGCAATCATATCGTCTTGACATAATATAAAAGCATCTTTCAAACACATAGTTCGCTGTTAAAGGCTTGCCATGATTGTTGCTGCTAATAATTCATACCTGTTCATGTCTACCACTCCACGTGCATAAGGATCCTTGTAGAAGCCTTTATCTTCAAGTTTGCTTTTTTCAAAGGTATTTTCGTCCGCCTCATTGTAGCACCTCGGGTCGCGGCAGTACAATCGATCAACCAATAAATGAGGGAACCATAGAAATACACGAGGAAAGTACAATGGCTTGGGATTTAATATACTTTCGTCTCGTAATGCAAAATAAGGCGACTTTGGCTCAATCCAAAAAGTTCCATTCTTGTATTCCCTTGGATAACCACCATCTTTGGTCTTGATACGATCTTGGATACTTAAGAAATACTGGGCGAGCACTCCGAAACTTTTTTCTTTGTATCCTCTGTCGTCATCATTGAGTGTTTGTACTTCGTCAGGGATGGGATCTTCCTCGTTTTCCACGCCAGTATCATAATTAGTATGATTTTCTTCCTCTAATTCGTCGATCAAGTCCTTTAAAGTATAGTCATCGTCATCCACACGAGCCTATATAATCGATACAATAAGTATATGTATGTGGTGGCCCTTTCCGGATACAACCTGTTGGGAGGAAACTTCACAGCTTGGTTGCTCATTGATATCGGGTGGTGAGGCTGTGGCCTCAGCGCTTGTTGTGTCGCGTTGTTCTGAAGAAAGGTAGCGCGAAGGAACGTATTGCATCAAGCTCGTCTGACCGCGAGCGCGAGCCGAGGAGGATTTCTGCTTTTTATTTTTGCTACCTAGAGGTCTACCGCGACGACGTTTTCCATCTGACCGAGAAGTAGAATCACCCATTATTTGTCAAATACGTTATGAGGAGGTGATAGAGTGAGAAAAAATACAAGACGAAAGACCCGTGTAAAAGTGCTGTCGTTGACAGGAACAATCAAAACGCCAACTGATATACCCACACACAAGCGCTACACAGGGGCAACACAAGATATCGGCACACGTAACAACCCCCGTTAACTTGTTATCTCATTGGCTACCCTCACACTTTGCACCCAGAGAGCAGTTGCTTAACTTTTAATATCATTGGATGAGAGTCTACCCCAGTAGCTTTAACCCCGCCCTTTTTCTTTTTTCGTGAACAGAGTTGCTAGTCGTCAGTGAAACATTAATCAACAGTTTGATCGCCTTTCATTTGCCCAATTCGTAAATGTCCATATTACATATAGCTAATACTACTACATATGTATACTACATAAGTAATGCCCTCCTACAATACTGTTACACTACTATATACATTGTAACCAAGCCCCTCTGATAGCGCTTGAGGGTGGTTCTCAATCTCGCACAAGAATTAGTCGTGACCTTTGTTTTTCACTTTTAATAATACAAATATGCTACATTTAAGCGTCATTTTTAGTATACATAGGCATGCGAAGATTTTTTGGGCAAATATTGGAATCAAAAAGTTACTGAGTTATCATTCATTTGCGATATTTTACAAGTACATACTGTAGTTTTTACTATATTAAGGAATGCATTCTTTATGACAACAACGTAGATTCATGATGTTAGAGAAAAAGGCTGAGGGCTTATGCGGAGATACCGATTTTTTCATATATGAAGGGTTGTCGTCGCAGACTAGTACTAACCTCACTACTCGGGCCACCACCATCATCGTCTTTATCATTTGCAATGGACCGTGCGTAACAACAAGAGTTTTTAAATCACCTTTTGAGACGTGTAGTGCCATCTATCCATACAAAAACAGATTCGCTTCCAGGTACGTTGGTAACTACTATATTCATCGCATTGAAAACATGTCCTACCTCCCTTTTTTTAAGAATTTTAAATTCTCTTTTACCGATAAATACCGATAAAGAGAGAGAGAGAATTTATTTCTGCATTACCTGCATACTCAAACATGATTAGGGTTACGTACTCATGTAATTGTACATAATGTACAATTTACCTTTACGCGTACAATGGGGAATTTGACATGTTGCGAGTGGTGTATACATACTTTAATATACAATGCGCAACAAGCTTTTCTTTATTTGATATGCGCTGTCAAATTTTACTGCCCGAAACATCTCAACCCTTCGTGGCACATGTTTGATGTTGCAGCACTTGCTACAACCAACAGGCCGGTAACGCTCTTTTCAGTTTGAATTTCATTTATGTGCTCTTTCTCATATACTGCCATTTACGAAATGTGACGAAGAATGAGGATATCACTGATCCACACACGTGTGTGAAATTTGTTAAAGATATTTGTCAAATCACACAATATCATGTTAATTGTAGTCAGTTCCGCCAGTTGCCCTTTTGCGTGTAACCTCCAATAATAATTTGCATACAAAATAAGCCCAACTGTTCGCAAAGCTCAGGTCTCGATTCGATTCCATGGTGATTGCGATCCATAACTCCACGGCTCTCCACATTTTTTGTTGTAACTTATACCAAGCGTGCTAAATAAGGCTAGTTGCAATTTCTTCCGAGCATGAGTGAAGGTTTGCTCTGTTGTGCGTGTGTATGCCACGCCTACGACGCCTAAGCTTTTGAACTCGCTGCTGCAGTTGAGTAAATTAAGGGGGATATTTAAAAATAGCCACCGCAGCCGTTTTCTTTCTGTAGTTATATGAACCACAGATCAGAGGCTTTTCACGATGTTGCTCTACTGTAATACTACTTAGCGTGGATCACTGGATAATGAAGCTTGCGCTTGTTTACCTGTTTAATTTACATCCAATTCGGAGCTGATAAAAGCATGGGAAGCTCGAAAGATTCTTCGGAGCCTGCGCCGAAATATAATAAATACTCTTCCTTTCGGTCCCATATTCTCAAAAGCTCCCCACTCCCGTCCAAACCCACACCACTCAATATCCGACACCATGGTTACGCTTCCGAGCCGCGATCAACTTGTTGACCTTTTCAACGAAGTCAATAGCAAATTATCTCCGCGCCAACAGACCGGTATCATTACTGCTGCTACTGCGGTCACTGCCTACTTTTTATACAGACAGCTTTTTGAAAAGGTAACAACAATAGCTGTAGTAGGAGACTTTCGCTATTGTGTTACCCCCTCTCTCTCTGTGTATATAAAATTTGGGCTTCCGTCAAAAGTCTGACCAGATATGGAAATTGCAACTAGTCTAAAGATCAATGCCCCGCTGTTCCTTATCGAATCCCGATCTTTGGATCAACAAAAGAGTACGCTGAAAATCCTCAAGCTTTTGCTGAGAAATGGACCGCAGAACTAGGCGAAGTGTACCGTGTCCATTTATTTGGAGCTGTAAGTCTTTCATGTATGTGTGTGTGATCTATGGTTGGAACAGAAGAACTAATTATGACATAATAAACTGTCCGAACAAACACACTTAGATGTCCACTGTCGTTTCTGGACGTTATGTGCGCGAAATCCTGTTGAATCCCAACTTCAACTTTATTACAAGTGTTACCAAGGTAGGATTGGCTTTTTCTAATCATCGTCATATATTTATACACACATAATGATTCTTTAACATGACTAATAATTAATCTTATATATCAGAGATTTGATATGAATGCGCTAGCCCGCATTCCTGCCCATATTATTACGGGTGATACATCCAGAAAAATCGTTGTCAATAAGCTGACGCCAAATCTGAAGCGTTATACCCCACGCGCTGTTGAAAGTGTACGTCTAAACTATAATGCTTTGATGATATAATTTAGGTAATGACATTTCAAATATTGATCACTTGCCCTACTACTTTCATTAGCTCATTGTCGGTCTGCAGGATATCGTTGGTGATCTCAACGGTATGTAGTAAAATAAGATCATCATGTTTTCTAATATCCGTATTCTTATGAGACTACTGTATATCATTTTTCTTTTTACTATTTTTATAGAACCCAAGGAGCTACCACACGTCTATAAACTTGTTCAGCGTATGGTAGCACGTGCTAGCGCTTCAGTCTTTGTTGGTGAGGAACTTGCCAAGAATGATGAATTGATTGATATCTTTCAAAACATCACAATTGATATTGGATCTTTGCTTCGACCCAAGATCCCTATCATGATGTTTTTCCCTCGTCTGATGGGTATGCAGATGCGGTAAGTAGTTCCCACCTTTGCTATGTATTTTTTCTCAATAAATGTCATAGAATTAGCATTTGATAATAACCAATAATCCCTTACAGTCTTTTGGGCAAATTCTCGCCGACAGTGCAAGGCTACCGACAGAAAATGATTGAAGGCATGACGCCCGAAATTGAAAAGCGTTTAGAGGGTGCCAAGAATCCCAGCTGGGAGAGACCAGTATGTCACTTACTGTTTGACAAAAGAAACCGCTCAACATTGTAAGAAATTGTCTACTAATAATTATTAAAGGACGATATCCTTCAAGATTTATTGGAAGACAATCCTCCTGAACCGGGTACCTCGGTTGCAGAACATTGCGTCAACTGGATGTTCTCTCTAATTTTTGCTTCGGTGCACACTACGAGCGAAAATGCCACCGTTGTGATTTATCGTTTGTTGGAAAATCCAGAGTTGATGGATGAGCTTTTGGAGGAACAGAACGAAGTTTTGCGTCGTCATGGCGTTGAAGCTGGCAAGGGCAGTGAGGCATTCTCTTTTGATATTATCAAAGAGTTTGTCAAACTGGACAGCGTGTGTCGTGAGGCATTGAGATTGAAAAACCAATATTACGAGCTTTCTCATACCAACATTTCTGGCAAGAACATCGTGTTGAGTAATGGCGTAGTCATTCCTCCAGGTATACAGCCTGATATTCTTTTTTAGCAACCTCAATGACAGCTAGTCGAGAAAGATTTCGTGTATACGTATTCATTAATTACCTTTGTTTGATTGTAGGCCAGGATGTCTATATCAACTACTGGTATAATCACCGTGATAGCAACTACAACAAAGCTTCCACGGGCATCGACCTTGCCGAATTCCAACCATGGCGCTTTGTCAATACTGGCCGCCCTTCCACAAAAGTTAGCGATGACTTCCTTCTTTTCGGTGAAGGAAAGCACGCTTGCCCGTAAGTTTTTTGAGCTCATATTGTAAATACTAACGATAATCCATAAAACTCACACCAACACACATCACGCATTTTCTTATGAACGACCTCAGTGGCCGTTGGTTTGCCATCCAAGAGATCAAAACTATCATCTCTCTACTCCTTCGCGATTACAACATTCGTTCAACTGAGAAGATCAAGTTCCCTAATACGATCATGACTGGCATGCCCTCTGGCAAGTTTATCATTGAAAAGAAGTTGAAGTAGGGGAAAATGTACAAAAATGTCGCTTCAATATTATCATGTAGCTCTCTCTCTCTCCCTATCATACTACTTTATACATTAGCTAAATCATATTACCTTTCACTATACACTCTTTTCTACTATGCAAAATTGTATTTATCGTATCCATTCATATACTACTTATACGATATCATCACCATTCCTTTTACAATTGCTCATGGACATAGCACTTGCTTATTTTTGTAAAAACGACTATCCTTCAGTGGTTCATTAGAGAAAAAGAGGAAGACACAACCGCCGTATACAATAAGCCACGTGGCTGCTTTATGCAATGTCCACGCGATGAATTAATATCTTTTATAACTCGGTAAATCAAATAATTGATCGTTTTCTGCATAGCGAAACCGGTTATGTGGTCATAAAGATCGAACTACAATGCGGCTGCTTTATATGGATAATGATTTTCCGAGAAGCTTAACCAATCGTCCAGCTACAAACATACACGAAACATACAACCATATCACACAACTCAAGTTACTTACAGGATCCGCTATCATCGTTCCTTCTCACGCAATCTAGTTTCATCCGATACATTAGCTCATACTTTTCCCTTCTTCGTGATAAGTCGATCATGAGGCGATAAACCACCATTCAAGTATGAAAAGGTGTAATAATAATAAAAGAAGAACTATTTATTACAGCATGCTTTTTTTGTCTATACTTTTCGAATTGAATTTACATGTTTTCTAAAGGGAGGGTCCGCCAGCGATGACAATGCCTGGTCCTCTTGTGGACGACAAGACAACGTTTTGAATGATGCCTAAATACATGAAAGTAAGTTACGGATCCCTCACATCTAGTGGTCTCCACTTGTTATTTCTTTTAAATCTTTACCTTTGAGATTATTTGTTTTGCCAAACGTCCGTAATTCTTCCAAGATGGTCTTGAGGTTGGCTAAATTTATAGAACCAGCAAATATGGATGAGCATTTCGATCCTTATACATAGTAACTAGTATTGATAACCAGCCACTACTGGTCACTCTGCATCATCACCAGCTTACCTTCAATATCGGTTCCCTCAAAGTTCACCTTGCCAATACCTACAAAATACAACAGCGTTCAGTATTCACAAATAACTGCATTACGGATAAATCTTATGTTTCTGTACCTGTGTGCAAAACACCACGCTTGTCTCCCTTGAAATCAAATGCACCCTTGGATGTCCGTACAATATTAGCGATATCATCAGTAACGGTTCCTATATTTTCGTGAAAACAAGTTAAAAAGAGTGTTTCTCATCCTTCTCATCAAACCGACATCCGATATTTTGCGTAATCCTGTTTTTCAAGAAGGATTTTCCGTCTTTACCCTTTTTAACAGTGGGCATCAGGCCCTTGGGACCCAAGACTCGAGCAATTTTTGTGACAGCAGGGAACATGGCAGGCGTTGAGATACACTTGTCAAACTTGAGTTCACCATTCTGGACCTTTTCAATGAGTTCTTGACCGCCGACAAAGTGAGCGCCGGCAGCAACGGCTTCTTCGGCCTGCTTGCCAGAAGCAAAGACAAGAATAGTAGCCTCTTGCTTGATGCTGCGAGGCAACACAACCGATCCACGAATAAGAGGCGTCGACTTTTCGATTTTACACTGTACGTGTGCTTCGATTTGGTGTTGAGGATGGCCGACTTCGAATGCTTTCAGTACGCGCACAGCTTCTTGAATGTCAAGAGCGTCTGGATTTTCTCGTGCTGCTGCTTTCTTCTTCTTCTTGGAGACAAATGTGCGAGTGAACACGGTTGGTGCTGCTGCTGCGTTCAATGAGACATTGAGTGCAGATCGTAAAGTAAATGCGGTGCAGCGTCGGCCGGCAGTGCGTACAATGGGTAACATTGTTGAAGTTTGTTTTTATGAAAGGTTCATTAACTGGTGTGTGGCCGCCACAAACCACAAAACCTGGGCAATTTGGATCTCCGTCAAACGTACGGTGGCTATTTTTGTCAAAGAACCTGCTTGTTGGATAAATCATGCTTTTCAGGAGTAAACAGCTAATATGATGATTGCAATTATGTTATGTTACAGTATGCTTCTTTGCAAAATATATATAATCCACACCAAGGTTGTGTATATTTTGTTTTGTGTGTACACATAAAGCAGAAAGAAAGTGATAAAGGGATGCGTTCTCAAACATATAGAATACAGAAAGGAAGAGAGGAGGAAAAAAGAAATAGACGCAGTAGAGAGTAGAAGGAGAAAAGAAACAACAACAAGAGACAAAAATGAACAGAGTGAAATGGACGAAGGGAGAAAAGAAAGAAGAAGAAGATTGAAGGGAAAACGCAATAATTATATAAAAGATGTCATGTTTTTTTGGAAGGGGTGGTGCTGCACTGCTATTGCTATGCTGAATCATCCCATTCACGATGGACTCTCTTTCTGCTAGCTGCATACATTGCTGCTGCAAAGTTCGCTTGTGAGGATGGTCCGCCTGGTTGCTGTTGTTGCTGCTGCTGCTGTGGATGTTGCTGCTGTCCAAAAGCCATCCCCATACCATCGCCGGCCCCAGCTCCTGATGCTCCAGCAGAACCGTATAACAATGCGTTCATAGCCGCTGGATCCATATTGACGTTGGCAAATAAAGAAGCTGGATCAAATCCTCCGCCAGCTGATGATGTTGCATCGTTCATTCCATACGATGACTGATTCATGCCTGCGCCTTGTAGTCCAAACAGCGCTGGATTGCCAAACAAGTTACCAGCGAATGAAGATGGATCGTTAGGGTTGTTAGGGTTGTTATTTGGACGGTGTTGCTGTTGTGATTGTTGCGGATGTGGTGGTTGGGTTTGTGGTGGTTGCTGCTGTTGAGGAGGTTCCTGGGGTCGTTGTTGCTGTTGTTGCTGTGGACTGTATATATCTGCTTGGTTCATATCAGTGAATGGGAAAGATGCGCCAGACGAGGGATTGGGTGCAAACGAAGTGTCCCCGAGCATATTCGAGCCTAATGATGCGAATACATCTTGCTGGCCCATCATACGGTCCCCGCCTTGGTTCATCGAAAAATCCATGTCGCGGAACAGCAGCTGATCCATCGGCGCCTCGCCACCAGCACCCGTGAATCCCATTAATGCGGGATTATTAAATAACATGCCAGTACCAGTCGACATCATGTTGTTAGATGTTGCATTAGATAACTGTTGAGGATATCCCATTGAATCGGCCATTTGTTGTGGCTGCTGCTGCTGTTGATGATGTTGATGATGGTGATGATGTTGTTGTTGTTGTTGAGCTTGCTGTGCCAATGCCCCAGGCTGGCGTGAACGGTCGGAAAGGGATTGTTGTGGTGATGGAGTCATAGGAATCGGGCTCGGCATAGTTTGTTGACGTGGATGAGGTGATAAACTAGCAGACAACATTGTTGCTGGTGAAGATTGATGGTGCTGGCCGAGTCCCATGGATGGCGATGCCTGGGCCTGTTGGCCCATACCGCCGACTGGGGTTGCTGTAGAAACAGGAGGTTGCTGTTGCTGAGGCTGTTGTTGTTGTTGTTGCTGCTGTTGCTGTTGCTGTGGTTGGTTTTGATTCTGGTTGTTTTCAAAGACACCTGGATGGAATACCGAGTAAATGGATTGCTGGTTCACTAGATCCTCGTTCACTGCCGGCAGCTTGCTGAGATCGTTTGGCAGGTTGTTTTGCTTCAAGAACGACTCAATACTCTCGATAATCTCATTCACTTTCTCCATGTACAGTAACGGTGAGTTTCGTAATACGTTTGCCGTAAGAATCAAGTTACGTTGGGCGAGACATGCCACCTCCTCCTCATTTGACAATGCATTGCTTTGATGAATGGATACACTGGCGATGACACCATCCAAGGCATAGAAGAACTGACACCAGCAAAGATTCTTGGCATAGATGTCCAATAACTTGGTGATAAAGTTGGCTGACTTGGTGCAGATGTTGAGCGATAATAATGCGACGGGCGTGGCGGTCTGATTCTGTTTTGGCAAAAAGAATTTGTGGAGCATGACCCATGTTGTCTGATATTGAATGTTAAGGATCAAACTTGCTTCATCCTTGAACGTGTCAGTCTTGTTAAAGATATCCTCCGGTTCAAAACGTAAGTACTGTGGAAGCTCGTTGAGCCATGTTGTGAGCGCGTTTTCTAGCCGCGAGATAGCCGAGAGGAGCGACTGGCCCGATTGTTCGGATGGCAGATGTTTGGTAATGTCCTTACGGATCTTCATGAGCTTGATCGAGTGGACGCAAAAGTCTATCCGGTAGCCTGTCTCCTCATCTTCAAAGTCCAGCTTGGTTGGGTATTCGAGGTCACAGTCCTTGTCATCCACCATGGTTGGTCTATTCGACTCGAGCGCTGCACACAGATCGAGCCAATAAGCAGACCACCACAGGCGTTTGCTTGTCTCGCGCTGCTTCAGGTCGGCAGGCATGTGCTCCTTTTTGTGAAACTTCAGGTCCTGCGCCATCCGAATAGCTAGTCCAATATACAAGTAGGCCAAACTTGATCGTTCGCTGCTGAGTTGGTACATGTACAGATTGAGCAATGCATGTACCGTCGTCGCATTGCTGATATCAAAACATTTCTTGAGCAGCTGTCTTGCATTTTTGAAGTATGCTTCGCCCATGGACGACGGATCCTTGCCGGGACACGCGTTGTGATAGATGCATCCGTGCTTTGCCACCCATGCACTAATTGAGTTGGCAAGTAGCGGATCCAAGCCTGCTTCGCTCGCATACTGCTGCATAAACGCCTCCTTGTCCACAATTTGGTACGCCAAAAAGCACTTGTGATAACAGGTCTGCATAAGATTGTCCAGCGTTGCTTGTGGAATGGTATCGTCTGCCGATTTTCGCTCCTGGAGAATCTTGCGTGCTTCATTGTCGTCTACTTCCCAGAGTCTTCCGCCTCCTGCCCCAGATCCACCGCCACTGCTGCTACCACCGCCAATAGCACCATTGCTACTGCTAGTGCCTGCTGATTGCGAAGGAATTGTGTCGCTTGCTGGTGTCATCACAGTGTCGCTCGACTCTAGCGGTTTTGCTCTGTGTTGCTGTGCATATCGACCCCATGCTTTATGCTGTCGCGGCTTGTTGCCATCGCCTCGAATTGAATCGGTGCTGAACAAATTAGTAGTGGAGTCGCTGTTGATATTGAGCTGGCTAATGCCGTTCAGCAAGATTCTGTATAAATCGGCTACGCTTGCAATGTTGGTATCGATACGTAATCCGGAGGGTGATAGCGACAGTCGCCAAGTTACAGGTTGCTGCGGTTCAATCATCGTCATCGGTCCGTTCTCCTGTGAAATAGCAAGTTGATCCATTACGACAGGGCTGCTACCTAGTGGTGATACCCCTCGAGAGCTGTTCATATTTTCTTCGTCGACAACACCAGAGGAAGACGCAAACCCCACACTATCGCCTGCGGTGCTGCCGCTGCCTGGAAACGGATGCAGATTATTTTTAATCATTGCTAATTCCGTCTGCATCTTTTGCATTCGTTCCTTTAACTCCTCGACATGATTGCCAAGTTGGTCAAACGCCTGACCGTCGACTCGTCGTGGAGGCGTTGCGTAACTGCATGGAAGACCCGCATTGGCACATCGACCGCATGTCGGTTGTACAAAATCACACTTGACTTTCTTTTTTCTACATCGAATGCACTAACAGGATAATAGTTGGTTTTGTACAATAATGCTTAATTCTTGTTGTTCAAATATATTCTCTTTGTACTCCCTCCTCTTTTATATTGTCTTTAGGTTTGTTCTAGAAGGAAATGTGCTATTTGCTTACTGCAAGACTGGGTCGCGGTCGCTTCGGCCTTGCAGGTTCAGGTGGTTTCTGTTGTTGTGATTGATTAAATCCACCCGCAGAATTGTCGGACACAAAGACAGACGACATGATTACACGATGCTTGGAACAAACACGAAAGGCGCTCCGAGCAGATCAAGCAGGAATAAGTATGTGGAGAAAAAACAGATCGTTGATGAAGTAACTGCTGCTGAGCTTTGACGGAAGAAGAAAAAAAGATGCCAAGGGGCTGTATTTCGCCAGCACCCAATCACGGAAATCGATTCGGATGAACTATTTCCCTCTGCCGATTCTAAGCAAACCGTTCTTATAACGTGAAAGCCATTTCCTTATGTTGTATTTCCAAGAACACACTTTAGTTCTAAGCTTATCGTTGTTGAAGCATAGTAAAAACAATCCTCGGGGGGCGACCATAGCTATAACACATATTGCGTTTAGTTGCCATGGTAGTTCTCTCCCCCGTCCCCCGCACGTTTACGTATGACGGGAAATGAACATTTTCCAAACAACGGAAATCTGCAACAAATGGTATGGGAAACCAAAATCAGTAAATGAAACCAACGTTATAGTGATATTTGAGGTCCCAGTAATTCGAGACCTGCTGTTACATTCTGATCACATGACAAGAGACAAGATCCGGTCTATAATATACAGAAGCTTCAAGGGGGAAATTGGATTTACATATATGTTGCCATCACCGAGTCCCTCATCCCAACTACGCAACTACCAAAGATTTAATGTCTTGATCGTTTCACAATCGCTGCCAACAGGGCCGCACCCACAGTGACAACGCCGCCCACTATCGCCAGACCAATTGCTCCCTCTAATAAAGATCATCACCGCAAAATAAAAGATTTGTGTAAGCGAAAATTGGCATATGCCAAAGCAAGCAATATTCGTTGTCTTACCTTTGGACACCTTTTCATCAATTCGCCTATCCAAATCACGCGCTTGCTCGTTTCTTGGCTCATGCTTGAGCAGCTCTAGATTGAATTTGCGTGCTTCAGAGTAGTTTCCAATCTTGTAATGACCGATGGCAAGATAGTACAGGCACTCTCGACGTCTTTCTGGTGAGTCATGGAATATTTCTATACAACCGTGCTGCTAGTAAGGAACCATACAATCCCACAGATTCGTAACAGATAAAATGTAGCATAACCAGACACTACTAGCAACCCTTCCCTTTCTTGGCAAAACGCTCTTACCCTTTTCACGTCATATACAACATACCTGTCAATAACTGTATTCCTTCGCCAATTTGCTGTCGATCTGCTGATCGAATCAGACTCCAAGCATAATTGAATTTGGTTTGAATGGTCACATATTCGCCTTCTTTAACGAATTGTCTGCGGAGAACCTGTTTTAATTTGATAAGTATTCACGGCAGCAAAACGATCCCGAATCTTAAATGTTAGCAAATACCTCAATTTCAGCAGGACTCAATGGAGATTCTGCTTCTTGCGCCATGGGAATACTTTCACTCTTCATTGTTACTGTTGTTTGTACAAATGGTATAAATGTATATTCTCGTTAGAGGAAAAGAAAGGGCCAAGCAAAGCAAAAATGGACTTCCGAAACGCATCATGCACCAAAACTTCGGCTAAACGAAGCACCGCAAAACAGAAGCACAGTAAGCCAGGTCATCGTGACATCAAACTTTTTTTTCTTTACAACAGAAGCTTTTAAACCTTGCAAAACCAACATGGAGCTAGCTTATAAAAGTAGGATAACGCTTATAAGTATGAAATACCGGGTCGCTCGATACAGTCAAAGCGAATAATAATACTGGCAGATATTGCACAACGATTAAAGATTGACTTCTGACTCTAAGCTGATCATTCCTGCACCATCGATTGACAACTAAAGGCCACAGGCTGTCGCTGACACAAAACTGTTATCAACAAGCAGTGTACACGATCTATCTCCACAATAAGCTAACAAAAAAAGGTACTATACAAACATGAACATCTTCTTACCGTAACTAGTAAATGGGACTGAACATTGGTAAAATAACCCATTTCGTCTGAAATGATGCTACTTTTGTTAGTATCTGTACTTAAAAGCTGGAATAAATGTAGTTGCAAATAATGCTCGCTATAATTCGGTCAGCTAATCCAGCTATCTTCATTCCTGCTGGTTTGAGGAAACGTGTTAATAGATCGATTCAATCACGACATTCACGATTAACAAAATGGATCATCTTTTTGTTTCATTCGTCCTTCTGAGAGGAAACTGAAGCTCTTATATTATGTATGATAGCTCAATTTCTAGTTTGCTCTATTGCCATCATTTAAACATTTCAGCATATCTCCTGCTTCAACGAACATACTTGAAAAGTAATGCTGAGCATAAGCAGAGGCATACAAATTCAATGGACGTTGTGATTGATCTTCTATTTTAGGCTACTCTGATAGTTGTATACATAACACTATAACAGGTGTCATACAGATTGGTATTACGTTTTCAATTAGTATGATAGTAGATGCATGTGCGCATAATGCGATATGTATATGTATATGTATATGTAGACAAATTAAATCGAAAAGCTTAAGCCTTGCTGCTGCGTAACCATGATCATATGCCTCAGCTACCACTGTTCCAGTTAACAATTGAATATTTTTGTTTTGGACGCATCAAAACATCTGCCGACAACTAAAAGAGCATTAGAGAGACGGAAATCGCGAAGCCGGGTGGTATATATCAATTACTAGAGGACGCGTATCTTGCACGAGAGAGTTGTTGGAGGGATATTGTCAGGACTCCAGTAAGGACAGTAGTAACCATGTAAAATCTGGGTCCTAAATAAACATGCAAGGATCTGAAGCCAACCATTAATAACGATACAAGGTAACTTTGTTGCTATTGTTCTGTACCTTCATACGGAAGAACACCAGCGGTATCTTCCTCCACAAGTATACTGTTGTACTAACAATAGAGTACAGTAATTAGCCATTTCGTGAAGAACTTGGATAGCGTTTGTGTGTATCTTCTAAATTTACTGTTGAAGAATGAGTTTCCGTAGGATTTACCAGTAGAAGTGCAAGGGCGGCAAAAAATGAGTAAATCAATTTAATAAGATCAAGCCATCAACATCGGTTTTTTCTTCCGCTAGTAGTCATCTCCTTCATCGAAATAACCAAATAATGTTAAGAATATAAGCCAAACATGTTTCGTAAAAGTGCAGACCCGCCTGAATGCTGATGTAATCGACAACAAACTAGTAAGGAGTCTTATCAATGATTTACTACTCGCGCATCGGGCATAAAAAGGTCGTCGTCTCTTGGGGGGGCAGGGAGAGATGCAGAGGAAGCGGATGGATTATGTATACCAATGGCTCTCTATCGCTCTCGCTTTTTAACACATCAATTATAGAGGCACGAGCAGGTGCTAATAACAACCGGAAATGATGGTGATAATTTGCAGCGACAACAAACATCTAATACTAGTAATGAGCTTGCCGCTTTTTCTCACAAACATGTACATTAAGCAGTGTCATGCATAACGTGTATGATACAGCGCACCGCTGGCTATTCTCACTACAAGCTAGTTCCCGACACGTCCATAATATTGACGACTTATACATGTTAAAAATGTATACTAAACACATTTGTGTATTGTAAGGTCAGTACAGTAACGGTGCGTATCGAAAATTAATACAATGAAGAAGCAAAACCTTCAAAAGTGCAAGTACATTCAAAAACGGGTCGTTACTGAAAATGGAACTTTGACTTTATTTCATTTACTACAAATTTAAAAGCCTACTTTGTAAACTACTACAACAGACTACTGCAAATGACGAAAGTTCTCACGATTCTTTCGGAAAAAATCAAGCAGGGTCATGGGCTGATGATGCAATGCATGCTCCAAATCTTGAGTGACCTTATCCGTCAGACCTTGACTAGCGAGTCGGCTACATTCCAAGAGTGTCTCGATGACCTTTTCGCGAATGAATGATCCGACCGGGAACAAGTGCTCGTTCTCTCTGTGACCGCGGCGGAAGCGTTCGTCTTGTCGAATCGAGTCAAGATAACCGCGCATATCGTCCGGACTGATTTCTTCGTACTCTAGGTGCTCCCTATCGAGACCTTGGGCCATGTGCTGCGCCATTTCTTCTCCGGTAAGGCACCGGTCACTGGGTGTAAACTCAAACAAAGTAATGTTCTTCTTTAGCATCACTGGATTTTGCTGTTGTTGCTCCTGCTGCTGTTGTTGTTGTTGTTGTCGATGATGATGGTTCTGTCGAGCGGGAAACAAGATTCGCCACAAAAAGAACCGGTTATCGTCTTGCTGTTGCTCTTGTTGCTCTTGTTGCTCTTCGTCATCATCTTCTCCTTTTTCAAAAGAGAGATTGTAAATGGCCTCAATACAGTCGCCCAAATCAATCATGGCAAATCTGACGCCTTTCTTGATCGTCATGCGTAGTTTGTTTTCCCTCTGGACCATTGGCATCAGCCCGTAGAAAGCCGAGTAAAACATGGGCAGCCGGAAAACAGTATAGTGTTCCGAGTTAAACTCGTTGCACATGATTTGTTCCAGTCGGTAGTAGGTATTGAGGTTTGGGTAATCCCCATACTTTGTGGCATGATCTACACCGAGTCTGACGGAGGTATATAGCACAGTCATTATGTAATATACAATTTTAGAGTCAAAGACTGCACTTGATCAAAATGGTATCCCCGGTGAATAAAAGTATCTTACATCGAAAACATGGCAACATAATCCACCTGCTGTTTCTTGGCTGCATTTAACACATTATAACCTTGCTGAAAACGGTCGCTCGAGTATTCCGGAATGAACATGAGATAGGACACGTCTTTAAGACCCTTTTCGATCTCGTGGTGATCCATATAGTTGGTCTCAATTGACTCGCCACCCATCTTTTCAAGCTCTTGCAGCTCTTCGCGGCTACGGCAGAACAAACGGAGCTTGATGTTGTGCTTTTCCTTGTCGAGATGTTTCAAGAAAAAGAATGCTTGAGCATAACCTACCAACGAGTCAACGTTGGTAATGGCAAAGATCATTTCTTTTTCTGGGACGGCCATATGAGTTTAATGGTAGATAAAAGAGAGAGAGAGAGGAAGAAACAATTGGTGCTGTACCAGTAAATGGTATGTTTCTTGCTGCTACTACAGTAGGTGTATTTATATAGCACGATAATGAGCAATAGAAACATTGCTTGCTGTTCAATTGTTTTATGATTTCCATTTCTTTTCGTGGGTAAAATAAACCAAAATAACAAAGGGAATATCTTGTTTTTGACAGGTCGTGCATATGTGTCATACGTGCTATATTGTGTATCCAAAGCACAAAACTTGTCATTTCTGAAATGCTTCCTTACAATTACTTGTTCAAATAGCGGCGATTGGATTTTTGATTTTTGCTAATGCAGCACGGACCATGACGCTGCTATATACCGGGACAGTTTGCCTGGACTGTGACGCCACGTCAATTTATGAGTTGTCTCTTCAACATTACGTATAAATGAAGGTAATATATTTTTCTCCATCTTGATACTGTCATTCTTTCATGTCATTACAAGAGCAAATGACTGGATGGAAAGCAAAAGGGGGCTGATCTGATGACAATATAGGGTACGTCCTACGTGTGTGTGTGTGGTGTGTGTGTGCGACCTGCCTCAAATGTAAGACTCGCGCGTGTAGGGCGGCGGTGGTCGCACGACGAAAGCGCACAACAATACACACGGCAACAACCCCTATACATAACATGTAATATAGAGCAACGATTCTCTTTCCGACCGAAAAGGCATACTGCATCACCCCTTCTTCTCTCTTTCTTTTCTCTTTTCTCTTTCGCTGCTCTCACGCAACAGAAAGAAGGCAATAAAGTTCACACATATCACGTACCTGGTATTTACGACAATACTGTTACTGCCAGGTTCCTAACTAGAAGTGCACACACACACACACACACACACACCAACAACCCGCACCCCCCAAGACAGCCCTCCTACCCACCAGCTCCTTCTCCTCGAGGCAAAAAAAAAAACCTAAAGGGAAAACTGTCTTTTGTCTGGGGAGAGAGCGTGCCACAACGTTTGCTAGGTAAACCCTACTTTTATTGTCTCCTCCACTTGTCCGGAAAGCATACTATACACAAAGAGGAAGCACATTGGCTACACCTTGAAGTCGCAATCTTATTTTTGCATCCCCAATGGCACACCTTACTACTACTACTATACAGTAGCTAACACAGTTTTAAAAAAGGATATACTACACTTTTTCCAGGGCAAAGAGATATAACGCACGCAACGCACCGCCATAGTATACAACAGAGTAGAAAAGTATATATTATATAAAAGTAATGGAGCGTATTCCAGAAACGATATACGAATCCGACAGTGGTCATCCTACAGAACAACCACAACAGCATCAACCACAGCAACAACAGCAACGTCCTCTACCGCCGCCATTGTCGTTCTTGAATGAAAATCCCGCACCATCACCGCTGGGTCACTTTGCTAGTCCTAAACCTTCATCAGTACAACAACCACCAATAGCAGCAGCAACGTCGCCTTCATCGTTTTATTATAATAGTAATAATAACAACAGCAATCGTTTTCCTCAACAACCACCAACAGCGTCTTCTGAACAGCAACAACAACAACAGCCGCCTTTTTCATTACGCTTACCGTCGGTTCCGCCACATCCATTAAAGCGTCATGACCCACCTTCATTTCCGCCGAATCATCCTTTGGCAGGTCTAGCTTCAGCACAGTCCATACAACAGGCTCAAGCGAGTCGACTGCAGTATTATCATTCGCGCTCACCAGTCTATGTTCCAAAACCATCGTTTGGTTTAAGGGATTTTGAATTATTGGATACGCTTGGTGAGTATAATCTATTTCGTTTAATGTCATTATCATATGTGATGGTTTGACGGGAGGCGTGAAGAAGGGAGGCGTTTTTTTTGGGGGGTATATCAAATTTAGAAGGGGGATTCACTGTAATTCTTGTTTCTGCTGCCCAATATCAATAACAAACATTATGTATACACGCACATAAAGGAACGGGTACCTTTGGCCGGGTGTATTTGACCAAGTTCAAGGCGACCAGCAAGTTTTATGCGATGAAGGTGCTCAAGAAGTCCGAAGTGGTACGACTCAAACAGGTGCAGCACTTATTGTGGGAGAAGCAGATTTTAGCTTCGGTTCGATTCCCATTTATCGTTGATCTGTAAGTCTTGAGAAATTCTTTTCACATATGGACATTGCTGTTCTTTTGGTACATGGCAACAGTAGTATACACAGACATGAAGCTGGAATTGGGCAATAAGTTACAACTGGGAAGAATGAAGGAGAAAGAACATGGAGAGGAGAGAGGAGAGGAGGACTAAGACATTGTTTATTTGATGAGCAGATATATATTAAGATCACAACTCAATCTTGTCGTTACTGCTCTTTCATATATAGATTTTGTACTTTTCAAGATGATACGAACCTGTACATGTTATTGGAATACGTTGTAGGAGGCGAGTTGTTTTCGCATTTACGTCGAGCAGGGCGCTTCACAAACGACATGACACGATTTTATGCATCGGAGATCGTGCTGGCCATCGAATACCTCCACTCTAAAGATATCATTTATCGTGACCTCAAGCCTGAAAATCTATTGATCGACCATCAGGGCCATATTCGTGTGACAGATTTCGGATTTGCTAAAAAGATTGCCGATCGGTAAGAAGAGGGCTTGTGCGCATACATACTTGGTAGAACATAGCTACTTACGATCACCTAAACAACAATCATATGCGTGGATGATCATTAAACTAGGACATGGACACTTTGTGGCACTCCAGAATACTTGGCACCGGAGATTATTCAAAGCAAAGGCCACGGAAAGGCTGCAGATTGGTGGGCCTTGGGTATTCTTATCTTTGAAATGTTGGCAGGGTAAGTGGGAAAAAGGAGTAAATGAAGTCGGATCGTTATTTGTGGCATGCGCTGTTTTGCGACTCACACAAAATACGCTACTGCTTGATTTAGATATCCACCTTTCTTTGACGATAACTCGTTCGGGATCTATGAGAAGATTTTAGCTGGCAAAGTTCAATTTCCAGCACATTTTGATATGCTAGCAAAGGATCTGTTAAAACGACTGCTGGTGGGTGATCTTACTAAGCGACTCGGTAACTTAAAGGTAAGTTCATCAAAAAGCGCCGTCTTGGTTGAATAGGGGAATGGACACGATGCTCATGGATCAACATTATACATTACTAGGGAGGGTCAGAGGATGTAAAGCGACACAGATGGTTCAGAGGTGTGGATTGGATAGGTCTTCTGGATAAGACTGTCAGGGTAAGTCCTCAATAGAGAGGTTGGATGGGGGAGATCCATTTAATGCCGTGTATACGTACTTTGTGATAGATCCGCAAAATTTTAATATGTATGCCACTTGCGCTATCTAGGCACCCATCGTACCGAACTATCGACATCCAGGCGATACTAGCAACTTTGAAAAATACCCAGATCTCTTTGAGACGGACCGTAATGCTCCAGCAGGAGATGATCCTTTCAAGCAACTATTTGTTGAGTTTACTATGTGATACCTGAACAACACACAATTTCTTCCTTCCTCCTCTATTATTCTCTCTGTTTCTCTTCCTTTTCTTCAAGCTTTTGCCTTATTATCAATCTTTTTCTTCCCATTTGAACCCCTTCCACAACTACACAACACAACAGCAGCAACAACAAAACATCATGTTGAACCTTTTTAGTTATCGCAAATAGATAAAAAAGAAAAAAAAATAAGGAACGGATGTTTCCGAGCAGTGGACAATGTCTCACATACAACACACAAGCTTACACAACAGCATCTTACTCATGTGGAAACTTTTCTTCTTTGTGTAGTAGCATGCATGTTTTTGTCTTGATTATTACACACACCTCTCGGGCTTTCCGTTTGTTTGGCTGACAAAAGCCCAAACGACCAAGTGGCACCTTCTTGGGGGTGGTGATGATTCTGTTGGGATAAGTTGACTAGGGTAACGGGATAGATACCGAAGGCTTGTATCTGACGCCTTCAAAGGAGGGAGCACAGACCGCGTTCCACAAAAAGGCATGTTTTTGAATGATACAGCAGCAGCATCGGCATCAGTAAAAAAGCCCATGGGGGTCATCATTATCGGCACTTGCTAGTGCATAGCAGCTTGCTTCGGACAAACAACACCGACGGCAGCCGATTCAATTATTCTCATATGAGTATACGTATCTCAAAGCACATAGCTGGTTATAGAGCAACACACGGACAATGCAAACTTGTCTCTTTTGCTCGTCAGAAGGGTTTCACGACGTACGACTCTGATTTCACTTTGTCACAGATTAATATATCCTTTTCGGTTCTTTATTACAAAAGGGCAAGTGAACAGAGAGAAAGAGTAACTTTTCACAATGCACATGCTCGCCCTCTTCGTTTTCTGTTTTTGTTATCATGAATAGATAGGGTTGCAAATGTGTGTATGCGTTTAAGGGTGTGTGTGTGTATCGGGTGTTTGTTAAGAGACTACTTATTACTACTTAATGAAAAAGAACTAGAATTTTTGGGCAATTGATATAAGAGAGAGCGCAAGAGCAAGCCAGCTTGTGTGTGAGAAGAGGGTTTTTGTACTATGTACATTCCAATAAACAATATGAAAGAAGAAGAAAAAAAAGAAAGAGGATATCAATATAGTATATGTACAAATGCGGGAGGAGGAAGTAAGTTAAGATGGTGTGCGTGATATGCAAAACGGGTAAGATTGGTGATAATAGCAATAATAATTGTAAAAGTTGACGGTGATGCGTTGTGGCAACATGCAACGCGGGCTCTGCAGCGAGAGCCTTTTAATTTTGACGTGGTTTAAAAAGCAACCGCTTGAGCCGTCCATGTGGTTGAGCAGAAGGTGGTGACCTACTACTCGACGAAAAATGTGCTGTACCAGCGGACGTAGTAGTAGTAGTAGTAGCAGCAGAAAGAGCTTCTGATGCTGATGACAATGACGACTGTGGTCTGAATGGCTTTGCGAGGTTCTTTTTAAGACGACCGACGAGACCTTGCCACACTTTGGACTTGGCAATAGTCGGCTTGCCTTCGACGGCAGGTGGTGGGGGCGGTATTTCGACACGTGCAGCAGTAGACGATGGTGACAGTGCTGCTGGTGAAGGTGCAGCTGCAGCCAATGGCGGATAATACGCCGGTTCAGATGGCGGTTGTTCATGACGAGGATGGATGGAGGATGTAATGTAGGATGTGATTCCGGAAGAATTCAACAGGACAGGCCCGCCATGGCTGCTACTGTTAGGACTACCGAGCACCAGGTCGTCGTCATCGTCGTCTGATAAAGAGCGTCGCTCGTATAAGAAGTCGCCATGGTCATCATGGAACCGATGGTGTGCTGCTTCTGATGCGCCAATTGGTGTTGTGGATGTCGGAAGAAACAAATCGGCTCCAGTGGCACCGACGCCACCGACGCCTCCGGAAGCCGCTTCCGGTGCAAAGCTCAACGAGCCATACAGGACTTCGTCCTCCCATCGATACTCCTTATTGCTTTGGTAGCTTGTAGGGGTATATTTGTCGAGACGAGTAAGGTGATTGTCTTGCATCGCGTTATCCACATGTTCCAGTGCTCCGCAGAGCGCGGCGCGTAAATTAGATGCTGTTGTCTCGCTAGGTGATTGTGGTACCGGCGGTGGTGAACTTGTTGTTGTTGTTGCTCCTGGTGCTGCTGCCGTTGCAGATCGTTTGCCGAAAAGGTAAAGTAGCTGCTCGTCTTGTTTTGTTCGATGAGTGCTGCTCTTTTTCAGAATGCTGTCACCGGCGTCGTTGTCCACTTCGTCGTCGTCGTGGTGTTTTGTCCATTGGGCATAGTCGGTGATCGAATGAACCGGCAGGCTTGCCTTCTCACATGCCGTGCTGTAATAATCGTGAAAAGCCCAATCGACTGGGCCTGGCAGTTTGGAGACGGTTGTTGTCGCCAACTTTGGCTCAGTAGAGTCTGAAGGAAATACAATGTCGCTGGATAGGTATTCAAGAGCCATGAAGAGGATCGACAATAGAGAGTAAAGCTACTGGTGTGTATACGGAATATAATCGAGAAGCAGGTGGCGGGACAAGAGAAGAAAAAGAAGAAGAGGTGGAGAGAAGAAACAAGTACGTTGCGCTGCTAGGTGCGGCTTGCTTAAATACTTTTTTTTCCAAAATAATAGAGAGAAAATCGGCAGGAAATCAAAAAGGTTTGATGGAAACAAGGGGGGAAGCCTTTTCCTTACACGCGCCGGGGGGTCCGAAACGAGACAAGCCAGTCTATAAACGGGCAGAACAAAAACATAGCACCCTCTCCCCTTCCCCCCCACAAGGACGGGCATCGTACCGATATCCGAAAGCGCTTTGTGCTACGCGCTGGCTCTCTCTCTCTCTCTTCTCATCGCTCTCTGCATGCCATCTGCTTGTTGCTCTGTTTACACGATTGTTTTCGGCTTGTTGCCGATGGGCCATCCCGAGCCTTCTTCTGCTGAAGTTAGAGAACGAAGGGCCACATGACATTGCCACCACACGTTCACCCTCTCTCCCTCTACCATCCGCTTTAGTTATGTGGGCTAGGCACCATGGCTTCCTCGCTAAAACATGAGTACACCTTTTTGTTGTTTTGCTCCTATATAATAGAACAATCCTTGTCCAAATATTCATTGCTATCAACACGAACAAATTTTTTTTGCTGGTCCGCCCTGAACTTTTTCTTTTACTAATATACCTTCTGCTATCTGCTGCTGCTTCCAAGAGAGGGGATAAGAATAATGAAAGGCTTGGCTATGCAAAACATGTAGGTATACTGTATGTAGCTTGGCGTTTGCCTCTTAAAAGAGACATCAGCGTATATCGCTTTTATTTAAGATGCAGGCAAGCTGCACATCATGGTGACGGTACCTCTGTCTCTGTCTCTCTCTATTTTTCTTTCCAGTAAATCATTCCCTTACTTGTCTAACACCCCTCCTTAGTGGCCTGATGACATAGTATAAACGGGGCATGTGCGTGTGTATGGTTGACATGAAACGCAGGAGCGATCATCCATCAATTGCGGGAGACATGTTTATAGAGGAAAAGAAAGGGGGGGGGGTCTCAGAAAATGGCCATGATCTCATATATCATTAGAGTTGAACGCCTCAAGGGATACGTGAAACACACATGGTGGAAGCTATTTTTTGTTTCGGCCGGCGTTCACCGGTAATGGTACATGTAGAGTAACCCGATGGAACAGGATTGCCACATTTATTTATTATGGATGATGTTTGGCGTGCGCATGAGTACGATTCGGCTAGAGCATAGTAGAGCCACATTGACAGCCTACTGTTTGGCGTGCGGCACAATATGTACAATTCATCAGGTCCCCTTCATCAACCATTCTGTCCCTCTTTTCAACCAACCCGCACCCCCCCCCGTTGAACCGAACCGATGCGATGCCAATCTTTTGTTTGTGGCAATTTTTATTTTTTATTTATTCATCATTAAGTGAAGGGTACCTTTCGATTTAATATACACTTTCTTACTCTATATATTCGATATGTAATTAACACGTTCTATCTACATAGTGAGGATATGATCGCGATCTGTATTTGCTCTTTTACGGATAATGTGTGTCCAGTATGTAATGGCTTTTTGACAGCCGCCAAAAGAATCGCCCTTTCTCCTATTTTTTTAACCTTCTTACCAGACCTGAAATTGCGTTACGCCTCAGTTACACTGATTTTACAACGGTGTCGTTCGGAAATCCCAAAAGTTGTGGTACAAAAGCGTCTCTTAAGGTAAAACTCTTGTAATCGGGTTTGGATCCGATGACTGATTCCATCGAGTGTTGCAAAAAAGAAAAGGATCGCGTCTCTCCAGAATTGTAGATAGCAACTTGTATAATGTAGCATTTGCAGCAGCAGGCGTAAGTACATCTATTTTTATGTTACACTTATTCTCTTGTTTTACGCTAGGTAAAACGGGCAAAACTTGCTTATAAGGTACGAGCATGCTATATCTTCTTCTCTATATCCTCTATTCTAATAAACCATTCTAGCATTGGATACTTCTATTACTGTATATTACACGTATTACGAACCTATAACTTGGGACCTGTTGTGGCAAAACACGTACTAAAATTAGTTTGATGAACCTTTTTTTTGTGTTGTTCCTTGTGTTGCATGGCAACGGACGATGTTCCATGGAAACAGGGTAGGAACGCCATGGTAGCAGACGAAGCTTTTGTGTTGCATCTAATATTTTATTTTTTCATAGTGCTGATAGTAGTAGTGCTCACAGCACATAAGCTACCTACTCTTTCTATTGTGAGACAACCCGGAGTAGCTTATTTCAAAAGGGAATTCGTCGACTAAGATGAATCTTTTTATTTCGCACTCGAGCTTTTTCTCATCACATCATCACCGTGCCGTTAAAGTAAAGAAAATAATTCATACAACTGGACACAAATAAGGGGCCGTGGGAGACGACCATTCTGGACAGGGCTGTTGTAATTATATGGATATTACATGTTCACTATGTGTGTTTCTGGTTGATAGTTTGTTGTTTCGATCCAGAACAAGTAAAAGCAAACCTTTTTTCTTGAACAGCATCCTGTATAAGTTCTATCCTCCCCTACATTGTCTCATCATCAATTCTAATCCAACGACTTGTATGAAACAGGAGCTTTTGGTATGCTCTAAATGCATGTTTACATTCAGAAGACAGAGAGAGAGAGAGAGATCGCTGATCAACTTTGTGTTGAGTCGGTGGCGCCGGTGGCGGTCCGCCCGCCTTGGCCGTCAGCAGGGAGCTTTCACTTTTGACTTGACCGGAAGGCAGCAAAGCCACCCAAGGCAGTGACTTGCGGGGTGTGGAAAAAAAATGGCCCTGCTCCATTTTGCGCCCCTAACTCAACAAGTCCTATTTGATAATAATAATATTCCCAACACCTCCCTCCGACATTATTTTTTGGAAAGTTGCCGTTCGTCTCCGTTCGTTTCGTTTGGGCCCTCCTCTCCTACCCTTCTTCCGTTTGTAAATAAATAAAATGAGTTCATTCTTGTTGCGTAGAGGCCTTTTACTCGCCGCCGCTACCAGCAAGCAACAACTGACACGTTCCGTCGTTTCTCCCGCCGCCGTCCAAACCACCAACGTCCGTTTCGCCACCACTGACAGCAGCAGCAGTCTTTACGAAGTACGCGAGAAACCACAGTCATTGTCCTACTTTACCGGCAATTACAAGTACAATGACCTTCTCATTGAACTCGACGCGTTGCATAAAACGTATGGCGAATGGCAAGGCGACAATGCAACCTTTTCAGAAGCAGCATTAAACGATACCAGCGAATTACAACAACCACAACAACAGCAGACTGCATGGAAACTCCGTGACAAAATGTCACAAATGTTGGCCATTCCATTGAAAACGTCTCAATGGAGAAAAATTGTTCTGCACTTGAACGCTTTGTCTGCTTTGCCCAAGCCGTTGCCCGCACCGGTAGAAGAAGCCTTGAAGCCGTATCGACGTTATGATGGACAGCAGCAACAGACAACTGGATCTACATTAAAAGCATTGGACGCTCTTGGACGTGCATATGCTGTGGGTAGACGAAAGGAATCGAGTGCTCGATGCTGGGTCGTCGAAGGTGATGGCCAGGTGCTGATCAACGGCCAGCCACTCGAAGAGTATTTCCAACGACCGGTTGATCGTGACGAAGTAAACTTGCCTTTGGAAGCTATCGAGTCCAAGGATCGATACAACGTATGGGCCTTGGTGAATGGCGGTGGAAGCACAGGTAAAACGAACAGGGGAACTATGTGCAATGTCGAGGGAAGCGTGTGTATGTGGTTACTCATGCTTATGCATGTGATACAATATAGGTCAAGCACAGGCTGTCAAACTGGGTGTCGGCAGAGCATTATTGACACACAATCAGGAATTGAAGCCAATACTGCGCAAAGGTAATAACCCTCGGGGAAGAGATGGAATAACTGATTGTTGTGTCGTTTAGTAAGAGGGATCAGCAAAGAAACTCAATTGTTTGTTTTTACTATTGCATAAGCTGGCTGTATTACGCGGGATCCAAGAGTGGTTGAACGTAAGAAGGAAGGTCAGCGTAAGGCCCGTGCAAGATACACTTGGTAAGTTTTATTGCGCGCACTGCGCCGAATGGTCATAGAGATTGCCGCCAGGACAAAAGTGTACTCACCCCTCTCGGTGTTTCTAATTGAATAGGGTCAAGCGTTAAAGAAGAATGCAGCAACGAATCGAGATATTCTGTCCTTCTTCATGCTGTATCAGTCATATGTTTTTTATCTTTTCTTTCTTAGTTTCAACATCATTACAAGAAAACCCATTCCATCCTTTTTGCTTCTAGACATATATTCTTTCCATGACCATTCTTTTTTCTTCTATCAGTGACATAGAGACTGCCCCTGTGCGTTTTTCTTCTTGTATTTATCGCTTTTTTGATTCAGGGGTTGAATGCGAACCGTAATTAAAAAGAAAAAAAGTCTTGTACGACACGACACAACAACCCACAAGGTCACCACCGTATACATACTCATATATACTGTAACCTTAAAATATAGTTATCACCACCACTGTCTTCTACGTGCGATAAGTGGGCGTCGTGTTCTCCGTGGTGACGACGGCCATCGTCAACAAGCGGGTGCTCTCCTATTTCTCTCTGTTTTAAAAGACCACCTGCTTAATGACCTTCTCAATTCAATCACCACTGTATCACAAGAGATCATGAAGGTTGGCAAACCTGTTGACCTGTTCTAAAGTAAAATGCTCAAAAGCCGGTTAAGGACAATAACCCTCTCTCTTTCTCTCCTTTGCCTCCCTCTTTTCTTTCTGTTTCTTACAACTCCTGAAAGTATATCCTATAGTTTTGACGACGGGCTGGCGGATTGACGCGTCGGGCAATAATCAGAACAACAGCAGCAGCAGTTATACGACCAACCCCGTAATAATCATTCATCTATAACAATCATCCGTCGTTTTCATTTCTCGTACTTCTACGACTATACCCTTCTGTATATATAGATACCGATTTTCTTGAACCCCCCCCACCCATCAAATAACTTGCTTCTTTTTCCTCTGCATTCCCTTTCATTTCTATTCTCATTCGCTATGTACGTGCCTGACGTATACGAAATTCTTTCCGAGATCAACAGTGTGGCGTGCGTCACAGCCATATCATTGATTCTGGGCCGCAAGGTCGCCAGTATTGACGGCCCGATTTACTATGTGCGGGGACTATTGCTGGTCATGTACTCGCTAACACTAGCGTTTGATATAATTGCGTGTATGCTCGTCAGCACCAACAACGGAAACTTTGTGTCGTGTATCCTCGGATTTTTCAACTGTGTATTATTGTATACCTTTGCAAAACTGGCGCTTTACCTGTACTTTATCGAAAAGGTAATAATACACTATTGAATATTCAAGTGCACATCAGTAGAGAAGAAGTACTTACAGTATAAAACATATGCTAGATTTATATTCTTTCATTGCCCAAAGTCGCTCGTCTACGATCACCTATTTATTGGATCGGCATTGGTCTTCTGGTACCCTATATTGCGCTTATCACCCTCATGATCATAAACCGTGTTACTGTCATCGAGCCAGAGCATCCATATCATTGTACCATTGGAACCAAGCTGCCGGGTGTCATCCCAACGCTCTGTTACGACTGCTTTTTCACTTTGCTCTGTATTGCCATTTTTGTAAAGTGCTATGCGTTTCCAACTGTAGCACAGCAAACATCACCTCAATCAATGTCCCTCAAGATCATGGCGAAACGAAATATCATAGTCACTGTGGTTGCGTGTATCACAGCAACAATAAACTATACCATCATGATTGTGCTAGACGGGCAGGAGCGTGGATTGCTTGCGCTTAGTATTACAACTTTGGTAAGTTTGAATATAAAACAAATCGTTATGGATAGAGCGGCTGTTGTTTGAAAGTGCGGAGGTTCATTGATGGGCTGTCGTGTGCTATTAGGATATTACGGTCGTCTCTTGTGTCGTGCATTGGGTCACGTCGCACACGGCTGAGCTCCAATATGTGGAAAATGTGCTAAACAAAGGTGGCCTGGATAAGCCCATGAGGTTGGAGATTAAACAGCATCAGGAGGTTGTCGTGTTGACGGAACTCAGTTCTAACAAGATATGAGCATGTTGTTTTTCCTTTACTATCATCTTAAAAACCCTCTATCATCCTACATTATTACTATTAGTATCATGCTTTTTTTTCTATGCGTTTTCTGCTGTTTTTCACATACAATTTTTTTATAAAGATGGGCAGGGAAATGCTGTTGATGAGAATGGCAGACCTGAGCCAATAGTTTACAGTGTCGATCAGAACCCTTATGCATTAAAATCGCTTACATCACACACCGAGTACTTGTAGAATGTAAATTCTACGAGTACTGCACAAGTTGATGTAGAACATTTAGATTATAAACTGGTCCCTCCGCTTCGCTTCCGGACGATGTGAGCCCCTCCGCTTCGCTGCGTGTCAGCATCTGTCCTCCAGGGACCAGTTTACTGGGGCTCTGCCCCAGACCCCGGGTTGGGGGCAAAGCCCCCCCACCCGCCCCCCAAGTGTTCTTCAAACAATGCTGAAAATATGTTCTCAAAGTATTCTGCTTAAAAGTGATGTCGAAAACAGTTGTGGAAATTGTTTTTATTGTTTGGTTAAAAAAAGGATGCCGTCACTGCTTTAAAAAATGCCCAAAGTTAATACTTCATACACAGTAAGAATATTTGTATCATTTTACCGTGTCAACGCTAATCACCCGAGTTGATGCATTCCGTACTCTCTGATGATTCATGCCCAACATATCGGCAATCCTCGCAAATAATGAGGTGGTCGTGCAATTCGATGTACACCTCGCAACTGAACAGATCGTGTTCAGTTTCTTCGCAAAATTTACAGGTTAGAATTTTCAAAGGTGGAATTCTCTTGCTCTTGAAATGGGTCTTGGACATTTTGTTGAGATGGAAAACTTTGGACATCATGAAAGATGTGATGGTTATGATACAATTTACACAGGAAGGAAAACTGTTCGTCGCAGTCGATGGCAACATGCAATTGCGACGACGCAAAGCACATGCAAATGACACAAAAAAAGCTGAAGCAGCGACGTTTTTCTCGGCTGATAAGATGCATGACGTTTACGAAAAGCATGAAGTCACCAATGCCGTCAATAAGCGTTGCGAGAGTGAGCTCAAAGCTGTTACGTCCGTTTCTGCTGCTGTCGAGAAGTTCTATGAAAGTGGAATAGTAGGCTGTGTATGCGGCAGACACAATGTTCCACTTCAGTTTACGAATATATTTGCTTCTGGTGAAAAGTAATTTTAATACTTTTTACATGCATGCAGTCTATAATCCCTAGCGTATAATATGCACTTACATGTTGAGCTTTGTATAGGTACAAATATGCTCTATCTGTGCTTTCTGTTGCCACTAAGGGATACAAAGATGTCAATATTTTGTATGATTTTGGTTGTCGCTTTGAACCATCATTTAAGGTACTTTGCCGTGTCTAAGAATATCATCGCATCCGGTAAACAAATTGATCTTTAATTACTTATGCACCATTAAAAAGCATTTCCCAATTTTGCTCAAGCTGGATCAAAGATGGCCGTCTCCGTTTTCCATGCATACGCCCATTCAATGTCTTGCCAGGTCGATTATCATCCACGATTCATAAGCGGCTTTGTACTGACAGATGGAGAAGGACTTGAGCGTCTTTGGTCCTACCTTGGAGGATTTGTCTCAATGACTAGACAAATGAGCGCCAAGAGACGTCTGTTCTTTTTTTAGCATGCGATTGGTCATTCGAAAGCCAAGACTATAATCAATATGTGTATGCATGATTTTAAATGAAGTTATAAATGATTGCGTGATACTCATAATAGTACCGATAGGTTACGCGCTTAAAAAACGGACGAAAAGGGCAAAGGCAATCATCGAACAAGCGTCTGCATACTTGCGACACAGAGCTACCCTTGTAGCTTCCGGCGGTACGCCATGCTGGTGGTGGAACGAGGACGGGAAGATAGATGAGCTCAGATTCGAAGAAGAATGGAAGACGTACAAAGATACCGTCCATGAAAAATCGAAAGATCGTACTATATTCACTGGTGTCAAACCTCTATCAGTAAAAATACAGTATTATGAAGAACTAGAACATTTTTACGCGGTTGAGTGAGTTTACAAAGTGTTTTTGTAGAGTACTGTAAAATACTTAGACAACTAATCCATTCGGAAAACATCATTAGAGCGGAGCGCATTACTTTATCGAGGGAGCTTCAAGATCCAGATAAATGTGCCAATATGACTATGGCGGAAGCAGGTATGTATAACGATTTCTACTCCCTTTCGTTTATGCGTATTAAGCTATTGTTATCATCAATAGACGAGAAATTTAGATTGCTTCGAAAGCTCTCAAGAAAGCTCGAGATCGCTGAAGACAATGTTACCAGAATTGAAAGGGTGCTAAAGCCTGAACGAAGATGGCAGATAAATAGCACAGAATACGCAAGCGCAAAAAAAGCAAAAGCAAAGCGAGAAAAGGAAGATAGCCTGTATAAACTAAAATCACATATAATCTCGCGTAAGATGGTGTATGATCAGCTGCGTAATCGAGAGGGCAAAATAGGTATTGTATATCTGTTTTTTGAAGTGTAAAAATGAGAAAGCGCTGCTGATGGATATAATTAATTAATTATGAAACAGGCGAAAGAGTAAGCACGAAAGTTAGAAGCGCAATCAAGAAACTAAGCACTGCAGCTGAAAAGCAATTGAAGCTATACAATGCTGCTTGCCATCTGTTGTTGGAGCATGAAGTCCAGTGGGAGGATGTCTGTCATCTGGAGACACGATTTTGGGAACAGCACCATATAGCAGAAAGCAACGACGTCGACGTTCTCAGAGAGATTATGAACATTAAGCGCGCCGAGGAAGAGCTGATAATGATCGAGGTTAGTGCTATGGTACTTCATTGAAACTCCATACTGTGATCTCAACTTTCCACTTAGGACGAAGAAAAGAATCTGGAAGCATACGCTGCAGCACGTTATAGCGCCATTCAAAATGCCATAGAGGCGACGCATGACGATGGGTGGCAAGCTATTCTTGGTGATCTTTTGGAACAAGCTGAACGTCTCCAATGTAATATCAGAAGCAGCAAACCGCGTACTGTTGGTGAAATTTCACAGATCGACAACGACGAACAATACGGTGACGATGCGGACGATGAATATGACGAAGACGTTTACTTTGTCCATGCTGAGACATATGAGGATATTGAGAAGGAACATGACGAGCTGATGTACGAGTATATGCCGCCAGTAGATTATACTATGCCTGACAAAGATATTTCTCTGCCAGATGCAGTACTTTCAGAAGAAACACTATAGAGCCAGCAATGTATATACGCCGTTGTAAATCAAGAGCTCTTTTATAATCCTTATTATGCTTACTTATAAATTGTATGTTATTAGACCTGTTATGCGAATATGATTTTTTATTATGTGTAATAAGCACCTATTCTGTTACTTATTTTCTCAATACTGCGTTGAGCGTTAATCCTCATAATTTAAATCAGATATATATTTATAATACTGTATGCTACCAGAAACTGATGCTCTGGTTGGGGTTCCTGGTTGCTCATTTTCGAAATGGAGGACGCAATGTAGTGAGAATTATTCTGAGAAAAAGAAGGGAGAAAGCTGGTGCTATGGTAGGCTGAGCATACTATAATTTCTACGGTGTGCACGGCGTGACACCACAGAGGCCACAGGGTATGTTCCGTAGAGCTTGTAGAGGCCCGTGCGGTGTCCGAATACGGGCAAATAATTTGGGTCTGGGGTGGCTGCGACATTACTTTGTGGACTTTGTATTTTTACTACCTGAGGTATTGAAATCTAAGGTAGACTGCGCATCTTGACTATAACCTATTATCTTTTACTGTCATGACATCTAGCAGTAAAGACTACGAAGCTTGTAATCAGTGTAAGTAAACGTAAAAACTTATATGTTACCCAGTGAGCATCATTAATAAATAAAAATCTTTAAAGTTAATTTCTTAAAAAGATATATCATTTCGAAATTAAAATTAATTGATTAATTTTTAATTTCTTAAAAAAATAATTATTTTTTTTGGATATGTAATAGTTTTTGCTAAGACAAAAAATTAAAAATTTTTTTATAGAAAAACAATTATCTGTGAATTCTGCAATACCCAAAATTAAAATTTTGGTTGAGAATTCAGAACCTTTTTCTTCTTTGAAAAAGAACCATAAAAAGAAGCACTTCGTAAGTTAAGAACTTACGAAATTTTTTAAGGTTCAACAACGCTCAGTAACCTTGTTGCTGACTCAAGTTATTCATAGTGATAGAAAATTATCTTAACAACGATGCTGAACCTACTCTGGAAAGGTTCCTAAATGACAATGAAAAAGTATTGTTGCCATAACAAAGTTGGGTGAAGATATTAAAAGCAACTGGACCAATCGCTATATCAGACACACAAGGCTTAAAAACATCGCACACGTGAGTATATCAATGCACTATTATGTATAGCTTGATATATATCTCCAATACCAAAGCTATATTTTTTTTGTAGGTCATTGGCAAGCCAGATTGGGACAAATTGCTTTTAGCTGCAGTCAAAGTAAGTATGATACTTGTAATGGCAACAAAGTAAAGTTACCATATTAACGTCATATCTACTAGAAATTCGATACTGGTCCTCACCCCGTCCCACAACAACAAAAACCACCACCATCAATAGCATCACCTTCAGCACCTTCAAAATCATCGAAAAAGCCAATCACAGCAGCTATGGTCGACAAGTACTTTGAGCCTTTGGTTGATGATAAAAAATGGACATTGAGTACAGGCAAAGTAGTTGAAGACACCATGAAAAAGTACACAGTTACCTGCAACTTTGAACAGTAAGTAGTGAGCCCAATATCTAGGCATGCTGATTTTTGTCTCCATGTTTCATATTAATTATTTTTGCATATACAGTCCCATACACTCATTGATTTTAGATATTGATGATAAAATGTGGGTCAAGGATGGGTATTTCACCGAACAAGAAATGAGAGAAATCAAGGATGCTCGTTGCCCAAAAGATCCAGAATTACCAACTCACATTGCTGAATACCTGAAAGGTTATGCTGGAAACGTAAGTATAGTCATGTAAAGAAACAAAACGTAAAATAAAAAAGACATGGCAGTACTAACAAATTTTGTGTTATTAGAAGGATCTTGAATCAATCTTTGACCATGCCAATCATCGTCTATTCCATCCCAAACGAGAATCGGATTTATTTTGGATTCATCAAGCTTTTGTAAAAACATTGAATCTGTTTTACAGCAACTATCTTCCAATAACAGATCATAGCGAAACTGACATCCTCAATCGTGTCTGGGGAATAGTACAAGAGTGTTTTGATGTGTCACATTTATAAGTGAGAGGGTAAGTTTGATTTTGATGCAGCCAGCATCCTCAATATTGGAACGAATTTTCTTCCTTGAATTTTGGAAACAGATTTGCTGACATTTTACCATAACGAACAGTGGTGAAAAGACAAGTAGTGCATCAGGTGAAGCAAAGAATGCCTCCCGCTCTGGGGGACATCTAACTGCAATTAGATATTAGATAATACTATTGGCTGTAAGAAATCTATTGGGTGTAAAAATCCAAATTGTACAAAAAATTGAATTTTGTGTATATATAAAAATAATTGGTAAGAAAGGAATGCCAGGTATGAATTCACATTATATTATATACTAGTTGAAGAAAATATTGTAAATAGTAGAGTATGCAATTTTATAATATACCAAGATTATACTTATTGATATATTCCTTTAATAAATCCTTTTGATTAAATTTATCAATTGATAACCAACTGTTATCATCAGCACTCTATCCAACCCATTTTACCTCAAACAAATATGTACCATTTTCAGTTTTATGCCTAATAATCTCTTCTATTTCATATGATGCCATTGCTTGTTGTTTCCCTTTATTTCGCTTTCTTTTTTTACTACGCTCATTAAATCTTGGAACATCCACATTATCACTATTACTCTGATTTGAATTATTATCAGATTCATTATCAACAATCATTTCTTCATTTGATATAGCCATATTAAGCAGGTCATTTTGCAATCTAATCATTTTATCCAGTTTATCTTTATTTTGTTTATCATTGCTGACCACTATATCAATTAGTTTATGCTCTACTGGAAAATTAAAATCATTACTGTGTCACAGTTTATGGTGTGGTAAAATAGGAATATTGAACATTTCTACACATTTGGTAATATTTTTTAAAAAACAAGCTACACGAAATTGCAGATTATAGTATTTTATGTTATCCATTTTAACAACTGACTTGTTATTATTGAATCGGCAGAATTTATTCCCAATTTCTGAAAATTAATTCTCAACTTTTGTCCTAAAACTTCCAAATGTCTTATTAAAATGATCCTCAGTAATCGTTAAGGGCTCATTTACATTTTTACGTATAGGGTATACAAAATTATCATGGCTAAAGTTATAGCCTTTTTCATTAGCAAGCTCTGTAAATTGTGTGATAAACAAAGTATATCCACCATCAACTGCCATTATGTCATTCTCATGCATATATTTAAATAATTTCATGTTTAAAAACATGCTACCATCTGAGCTATCAGAACAAAAGTCACTTTTAGAAGTATAAATAATCATATCATTCATATCACTAACAAATTGGGTACATATTCCATTCTTCCTAAATTTATAAGAATACATTCTTTGAAAGTGGTCAATTTCAGTATCTACATAGTTAATTCTTGAATCATGACCATCCAATACAAATGTTACATGTTTAAATAAGTCGGGATTATGCTTTCTAGCAGATAGAATACGTAATTTGATAGATGAAAACATGTTATTCATTGAATCATTTACTATTTTGTTGATTCGTTTGTAGTTGTCCTCATCCATCCAAAACTTTTCATAAAATGTATAAAATGTGCTATGTGGTAAGTATTTTTCAAATTTTTCACCACATACTCCAGAGACTAAATGATATAATAAAAACAATCCTTTTTCAATTTCAAAGTAAGGTCCGGGATATTCCTTGTTTGTATATAAAACTACTAGAAAATAAAATACAGCAACATTACTTAATTTATGTAACAATTCATCCTTAAAAATTCTTTGAATTTAATATGTTTCAAATCAGTTCTATGTTTATATTTATTATGTACAGTAGGCCAATTCCATTCTAGGAATTGCCAATAATTGGCAATAATTGAGTTTACTTCATTTGTAATCAGTGGTGTATAGTTTGTTGTATCCATTGGGTCGTTCTTTGTTTATATTATGGATTTTCAATTTTTATAATCATTGAATACATGATTTTGGTCACATGATGTCATAAAATTGATAAAATATCAAAATGGATGATATAATTTAATATGGCAGCAAGCAATTTATTAGATTTATCAAAAACTATTGTAAATTTATAGCCAATTTGGTACTGCACATCCCGCTCTCTCTCCGGTGAAGAATCGATCAACAAAAAAACCATTGGGAAAAAAGTCGATCTACTGTTCAAGGCTGGATCAAATGAGTACGGCTGCGCTGAAGCGGGAAAACAAATGGAAAACGATACTACCAAAGAATTATCAGAAAGTCGATTCATTTGCCCAAAAACATTACAAGATATGTTGATGAAACTCAGGGAAGTCCAACCAAAAAGAATTCATGATCTTGTTACAGTTGGTTTCATATTCTCTGGTATGTCAATAAGCATGTTAATTAATGTCGCTATAATGGTAATCATAATGATAATAACCAATGACTTTTCTAATAGGTTTACGAGCAAAGTTTCTCGGGATGACGTGTCCTAAAGGTTATGTTTGTATACTAGAAACGCTTGGTCCTTTATCATTTCCTGAATCCAAATCCAATCTTGTTGCCAGACTCACCAGCATTCTCATCCTTGTTTGGAGAATGAAGAAGTTGTTGAAGGACACAAGGGATATCGTTAATGATGAAGAGATTTTTGTACCGACAAGGGAAAATCGTACCAGAAAGCCACCTATTGATTTCGCTTTCCATTTTGAGAACCATGTGTCGCCAAAGAAAAGAAAAACATCAACCACCAGTAGCAGTAGTAATCTTGATACAACAGACAACAATAGTGAAGCTTGAACGTTTCAACAGATACATACACAACATGACACGACACATATACACAATCGAGATCACCTATCACCTATCACCTATCAAATATCACATATGCATAGCACTTTAAAACCCATTTTCCAATTTCTAGTTATACCTAAATCACTATTGCACATATTCTTACCCACAATTTCCTGTATATGTACAACATCGTGATTTCACCATCTTTTCTTTTATTTCTATATCATTTATCAAAGCTCTTGAACCTCATATTATAAAACATGTCAACGTAAGTTTTTTTTATAGTCCACATGTTGTGTTCCAGACTCCACCATCTGTACTCACACAAAATGTATAGTTTTAACGGGTTACTGGAATGGATAAGAAAACGCATGCTTTGCGTTGACACTGACAATGCCATAGTTGGCGTAGTCGAGGACGAGGATGTGGTGTTGGCTCCCAAAGCCGCGCTTTTTATTCTCAGTTTTTCTTCTATGTATCTTCACATCTTGCAAAACTCATGGCTCTTCCCGCTAAAGATCTAGATTCGCCACTTCCGGCGAATCAAACCGACCACACCTCTACTACATCTCAACCTCCACCCTCTGCTGCTACCTCACCCTCACCCTCCACGTCTAAAGGCAAACAGACCAATGTCTCCTTCCGATCATATGCGCAAGCGACTAAAGGTCAACGCATTACTACTCTTGGCCAAGTAACTGGTTCTGAATACCTTACCAATACGACTTCCGCCAACAACTCGACCGATGATACTGCTCAAGCACTAACGAGTCAGCCTCTTTTTCGACGAGGGTCTGAAGAATTCAGCATCTTTTACGATGTTACTGGTGACAAATTAGGTCCCAAAGCTTTTTTCGATGCCGCTAGGGCACGATTCCCCACTGGCGTTGGCCTTGGTAGACTAACGCATCGTGATAAAGGCCGTGTTCTTGTCGAAATTATTTTGAACTCTGAACAATCGTGTACCCAAGCTTGTGAAACCCCTCTTCAGGTTACAGACGAGGTGTCGTACACTGCTACTCGTTCGCTTCCACCGGATAACGAAGTATTCCGGGTCACTTTGGACAAACTCCCGATAATCCCACTCGTCGATCTGGAAAAAGGGCTACGATCTTGCCTATCGCAATACGGTCGCATCCTACATCTCGGCTTGTATGACGACGTCAATGGTGGGTGGTTCTGTGGTCGTGGTTTTGCGGTTTTGTGTAAACTCCCTACGGACGATTTTGCCCCCCTGACACACCGCATGGCTTCTTGTTTCTCTGCCGGAAACACGGTTCGTAGCTTCCTTGCAACATGGGCGGATATGGGAGTATATTGTCGTTATTGCCATGATACCACCCACAGTATCAGTCGTTGTCCAGACCGACCGACCCACGTGTGTTTCAATTGTGAGCGTCCGGGTCACCTCCAACGCAATTGCCCCGAGCCTGCAAATCCTTATAAACATACAAAAAAAGCCAACACCGGCACCAAGGTGGAGCCCAAAACGTTTACGTTTAATGCAGCCCCTGGTACAAGCAAGTCCGCGGAAACGATGCTCCCTACCGCGCGTAAATCAATTAAACGCAGGAGAGCTGGCAGTAAACCGTCGCAACCATTATTTATCAACGCGACCAGTAAGACGAATTTTGCCGCCCCGGTTGATAACAAGACAGAACCTCCCGTTCAAGACCAACAATCGAGCAAAACCGAAGTCAACAAGGCATCGAATGAGGGTGAGCAATCCCTGGTAGTTCCAGCGACAAAACCAGCAAGTACGCAATCCGCTGAGGCCGACCCAGAGCACCCTATTTCCAGTCACCAAAGGGACGAAGACGCAGATATGGCCTCCGGAGATGAAGAACCTGATGACTCTGGTGGTTCCGCTGAGGACTCAACCGGACGCAGCCACTCCAAATAGGAGGGCTGCCTCTTAATTTAACAACAACTTAACCATGATTAAGTTCGCATCACTTAATTGCCGCCGCCTGACTAAGGTAGGTGGCTCAAAACAAACACAACAAAAAAAACAACAACATTATATTCGATACCTCCATTCTATGCACTTTGATATATTGGCACTCCAGGATACAAAATTTCCTAGTGAAGATGCTGAGCAACGTATTACTAACCAATTTCAGGCTAATCAATGTTACTGGTCCACCTTTTGTGGTCTTGTATCCTTTTCTCCTCAAATTCTCCTTACCCCACTCTTCTCCTCTCGGGATGGACGGGCCCTCTGGGTTACGATATCCCATGTCAATTCGTCTTTTGAACCGTTTCATGTCCTCAACATATATGCTCCTGCAGAGCGTCACTCTCGACACACATTTTTTCACAACCTTCTAGCCATCTTTAATCTTGACTCTTTTTCACTACCACTTCAGCGATGTGTTCTCGTTGGCAATTTCAATTATTCTTACTCTCGCTCTGATTCTTCTTATCTTAGTGCTCCTAATGAATGGATCTCCTTTCTTTCTTCTACCTTTTTCAATCTTATGCAGCCCCCCAATGACAATATATCCCCTCCTATCACCTTTAAATCTCAGAGTGGTCATTCATGCATTGATTACATTTTCTCTTCCCCCGACCTGTACCCTATCTTTTCTCTGCCAACCATTGAGTTTATAGACTATCAATGGAGTGATCACGCTATAGTATGCAGTAATATGCGTCTCACTATATCCTCCGGCAAAGGTGTGTGGCGAGCGAATCCGCTACTATGTCGTTCTGAGACCTTCAAGCAAACCTTGTATCACGATCTAGAGTCCTTATGCGAATCGTTTTCACCTACTCTTTCCCCTCAAGAGCAGTGGGATCAGGTGAAATATCAAGTCAAACTCACATGTCAAAAACTAGGAAGGAAACAGGCGTCCCGTCGACGTCAAGAGATCAAGCAGCTACAGCGGCAGCGTAACAATCTACTCTCGCGTCCAGATGGTGCACATCGAAACGCGAGTCAGGTGCTTAGTATTGAAGCAGAAATCACTCGTCTGCAACAAGAAGCAATGGATATACTCGCACTCCGAGCATCGAGCAACTGGCGGGAAGATGGCGAGAAATCGGCAGGATATCTGAAACGCTCCATTCAGGCGCGCACTACACAACGAGCCATTCCGCCCCTTCAACATCCTTCCACCGGTATTGTAGACTCCTCCATATCTCACCTCCATGAATCTGTTTGCGCATTCTACAGTCATCTGTACACTCCTACCCCTGTCTCTAGTACAGCCGTCGATGATTTATTATCCCATCTTCCCGCTTCATGTGTTTTGTCGCCTATTGCCCGCAACAGTTTAACTGCACCCATTACCCTGACTGAAATACTAACCCCAGCAGAAAGATGCCCCAAACAAAGCAGTCCTGGCTTAGATGGCATTCCGTACCAAATCCTATTGACCGTCCTCCAACATCCTCGCATGCAAGCTTTAGCGTGTCAAGTATATAATGATGCTCTTAACCATGGTCAGTTTCCTCAATCATGGATGCAAACCTGTATATGCTTGCTCCCCAAAAAAGGGGATCTGTCTTCATTAGCCAACTAGCGCCCCATCTCCCTCATTAACACTGATGCAAAGATCTTTACCCGCATTTTGAATAATCATATGATATTAGTTGCTGCTAATCTTGTCAATAATTTTCAAACAGGTTTTGTCCATGGAAGATATATAGCGGATAATGGCATGCTGGTCCGATTGATTATGGACCACGCGCAAAAACACGAAATCCACTCGGTCGGCCTGCTAATTGATGAAGAAAAAGCGTATGATCGAATTCATCCCGAGTACCTTCGTCGCGTTCTTTTACATTGGGGTTTCCCGGACAGTCTAGTAGTTTGTATTATGCAATTATTTTTTGGCACGCGGATATCTGTTAATGTCAATGGTCATCTATCCCCTACCATACTACAACAACGCGGTGTTCGCCAAGGCGACCCGTTGTCCCCATTACTGTTTAACCTTGCTATTGAACCCTTGCTACAGCGCATCTTGCATGACCCTGCAATACAAGGATACTCGATACCCAGTTCAATCCCCGGGTTTCAAGGTCCTTCAGCTGCCAAGGTGCTCGCGTACGCTGATGATGTGCTGGTATTCCTTCACAACGAGGAAGACTTGCGACGTTGTCTGATCCATTTTGAAACATACGCTGCTGCTTCGAACGCACAGGTTAATTACCACAAGACCCATGCTATCTCTTTATCGGGCTCTGCCTCATCTACCTGGGCTAACATACTGGAAAGTCATGGTATTCGCTCTTGGCACGACAAGACCTCTCAGCAAGCTCTGGTTTACCTCGGCTATCCTCTGTATACATCCACTCAACAACGCGATCTCTTTGGTCACCAACTTCTGGCGAAAATCAAAGCTGGGTGTGCACTTCATTCGCAACGGAACTTATCTGTGCGTGGTCGAGCCACTGTTCTCAATGTTCTTCTCCTTTCCTCATTATGGCATGTTCTCCGCCTAATCCCCTTCCCTAAATCTTTTTTTACTTCATTACGTTCCATCTGCTATTCTTTCATTAACCAGAATATGTTTCCCAAAATTTCATACGATACCTTCTTACTTCCCCGAGATCAAGGTGGCCTAGCTATCCTCGACCCTTCAATTCAGCAGCTCAGTCTGCAGTATCGCTGGCTTCTGCCCCTTGTTTATCAACCCCATCGATATTACTCCTTTGTACAACCTTGGCTTCTATCTCTTCTTAACTCACTCTGTCACCCTCATGACCGCTTATTGTGCCTTTTCTTTCCATCTCTTCGCCCTTCTTCCTTTTCTGTATCCACTTCTCTATGGGGCTTATTGTGCCGTGCACTGGATGCATGTCCCAAAGACCCAGCTCTTTTTCGACCCTCCTTAGATTTAATTCTGTCATTTCCTTTGGACGCTACTGTCTTACATACTTCTCCCACCCCGCCCCCTGTCCTTGGTCGCTTGGCCAAGAACAAAGTTACAGTAGCTGATGCCTTTGATATGAATTTGCAAACCCGCACTCTGACTCGCAAACCTAATCATTCGTTCTCACACCGCAACATTACCATCTAATTTTTTCAGCACATTGATTCACAACTTTTGTCCTATTACCCTTTCTTTAGTCAATTTTATTAAAATCCTCCGAGTACACCTCTTCCTTTCTACTCCTCTATTGAGGCCCTACTAACCAGTATCACTTTTGCTACCCCCCTAAAATTTTTATCTACTCGACTTTTCCGTCGCACGGTAACCCCACAACTCATTAATAATCCAAATTCTTCCTTTATAGAGCCTCTGGAGAAACGACAATGGAAGCGATTTTGGTTGGAACCCGTGTCTCACACCGCTCGTAATGTCTGGTATCGTGCACTCCATCAAAAAATTTCATGTAAAGCCATCCTACACTATACAATTCCTAGTTCATTCCCCTCTCCCAATTGTGTTTTCTGTTCGGATACTCCCGATACTATCACTCATTTTTTATATGCTTGCCCTATTAAGTGGACTATATGGTACACCATCTGGTGTGACCTTTTCCTCTTTTCTCCTACCTTTTCACAAGTCCATCATGCAATCTTTTCTTTATCCTTCCCCTCCAATCCATCCGCAGTCAGTAGCCACATGATCATTTCATGTATCCTACAGGGTCTGTGGTCTACTCACTGGCGCTATGTTTTTGATCAGGTGCCCTTCTTACACGACAACATTTGCCGTGATATTCATTTCCTCATCACTTGTACTCGGCCTCTGATATCTTATGAACCGCCTTAACTCTACCTACATGTCTTGCATCTATCTTGTACATAATTATATATAAAAAAAAAAAAAAAAAAAAAAAAAAAAAAAAAAAAACACGCATAACATCCACCAAGCATCCGAAGCACACCCACACCTGTTCCAACCATCCGCTCCGTCGCCCTCCGCCACGCTCTTGACCTTCGTCATTCATCGATTCCGCCTCTTCATTGTCTCCGATTTTATTCCCTTGATCTCTTGTCTATATCTCTTTCGTTCCCTGATACGTATAGGCAAATAAAACTTGACCCACGGTCACCTATAAAAAAAAAACATCTTCCAAAACTAGGCAAGTAAATTTTCCACTATTCTAGGTTTGGGTGTTTAAAATAATCTTTTATACCAAGGGTGGGTACCCACATCCTCGTCCTCGACTACGCCAACTATGGCATTGGGCTTCTTTCCTACCCCAATTCCCATTGGATCCGCCTCGTCCTCTGATGTGGTGTTCTTATTCGTAAGAGACAAAAAATTGCTTCAACCATCGCTTTCCCTGTTCCTTGCTGATTTGTTGGTTGCAGGTAATAATCTTCCATAATAGAGCTATTAAGACTCCAATTTCCGTGAATCTTTACTTGTCTGATATATTGTCCTTAGTTCAACCGCACGAGTACTTGCTGCTGCTCTAGTCGAATGGGCTTTTTATAGCTTAATATCGATCCCCGCATTGGTCAAAATCTTCGTGACCATTCCTGCTGCAGTCTTCGGTCTTATCGATCCGGTTTACTTGTAGTCGATATCCACATAGGTCAAAAACAACGTGTGATCCACAGGCAATTGAATCCTTAGATCGTGAAATCTTTGCATCCAATCCCATGATGTTTTCATCGGACAAAACAGTGACTCTTCAATTGCTCCTAGTCGGCTGCGTTTTGCTTGACCTTCCTTCGGCTCGCTCTCGATAATAGTAGCCCCAGTAGGTGTACCTTTCTCGTTGTAGGTGAATGACACATCCTGCCATTGGATCTTGCCGATATCCGAGGTAGTTCGCCACATCGTAGCCAGGCACAAACTGATAACCGTTTTTTGTTGTAACTGCGATAAAGTTAAGTTCTGATTCGGACCCCAAGTGCGGATAAGATTTACCACGAGCTATATATCACATGCCTCTTTGCTGATGTTCGGAAGTTTCACCGTCGATCGTTCACAGGCATTGAAGAACTTTTTAACCCTCGAGTGTTTCCAAATTGGTACCTCTCGCGGATGTGTAATATTAAAAAACCGAAGCAATCGCACTCCTCATCACATTGGGTGTTGCCTTTGCAATCTGTTTGTGTGCCATCAGAAATTCGGTGAGTTGGATTGGATCATACGTAAGGGGATATACTCGAGGTTGTTGTTGCTGACACCATGCTGTCCATTTTCTCCAAGCTTAATCGTAACTTTCATACGTGCTGGCGCGTTTCCCTTTCTTCATGTATTCGATCGTCATCTCGCTCACCCATTCCTGTTTCTGGTATGCGGCGATAACTTCCATGCGACCAATTGTAAAGACGGATTGATAGGCATCTTGATCGGTGAAACCTGGGACCATTGGAGCACTTCATACAGCAAAAAATAATTGGGAGTGCCAAATTGAAAAGACGAGATTTGATCGCATCGGTAATGAACCTCCCCCTACACTAGCAAAAGGAGTCCTGTTATTGTTAATTGCATATAAAAAAGTTAGTATGTATACGAAAAGCTATACTAGAAAAGTTTTCCTTGAAAATCAGGTGAATAATCCAAACTTACTATGTAATGATGGTGACATATGTTCACGAGAAACCAAGTACTTGGATGTATTTAAATAGACCATTCTTTATCTTCCTTTACAAGTTCTGCCATGGTTTAGACAAGTCAATCCCTTGATAGAGCTATGCAATTGCCATCTCATTTTTTAAAATATAAAATTAGCGCACCTTAAGAAAAAATAGAGAGACAAAAGAACCTTACGTTGGTCGATCCTTGTGATGTTAAGAATATAAATCAATGGCACCCATTTCCTTGACGACGCAAAAGTTTTCACAGACTTAACAAACGCATCCACGTTCACCATCCAATATAAACGTGGGGTTTCAGGATCAGCATAATTAGCAAACTTGATACAGATGGAAGCCTTGTCTCGATATTTCTTCATCCTATCGCTTAGAATCTCCGTATATCTCGGCAGAGCCCCAAAACGTACAACTGGTAACAATAAATTAAAATAAAAGTTTAAAAAAACAGTTAGTACTCTTTTTAAACAAAAATCCTTATTCTTTTAGTGCTACTAGATGATAATAATATAATATCGCTACTTGCTAGCCTAAGCTCAAATACACGTCCCAACAGAGGAAGATTTCTACGCCACGTACAGCACTTAACAATATGTTTTTATACTATAGGCCATATATATAACCGTGCTATCGATAACAAATAATATTCTTCATCTGAAGTAGCACATTACATTCAACTTGACAAGAAAATGTGATCCCTATATAAACAAAGTAATATTATTCCCACATCACAAACACATATACCCTTTATAATAAACAAGCATTTACCGTACAACACGTCGATGTGTGATAGACCTGCCGTTAGTTTGAGAGAATGATAACAGGAGAAGAACGAAAGAAACGCAAGCACTGCGAGGGACTTGAAAACCGTGGCTCTCAAGTATACAGCAATGCCCACTTGAACTTCACCAGAACGCATCCTGGGAGTGATCCTCGAATATTAAAGAAACGCAAGCACTACGAGGGACTTGAAAACCGCGGCTCTCAAGTATACAGCAATGCCCACTTGAATTTCACCAGAACGTATCCCAGGAGTGACATTCAAGTATGAAAAAGATGAACAACAATAAATTCAAAATTTTCATCCAAATGTGCCACAGTTGGTTGAATGTGATTAGTAAACCTAAAATAAAAAAGTTACTTAGGTTACTTTTAACAGCTAGTATTATGTTTGCCTTTGTTAATTTGTAATGTCGATCTCTTATATAATAAAATACCTGGCAACAAATGTATTGTTGGAAAAATGTTTTACTTTGGCGCAGTTTCCAGAATATCATGAGGCGAATAATGGAAAATTGTACCTCAGGTAGTAAAATTACAAAGTCCGCAAAGTAATGTCGCAGCCAGTAGAAATCAATGTCGCATGCCCAAAACTAAATATCGCCTGGTTTTAGGGAATGTTGCATTAAGCTGTCAAATGAAGACATTATTTTAATAAAGTTTTGATACTTGACTTAGAATAGATAAAGAAAAGAGAAAATTTACTTACCCTTTCTACTTATGATTAGGGATCCGCACGGTTCGGTTCGGTTCGGTTCTTAAAGGGAACCGAACCGAAGCGTCTAAAGCAAGAACCGAACCGACTAGAACCGACGAGAACCGTAGAACCGAAGAATCGAACCGAAGAACCGAACCCATCATGTATATAAAAAAGGCAAGATTCGGTATCTTTAAATGAAAGCTGATGTGTGTGTTCAAATGTCGCGGTATACTTGAATACTGCAGTAAAAAAGAATAATTTATTATTGTACATTGAACAGCGATCTCAAAATGAATAAGAGAAACAGAATGTAAACATTCTCATACGATGTGGGTCATTGCATGGTTAAAAGATTGAAGCACAGTTTTTACAAAAAAAAGTGGAGCTTATAGTACTTACTTAGAGCGACTTAGTATTACTAGTACAATATGTTATCGTAACATTGGAGGAATTGAACCACAACCGGCAGTACATACAGCTGCTGTGTCTCTACGTGTGTATAGTGTATAGTGTCTCATAAAAGGCAAAGGGTGAATAGGTAAGATAATTCTGTTATGAGCCCCAGAATGCGCAATCTCAAACGGAATGCACAAACTTGATAAAACTGATCGAGAAGCCATGATAAATCTAGTTAAGTAGTACGTCATGGAGAAAAATGCATTGTAGGTAGCAAAGTAGAGGAATAAGTAATGATGTGCGTCATAGGCGGAGAAAGCAAGCTGCCGTCAGAAGAAGTGTTTTTTTTATTTTTTTCTCTTATCTTCTTTACTATTTTTTACTCCCTTCTGCTTTTGCAGGTTTTGTTAAGTTTTTCAATAAAGTATGGCTTGCAAATACACTACTTCGTGGTCTTTTCGGAATAACATTGTTCGTAACTTCCATTATAGCCTACTTTATACTAATTACCAAAATCGCTGATTGCAATCTTCTGCCTCTCGGTTCTTCGGTTCTACTTATACAGGACCGGTTCGGTTCTGGTTCGGTTCTTGACAGGAACCGAACCGTATTTTCTCGGTTTCGGTTCGGTTCGGTTCCGGTTCTACGGTTCTGATACGGATCCCTACTTATGATTATCTTATAGTATTTATTAATACCTGTTGCAGTTATGAGCTTACAGGTTCTCTTTTCTACGACACTTATCTAAGCATCTAAAATGTGAATAAGAAACAAATCCAATAAAGTCCTTAGGCTTTACATTATTACATGCTTCACGGATTCTTGTTGATAAGGTTTCTTGCTGTAAGAATCGTTGGCGTTTAATCTTGCTCTTCGCAACAGACCAAAATTGTTCTACATACAGTATTGGGTTAAGTTCAGGAGAATATAGAGGAAGATATGCACATCGATATCCACGATACTCAACATATTTTGCAATGTCATTGGAAGTGTGTATCCGGGCGTTGTTCATAATCAAATACATAATATCCTTTCATATATGGATGTTTACCCATTTCGTCTAATGTTTCCTTCAAAAAGCTGATGTAGTGACCTGTAACAGTTCCAGTGCTCAGAATTCCAGATTCTTGACTGCCTTTCTCTTCTTACTACTAGGACTAGTAGGTAATCTCACACTAACTTTGATTAATCCTGAAGCAGAGACGGCTCCTAATACCGTGGCAGTTTTTACTCTTGTAGTTGGTACAGTTACAACAGCTGGAGTACCCACTGTTGACCAAGCTTTTGTACGTTTCATATTTATATGGAATAGTGATTCATCGAGAGATACGTTGTTTTTGACCTATGTGGATATCGACTACAAGCAAACCGGATCGATAAGACCGAAGACTGCAGTAGGAATGGTCACGAAGATTTTGACCAATGCGGGGATCGATATTACGCTATAAAATACCCATTCGACTAGAGCAGCAGCAAGTACTCGTGCGGTTGAACTAAGGACAATATATCAGACAAGTAAAGATTCACGGAAATTGGAGTCTTAATAGCTCTATTATGGAAGATTATTACCTGCAACCAACAAATCAGCAAGGAACAGGGAAAGCGATGGTTGAAGCAATTTTTTGTCTCTTACGAATAAGAGCACCACATCAGAGGACGAGACGGATCCAATGGGAATTGGGGTAGGAAAGAAGCCCAATGCCATAGTTGGCGTAGTCGAGGACGAGGATGTGGGTACCCACCCTTGGTATAAAAGATTATTTTAAACACCCAAACCTAGAATAGTGGAAAATTTACTTGCCTAGTTTTGGAAGATGTGAAGATACATAGAAGAAAAACTGAGAATAAAAAGTGCGGCTTTGGGAGCCAACACCACATCCTCGTCCTCGACTACGCCAACTATGGCATTGTCAGTGTCAACGCAAAGCATGCGTTTTCTTATCCATTCCAGTAACCCGTTAAAACTATACATTTTGTGTGAGTACAGATGGTGGAGTCTGGAACACAACATGTGGACTATAAAAAAAACTTACGTTGACATGTTTTATAATATGAGGTTCAAGAGCTTTGATAAATGATATAGAAATAAAAGAAAAGATGGTGAAATCACGATGTTGTACATATACAGGAAATTGTGGGTAAGAATATGTGCAATAGTGATTTAGGTATAACTAGAAATTGGAAAATGGTTTTAAAGTGCTATGCATATGTGATATTTGATAGGTGATAGGTGATAGGTGATCTCGATTGTGTATATGTGTCGTGTCATGTTGTGTATGTATCTGTTGAAACGTTCAAGCTTCACTATTGTTGTCTGTTGTATCAAGATTACTACTGCTACTGGTGGTTGATGTTTTTCTTTTCTTTGGCGACACATGGTTCTCAAAATGGAAAGCGAAATCAATAGGTGGCTTTCTGGTACGATTTTCCCTTGTCGGTACAAAAATCTCTTCATCATTAACGATATCCCTTGTGTCCTTCAACAACTTCTTCATTCTCCAAACAAGGATGAGAATGCTGGTGAGTCTGGCAACAAGATTGGATTTGGATTCAGGAAATGATAAAGGACCAAGCGTTTCTAGTATACAAACATAACCTTTAGGACACGTCATCCCGAGAAACTTTGCTCGTAAACCTATTAGAAAAGTCATTGGTTATTATCATTATGATTACCATTATAGCGACATTAATTAACATGCTTATTGACATACCAGAGAATATGAAACCAACTGTAACAAGATCATGAATTCTTTTTGGTTGGACTTCCCTGAGTTTCATCAACATATCTCGTAATGTTTTTGGGCAAATGAATCGACTTTCTGATAATTCTTTGGTAGTATCGTTTTCCATTTGTTTTCCCGCTTCAGCGCAGCCGTACTCATTTGATCCAGCCTTGAACAGTAGATCGACTTTTTTCCCAATGGTTTTTCTGTTGATCGATTCTTCACCGGAGAGAGAGCGGGATGTGCAGTACCAAATTGGCTATAAATTTACAATAGTTTTTGATAAATCTAATAAATTGCTTGCTGCCATATTAAATTATATCATCCATTTTGATATTTTATCAATTTTATGACATCATGTGACCAAAATCATGTATTCAATGATTATAAAAATTGAAAATCCATAATATAAACAAAGAACGACCCAATGGATACAACAAACTATACACCACTGATTACAAATGAAGTAAACTCAATTATTGCAAATTATTGGCAATTCCTAGAATGGAATTGGCCTACTGTACATAATAAATATAAACATAGAACTGATTTGAAACATATTAAATTCAAAGAATTTTTAAGGATGAATTGTTACATAAATTAGGTAATGTTGCTGTATTTTATTTTCTAATAGTTTTATATACAAACAAGGAATATCCCGGACCTTACTTTGAAATTGAAAAAGGATTGTTTTTATTATATCATTTAGTCTCTGGAGTATGTGGTGAAAAATTTGAAAAATACTTACCACATAGCACATTTTATATATTTTATGAAAAGTTTTGGATGGATGAGGACAACTACAAACGAATCAACAAAATAGTAAATGATTCAATGAATAACATGTTTTTATCTATCAAATTACGTATTCTATCTGCTAGAAAGCATAATCCCGACTTATTTAAACATGTAACACTTGTATTGGATGGTCATGATTCAAGAATTAACTATGTAGATACTGAAATTGACCACTTTCAAAGAATGTATTCTTATAAATTTAGGAAGAATGGAATATGTACCCAATTTGTTAGTGATATGAATGATATGATTATTTATACTTCTAAAAGTGACTTTTGTTCTGATAGCTCAGATGGTAGCATGTTTTTAAACATGAAATTATTTAAATATATGCATGAGAATGACATAATGGCAGTTGATGGTGGATATACTTTGTTTATCATACAATTTACAGAGCTTGCTAATGAAAAAGGCTATAACTTTAGCCATGATAATTTTGTATACCCTATACGTAAAAATGTAAATGAGCCCTTAACATTACTGAGGATCATTTTAATAAGACATTTGGAAGTTTTAGGACAAAAGTTGAGAATTAATTTTCAGAAATTGGGAATAAATTCTGCCGATTCAATAATAACAAGTCAGTTGTTAAAATGGATAACATAAAATACTATAATCTGCAATTTCGTGTAGCTTGTTTTTTTAAAAATATTACCAAATGTGTAGAAATGTTCAATATTCCTATTTTACCACACCATAAACTATGACACAGTAATGATTTTAATTTTCCAGTAGAGCATAAACTAATTGATATAGTGGTCAGCAATGATAAACAAAATAAAGATAAACTGGATAAAATGATTAGATTGCAAAATGACCTGCTTAATATGGCTATATCAAATGAAGAAATGATTGTTGATAATGAATCTGATAATAATTCAAATCAGAGTAATAGTGATAATGTGGATGTTCCAAGATTTAATGAGCGTAGTAAAAAAAGAAAGCGAAATAAAGGGAAACAACAAGCAATGGCATCATATGAAATAGAAGAGATTATTAGGCATAAAACTGAAAATGGTACATATTTGTTTGAGGTAAAATGGGTTGGATAGAGTGCTGATGATAACAGTTGGTTATCAATTGATAAATTTAATCAAAAGGATTTATTAAAGGAATATATCAATAAGTATAATCTTGGTATATTATAAAATTGCATACTCTACTATTTACAATATTTTCTTCAATTAGTATATAATATAATGTGAATTCATACCTGGCATTCCTTTCTTACCAATTATTTTTATATATACACAAAATTCAATTTTTTGTACAATTTGGATTTTTACAGCCAATAGATTTCTTACAGCCAATAGTATTATCTAATATCTAATTGCAGTTAGATGTCCCCCAGAGCGGGAGGCATTCTTTGCTTCACCTGATGCACTACTTGTCTTTTCACCACTGTTCGTTATGGTAAAATGTCAGCAAATCTGTTTCCAAAATTCAAGGAAGAAAATTCGTTCCAATATTGAGGATGCTGGCTGCATCAAAATCAAACTTACCCTCTCACTTTAAAATCTGACACATCAAAACACTCTTGTACTATTCCCCAGACACGATTGAGGATGTCAGTTTCGCTATAATCTGTTATTGGAAGATAGTTGCTGTAAAACAGATTCAATGTTTTTACAAAAGCTTGATGAATCCAAAATAAATCCGATTCTCGTTTGGGATGGAATAGACGATGATTGGCATAGTCAAAGATTGATTCAAGATCCTTCTAATAACACAAAATATGTTAGTACTGCCATGTCTTTTTTATTTTACGTTTTGTTTCTTTACATGACTATACTTATGTTTCCAGCATAACCTTTCAAATATTCAGCAATGTGAGTTGGTACAGTGAACCCCTGCTTTTTGCACCCCCGTTTATTGCAGATCCCCACTTATTGCAACTTTTTTGAGTAGATTTCCGCTCAACACTTAGTAAAATTGGAGATTCCTCGGTTTTTGCAGATTGCAACTTGGAAATCGGGACCTGCAATTTCCCGCTTCAGCCTTATATATTGTATATTAATCTCAAACTTCAGAGACAGTGAGACTCGAACCAGTGACAAAAGAGATACACTATTGTATTCTATTATTTAAGAGCTTTTAAACTAAATAAGGAAAGATGTGATTGCCAGCTTATCGATCCCACTTATGTAACATATTCACATTTTGCAGTTCCTCAGATTTTGCAACTTTTTTGACGGTATTCCCACTATTGCAAAAAGCGAGGGTTCACTGTAATTCTGGATCTTTTAGGCAACGAGCATCCTTAATTTCTCTCATTTCTTGTTCGGTGAAATACCCATCCTTGACCCACATTTTATCATCAATATCTAAAATCAATGAGTGTATGGGACTGTATATGCAAAAATAATTAATATGAAACATAGAGACAAAAATCAGCATGCCTAGATATTGGGCTCACTACTTACTGTTCAAAGTTGTAGGTAACCGCGTACTTTTTCATGGTGTCTTCAACTACTTTGCCTGTACTCAATGTCCATTTTTTATCATCAACCAAAGGCTCAAAGTACTTGTCGACCATAGCTGCTGTGATTGGCTTTTTCGATGATTTTGAAGGTGTTGAAGGTGATGCTATTGATGGTGGTGGTTTTTGTTGTTGTGGGACAGGGTGAGGACCAGTATCGAATTTCTAGTAGACATGACGTTAATATGGTAACTTTACTTCGTTGCCATTACAAGTATCATACTTACTTTGACTGCAGCTAAAAGCAATTTGTCCCAATCTGGCTTGCCAATGACCTATAAAAAAAATATAGCTTTGGTATTGGAGATATATATCAAGCTATACATAATAGTGCATTGATATACTCACGTGTGCGATGTTTTTAAGCCTTGTGTGTCTGATATAGTGATTGGTCCAGTTGCTTTTAATATCTTCGCCCAACTTTGTTATAGCAATAATACTTTTTCATTGTCATTTAGGAACCTTTCCAGAGTAGGTTCAGCATCGTTGTTAAGATAATTTTCTATCACTATGAATAACGTGTGTCAGCAACAAGGTTACTGGGTAACATACAAATTTTTACGTTTACTTACACTGATTACAAGCTTCGTAGTCTTTGCTGCTAGATGTCATGACAGGGGACCGGTTGAGGTTATAATGATTATGCTCTGATTTATTGGTACTAGTTGGATGAATAGCCACAATAAGTTGGTGTAACAAAATAATTTTCATGAAATTAAATTATGTATGTCTTGGCATGTATATATTTAAAAATTTTAAAAAAATAAAAATTGAATTTTTTTATTATATAAAAATAACACTTCATAATATTAAACATGAACAACACAATCACATTCAACAATGACAAAATCGTTCTTGATACTAATAAATTAAGTATATTTTTAAATAATAATAGTATAAACATTAAAGAATTTGCTGAAGAAGCAATTTATGAAAAATATGATATAAATTATAATATTAAAAAGAATAAACTATTAATAAAACGTAAAGTATCAAAAAAACAAAAAGACTCATCTAAAAATAGTTTAAGTAAAGCGAATAATGAAAGAGATATTATTTCTGTTAAAAAAAAGTAAAGAGAAAACATTAAAGGAAAATATAAAACTAAAGGAAAATTTACATAAATATGAGAATTACTATGAAAAATCCGATACATTACCTCCAAAAGAAATAGTTGCCGAAAATTCAAATTCTCAGTAATTTGAAATTCCTCATATTTCAAATACACAGACAAAAGAAACATATGCTGAAAATTTAAATTCTCAGCAATCCTCAAATCCTCATATTTCCAAAGCAATGTTAGAAAACACCTCTAGTGCAGATGCCTCACAGGGTGATTCTGATAACGATGAATGTGAATCAGGTGAGGGTGAATATATGTGTATGATTGCATGTAAGCCCTGTATGGATAAATTAAATGATACTTATGATTGTAGTTTTATTGATGAACTTATTTTAAAACTTGAAAAGGAAAAATATAAGTATAAAAGGTTTTTCAATTCATACTTTAGATATTATATTGATTTAATAAAAGTAAAAGAAACAAATAGGGATGATATTATGCAAATGTGTCAAGAGCAAATGCAGAAGTTAATCATTGAATATAGTCAGATATATACACATGAAAATGAAAGTGAAGATGAATATAGTGATGATGAATATAGTGATGATTCTGATTAAACTTGTATCGGCCATTAATGGCTATACCGTTTAGGACAGGCTTATTAACTATAACAAAATCAATAAACAACTAACAGCTAGACAAGTAATAGTAGGACACCACAGTAAAAGATAACAGGTTATAGTCAAGACGTGCAGTCTACCTCGGATTTCAATACCTTAGGTAGTAAAAATACAAAGTCCACAAAGTAATGTCGCAGCTACCCCAGACCTAAATTATTTGCCCATATTCAGACACTGCACGGGCCTCTACAAGCTCTTTTTGGGTGACCGTAAGAATTTACCCGGTGGCTTGGTGGCGTACATCACGTGACTTCCTAAAAAGGAAATAGAGTGGTAAATGGTTTTTCCAGCGGCTAAACGTTTTACAGGGCTACAGCAATAGCACAAATGTATGGTTTAATTTTTCAAAATCTTTGCATTGGTGAAGTGGTCTAACGCACTAGCCTTGTGTCAAGCCTTTGGTAAAAGGCGCGAGTTTAAATCCCCCTTTTGCCAAATTTTAATATATTTTTTTTGGAAAACTGGTTTTTGCTATTATCCAATCAATTCTTGTTATTTTCATATAAATGATATACCATCAGATGCAGCTTTTTTCCCTAATTCCAATAAGTATAAAAGCATATGCTTTTATATAGTATGTCTATGGATGATCCCATTGCTTATACATTTATAGTATTATACTTTTTGTATATCTATTTACAATGTAGTAGAATACTTTTTAGATATCTAAAAAATTTGAAAAGAGCATCTGTAGTAGTATAATGTATAGTAAACTTAAAACTATTTGTTTTATATGAAACGAATGAGTATCTGATAAGATATGAGTACTTGATGATAGAAAATATTAGTAGTTGATAGATAATACTTCAGTGACAAAAATACTTTAATATACCCAAATTTAGATTGTGACTTTTATTTATGGAACAAATCGGAGCTGAATTTGAGTTATGTGACGTACATTTATAAGGTATAAATACAATATCTTTTTGAGATTTCTTTTTATTCTTTGGTCTTCCCAGTTTCCCCACGAGAAAAAAATAAACTGGACCCTTTACACTATTTACATCTACTACATCTACTCTTTCTCCTATCTATATCTAAATACCTTTATTCAAACACTTATACACATACACAACTACATCTCTATATATAAAACAAACTATTATTAGGTATTCTTAGAAAGGAGAGTTAAGTATAAAAGTAAAGGTATTAACTAGTTTATAATAGTATGCCAATCTACAACAATATCCCTACACCTACTGAGCCTTACTTCTTAAATACTGAGGCTTGTATTCAGTATCTATATGAAGAAGGCATTTTTTACCATAGTATGAAGTGCCTTAACTGTGACTAGGATATGCCTCTTTACAGGCTGTTTAATAGTTTATTAATTTATTAATTTTTAATTTATTTTATATATTTAGTTTTTAAGTTTTATTTTTAAATAATAAAGAATGATCAATATAGTTAGGGGTGGTCAGAGAAAATCTTTGATTTTCGATGACGTGGTTAGCTGGTCATTGAGACAGTAGTCGAAACCCTAGAATAATGGTAGTTATTCTAAACACTTGTCTACAAGTGCCTCATGAACAGTGTTCTAAATCAGATACATATATATAATACTGTATGCTACCGGAAAAAGATGCTCTGGTTGGGGTTCCTGGTTGCTCATTGTCGAAATAGAGGACGCAATGTAGTGAGAATTATTCTGAGAAAAAGAAGGGAGAAAGCTGGTGCTATGGTAGGCTGAGCATACTATAATTTCTACGGTGTGCACGGCGTGACACCACAGAGGCCACAGGGTATGTTCCGTAGAGCTTGTAGAGGCCTGTGCGGTGTCCGAATACGGGCAAATAATTTGGGTCTGGGGTGGCTGCGACATTACTTTGTGGACTTTGTATTTTTACTACCTGAGGTATTGAAATCTAAGGTAGACTGCGCATCTTGACTATAACCTATTATCTTTTACTGTCATGACATCTAGCAGTAAAGACTACGAAGCTTGTAATCAGTGTAAGTAAACGTAAAAACTTATATGTTACCCAGTGAGCATCATTAATAAATAAAAATCTTTAAAGTTAATTTCTTAAAAAGATATATCATTTCGAAATTAAAATTAATTAATTAATTTTTAATTTCTTAAAAAAAATAATTATTTTTTTTGGATATGTAATAGTTTTTGCTAAGACAAAAAATTAAAAATTTTTTTATAGAAAAACAATTATCTGTGAATTCTGCAATACCCAAAATTAAAATTTTGGTTGAGAATTCAGAACCTTTTTCTTCTTTGAAAAAGAACCATAAAAAGAAGCACTTCGTAAGTTAAGAACTTACGAAATTTTTTAAGGTTCAACAACGCTCAGTAACCTTGTTGCTGACTCACGTTATTCATGGTGATAGAAAATTATCTTAACAACGATGCTGAACCTACTCTGGAAAGGTTCCTAAATGACAATGAAAAAGTATTATTGCTATAACAAAGTTGGGCGAAGATATTAAAAGCAACTGGACCAATCACTATATCAGACACACAAGGCTTAAAAACATCGCACACGTGAGTATATCAATGCACTATTATGTATAGCTTGATATATATCTCCAATACCAAAGCTATATTTTTTTTATAGGTCATTGGCAAGCCAGATTGGGACAAATTGCTTTTAGCTGCAGTCAAAGTAAGTATGATACTTGTAATGGCAACGAAGTAAAGTTACCATATTAACGTCATGTCTACTAGAAATTCGATACTGGTCCTCACCCTGTCCCACAACAACAAAAACCACCACCATCAATAGCATCACCTTCAACACCTTCAAAATCATCGAAAAAGCCAATCACAGCAGCTATGGTCGACAAGTACTTTGAGCCTTTGGTTGATGATAAAAAATGGACATTGAGTACAGGCAAAGTAGTTGAAGACACCATGAAAAAGTACGCGGTTACCTACAACTTTGAACAGTAAGTAGTGAGCCCAATATCTAGGCATGCTGATTTTTGTCTCTATGTTTCATATTAATTATTTTTGCATATACAGTCCCATACACTCATTGATTTTAGATATTGATGATAAAATGTGGGTCAAGGATGGGTATTTCACCGAACAAGAAATGAGAGAAATTAAGGATGCTCGTTGCCCAAAAGATCCAGAATTACAGTGAACCCCCGCTTTTTGCAACAGTGGGAATACCGTCAAAAAAGTTGCAAAATCTGAGGAACTGCAAAATGTGAATATGTTACACAAGTGGGATCGATAAGCTGGCAATCACATCTTTCCTTATTTAGTTTAAAAGCTCTTAAATAATAGAATACAATAGTGTATCTCTATTGTCACTGGTTCGAGTCTCACTGTCTCTGAAGTTTGAGATTAATATACAATATATAAGGCTGAAGCGGGAAATTGCAGGTCCCGATTTCCAAGTTGCAATCTGCAAAAACCGAGGAATCTGCAATTTTACTAAGTGTTGAGCGGGAATCTACTCAAAAAAGTTGCAATAAGTGGGGATCTGCAATAAACGGGGGTGCAAAAAGCAGGGGTTCACTGTACCAACTCACATTGCTGAATATTTGAAAGGTTATGCTGGAAACATAAGTATAGTCATATGAAGAAACAAAACGTAAAATAAAAAAGACATGGCAGTACTAACATATTTTGTGTTATTAGAAGGATCTTGAATCAATCTTTGACTATGCCAATCATCGTCTATTCCATCCCAAACGAGAATCGGATTTATTTTGGATTCATCAAGCTTTTGTAAAAACATTGAATCTGTTTTACAGCAACTATCTTCCAATAACAGATTATAGCGAAACTGACATCCTCAATCGTGTCTGGGGAATAGTACAAGAGTGTTTTGATGTGTCAGATTTTAAAGTGAGAGGGTAAGTTTGATTTTGATGCAGCCAGCATCCTCAATATTGGAACGAATTTTCTTCCTTGAATTTTGGAAACAGATTTGCTGACATTTTACCATAACGAACAGTGGTGAAAAGACAAGTAGTGCATCAGGTGAAGCAAAGAATGCCTCCCGCTCTGGGGGACATCTAACTGCAATTAGATATTAGATAATACTATTGGCTGTAAGAAATCTATTGGCTGTAAAAATCCAAATTGTACAAAAAATTGAATTTTGTGTATATATAAAAATAATTGGTAAGAAAGGAATGCCAGGTATGAATTCACATTATATTATATACTAATTGAAGAAAATATTGTAAATAGTAGAGTATGCAATTTTATAATATACCAAGATTATACTTATTGATATATTCCTTTAATAAATCCTTTTGATTAAATTTATCAATTGATAACCAACTGTTATCATCAGCACTCTATCCAACCCATTTTACCTCAAACAAATATGTACCATTTTCAGTTTTATGCCTAATAATCTCTTCTATTTCATATGATGCCATTGCTTGTTGTTTCCCTTTATTTCGCTTTCTTTTTTTACTACGCTCATTAAATCTTGGAACATCCACATTATCACTATTACTCTGATTTGAATTATTATCAGATTCATTATCAACAATCATTTCTTCATTTGATATAGCCATATTAAGCAGGTCATTTTGCAATCTAATCATTTTATCCAGTTTATCTTTATTTTGTTTATCATTGCTGACCACTATATCAATTAGTTTATGCTCTACTGGAAAATTAAAATCATTACTGTGTCATAGTTTATGGTGTGGTAAAATAGGAATATTGAACATTTCTACACATTTGGTAATATTTTTAAAAAAACAAGCTACACGAAATTGCAGATTATAGTATTTTATGTTATCCATTTTAACAACTGACTTGTTATTATTGAATCGGCAGAATTTATTCCCAATTTCTGAAAATTAATTCTCAACTTTTGTCCTAAAACTTCCAAATGTCTTATTAAAATGATCCTCAGTAATTGTTAAGGGCTCATTTACATTTTTACGTATAGGGTATACAAAATTATCATGGCTAAAGTTATAGCCTTTTTCATTAGCAAGCTCTGTAAATTGTGTGATAAACAAAGTATATCCACCATCAACTGCCATTATGTCATTCTCATGCATATATTTAAATAATTTCATGTTTAAAAACATGCTACCATCTGAGCTATCAGAACAAAAGTCACTTTTAGAAGTATAAATAATCATATCATTCATATCACTAACAAATTGGGTACATATTCCATTCTTCCTAAATTTATAAGAATACATTCTTTGAAAGTGGTCAATTTCAGTATCTACATAGTTAATTCTTGAATCATGACCATCCAATACAAGTGTTACATGTTTAAATAAGTCGGGATTATGCTTTCTAGCAGATAGAATACGTAATTTGATAGATAAAAACATGTTATTCATTGAATCATTTACTATTTTGTTGATTCGTTTGTAGTTGTCCTCATCCATCCAAAACTTTTCATAAAATGTATAAAATGTGCTATGTGGTAAGTATTTTTCAAATTTTTCACCACATACTCCAGAGACTAAATGATATAATAAAAACAATCCTTTTGGTCCGGGATATTCCTTGTTTGTATATAAAACTATTAGAAAATAAAATACAGCAACATTACCTAATTTATGTAACAATTCATCCTTAAAAATTCTTTGAATTTAATATGTTTCAAATCAGTTCTATGTTTATATTTATTATGTACAGTAGGCCAATTCCATTCTAGGAATTGCCAATAATTTGCAATAATTGAGTTTACTTCATTTGTAATCAGTGGTGTATAGTTTGTTGTATCCATTGGGTCGTTCTTTGTTTATATTATGGATTTTCAATTTTTATAATCATTGAATACATGATTTTGGTCACATGATGTCATAAAATTGATAAAATATCAAAATGGATGATATAATTTAATATGGCAGCAAGCAATTTATTAGATTTATCAAAAACTATTGTAAATTTATAGCCAATTTGGTACTGCACATCCCGCTCTCTCTCCGGTGAAGAATCGATCAACAGAAAAACCATTGGGAAAAAAGTCGATCTACTGTTCAAGGCTGGATCAAATGAGTACGGCTGCGCTGAAGCGGGAAAACAAATGGAAAACGATACTACCAAAGAATTATCAGAAAGTCGATTCATTTGCCCAAAAACATTACGAGATATGTTGATGAAACTCAGGGAAGTCCAACCAAAAAGAATTCATGATCTTGTTACAGTTGGTTTCATATTCTCTGGTATGTCAATAAGCATGTTAATTAATGTCGCTATAATGGTAATCATAATGATAATAACCAATGACTTTTCTAATAGGTTTACGAGCAAAGTTTCTCGGGATGACGTGTCCTAAAGGTTATGTTTGTATACTAGAAACGCTTGGTCCTTTATCATTTCCTGAATCCAAATCCAATCTTGTTGCCAGACTCACCAGCATTCTCATCCTTGTTTGGAGAATGAAGAAGTTGTTGAAGGACACAAGGGATATCGTTAATGATGAAGAGATTTTTGTACCGACAAGGGAAAATCGTACCAGAAAGCCACCTATTGATTTCGCTTTCCATTTTGAGAACCATGTGTCGCCAAAGAAAAGAAAAACATCAACCACCAGTAGCAGTAGTAATCTTGATACAACAGACAACAATAGTGAAGCTTGAACGTTTCAACAGATACATACACAACATGACACGACACATATACACAATCGAGATCACCTATCACCTATCACCTATCAAATATCACATATGCATAGCACTTTAAAACCCATTTTCCAATTTCTAGTTATACCTAAATCACTATTGCACATATTCTTACCCACAATTTCCTGTATATGTACAACATCGTAATTTCACCATCTTTTCTTTTATTTCTTTTTATATCATTTATCAAAAGCTCTTGAACCTCATATTATAAAACATGTCAACGTAAGTTTTTTTTATAGTCCACATATTGTGTTCCAGACTCCACCATCTGTACTCACACATAATGTATAGTTTTAACGGGTTACTGGAATGGATAAGAAAACGCATGCTTTGCGTTGACACTGACAATGCCATAGTTGGCGTAGTCGAGGACGAGGATGTGGTGTTGGCTCCCAAAGCCGCACTTTTTATTCTCAGTTTTTCTTCTATGTATCTTCACATCTTCCAAAACTAGGCAAGTAAATTTTCCACTATTCTAGGTTTGGGTGTTTAAAATAATCTTTTATACCAAGGGTGGGTACCCACATCCTCGTCCTCGACTACGCCAACTATGGCATTGGGCTTCTTTCCTACCCCAATTCCCATTGGATCCGTCTCGTCCTCTGATGTGGTGCTCTTATTCGTAAGAGACAAAAAATTGCTTCAACCATCGCTTTCCCTGTTCCTTGCTGATTTGTTGGTTGCAGGTAATAATCTTCCATAATAGAGCTATTAAGACTCCAATTTCCGTGAATCTTTACTTGTCTGATATATTGTCCTTAGTTCAACCGCACGAGTACTTGCTGCTGCTCTAGTCGAATGGGCTTTTTATAGCGTAATATCGATCCCCGCATTGGTCAAAATCTTCGTGACCATTCCTGCTGCAGTCTTCGGTCTTATCGATCCGGTTTGCTTGTAGTCGATATCCACATAGGTCAAAAACAACGTGTGATCCACAGGCAATTGAATCCTTAGATCGTGAAATCTTTGCATCCAATCCCATGATGTTTTCATCGGACAAAACAGTGACTCTTCAATTGCTCCTAGTCGGCTGCGTTTTGCTTGACCTTCCTTCGGCTCGCTCTCGATAATAGTAGCCCCAGTAGGTGTACCTTTCTCGTTGTAGGTGAATGACACATCCTGCAATTGGATCTTGCCGATATCCGAGGTAGTTCGCCACATCGTAGCCAGGCACAAACTGATAACCGTTTTTTGTTGTAATTGCGATAAAGTTAAGTTCTGATTCGGACCCCAAGTGCGGATAAGATTCACCACGAGCTGTATATCACATGCCTCTTTGCTGATGTTCGGAAGTTTCACCGTCGATCGTTCAAAGGCATTGAAGAACTTTTTAACCCTCGAGTGTTTCCAAATTGGTACCTCTCGCGGATGTATAATATTAAAAAACCGAAGCAATCGCACTCCTCATCACATTGGGTGTTGCCTTTGCAATCTGTTTGTGTGCCATCAGAAATTCGGTGAGTTGGATTGGATCATACGTAAGGGGATATACTCGAGGTTGTTGTTGCTGACACCATGCTGTCCATTTTCTCCAAGCTTAATCGTAACTTTCATACGTGCTGGCGCGTTTCCCTTTCTTCATGTATTCGATCGTCATCTCGCTCACCCATTCCTGTTTCTGGTATGCGGCGATAACTTCCATGCGACCAATTGTAAAGACGGATTGATAGGCATCTTGATCGGTGAAACCCGGGACCATTGGAGCACTTCATACAGCAAAAAATAGTTGGGAGTGCCAAATTGAAAAGACGAGATTTGATCGCATCGGTAATGAACCTCCCCCTACACTAGCAAAAGGAGTCCTGTTATTGTTAATTGCATATAAAAAAGTTAGTATGTATACGAAAAGCTATACTAGAAAAGTTTTCCTTGAAAATCAGGTGAATAATCCAAACTTACTATGTAATGATGGTGACATATGTTCACGAGAAACCAAGTACTTGGATGTATTTAAATAGACCATTCGTTATCTTCCTTTACAAGTTCTGCCATGGTTTAGACAAGTCAATCCCTTGATAGAGCTATGCAATTGCCATCTCATTTTTTAAAATATAAAATTAGCGCACCTTAAGAAAAAATAGAGAGACAAAAGAACCTTACGTTGGTCGATCCTTGTGATGTTAAGAATATAAATCAATGGCACCCATTTCCTTGACGACGCAAAAGTTTTCACAGACTTAACAAACGCATCCACGTTCACCATCCAATATAAACGTGGGGTTTCAGGATCAGCATAATTAGCAAACTTGATACAGATGGAAGCCTTGTCTCGATATTTCTTCATCCTATCGCTTAGAATCTCCGTATATCTCGGCAGAGCCCCAAAACGTACAACTGGTAACAATAAATTAAAATAAAAGTTTAAAAAAACAGTTAGTACTCTTTTTAAACAAAAATCCTTATTCTTTTAGTGCTACTAGATGATAATAATATAATATCGCTACTTGCTAGCCTAAGCTCAAATACACGTCCCAACAGAGGAAGATTTCTACGCCACGTACAGCACTTAACAATATGTTTTTATACTATAGGCCATATATATAACCGTGCTATCGATAACAAATAATATTCTTCATCTGAAGTAGCACATTACATTTAACTTGACAAGAAAATGTGATCCCTATATAAACAAAGTAATATTATTCCCACATCACAAACACATATACCCTTTATAATAAACAAGCATTTACCGTACAACACGTCGATGTGTGATAGACCTGCCGTTAGTTTGAGAAAATGATAACAGGAGAAGAACGAAAGAAACGCAAGCACTGCGAGGGACTTGAAAACCGTGGCTCTCAAGTATACAGCAATGCCCACTTGAATTTCACCAGAACGCATCCTAGGAGTGATCCTCGAATATTAAAGAAACGCAAGCACTACGAGGGACTTGAAAACCGCGGCTCTCAAGTATACAGCAATGCCCACTTGAATTTCACTAGAACGTATCCCAGGAGTGACATTCAAGTATGAAAAAGATGAACAACAATAAATTCAAAATTTTCATCCAAATGTGCCACAGTTGGTCGAATGTGATTAGTAAACCTAAAATAAAAAAGTTACTTAGGTTACTTTTAACAGCTAGTATTATGTTTGCCTTTGTTAATTTGTAATGTCGATCTCTTATATAATAAAATACCTGGCGACAAATGTATTGTTGGAAAAATGTTTTACTTTGGCGCAGTTTCCAGAATATCATGAGGCGAATAATGGAAAATTGTACCTCAGGTAGTAAAATTACAAAGTCCGCAAAGTAATGTCGCAGCCAGTAGAAATCAATGTCGCATGCCCAAAACTAAATATCGCCTGGTTTTAGGGAATGTTGCATTAAGCTGTCAAATGAAGACATTATTTTAATAAAGTTTTGATACTTGACTTAGAATAGATAAAGAAAAGAGAAAATTTACTTACCCTTTCTACTTATGATTATCTTATAGTATTTATTAATACCTGTTGCAGTTATGAGCTTACAGGTTCTCTTTTCTACGACACTTATCTAAGCATCTAAAATGTGAATAAGAAACAAACCCAATAAAGTCCTTAGGTTTTACATTATTACATGCTTCACGGATTCTTGTTGATAAGGTCTCTTGCTGTAAGAATCGTTGGCGTTTAATCTTGCTCTTCGCAACAGACCAAAATTGTTCTACATATTGGGTTAAGTTCAGGAGAATATAGAGGAAGATATGCACATCGATATCCACGATACTCAACATATTTTGCAATGTCATTGGAAGTGTGTATCGTGGCGTTGTTCATAATCAAATACATAATATCCTTTCATATATGGATGTTTATCTATTTCGTCTAATGTTTCCTTCAAAAAGCTGATGCAGTGACCTGTAACAGTTCCAGTGCTCAGAATTCCAGATTCTTGACTGCCTTTCTCTTCTTACTACTAGGACTAGTAGGTAATCTCACACTAACTTTGATTAATCCTGAAGCAGAGACGGCTCCTAATACCGTGGCAGTTTTTACTCTTGTAGTTGGTACAGTTACAACAGCTGGAGTACCCACTGTTGACCAAGCTTTTGTACGTTTCATATTTATATGGAATGGTGATTCATCGAGAGATACGCAGTTAGTCAAGAAATTCATATCTTTTCAACCTATTCTCGAACACACGATAATTAATCTTATCTAGACTTTTTCTTTCAACGGAGTAGAACTCTGCTTTTTTCAAAGGTGCATTATGTCTTCATAAAGATATGCACTGTGCTATGGGAGACTTTAGATCAATAAGCCTAAACTCATTCACTAAATGATCAGTTATATCCGCAATTGCAGCAGAGGGATTAGAATCAACATACTTAATAACTGTCATTTGATGCTTCTCATTAAGAATACGTTTACGGCCTTGTGTGGTACTATCAAAGATCGAATCTGAATCCTATTCATACTGCTTTACCCATTTCTGTGCAGCACGAGCATGTATACCTAACCGTTTTGCAGCTGCTGAAGCACTCAAACACTTGTCAGTCTTCAGTTTGAAAACTCTAGGCTTTTCTTGATTTTCTCGAGTGCCAAGCGTTTGAACTTTTTAAAATTTGCGACATTTGATTACTAAGCAAACGGCATTAATTTTGCTGCCAAGCGACATTGATTTTGTTGATTTGCGACATTGATTTCTACTGGCTACGACATTACTTTTCAGAAACCCGGTATAAGTTTTTGCATTTAGAAATAGGAAGTTGTTGTTATGTATTCTTAGTATCACTGGAAAAATGTGATGGTGGCACTAGATCATGAGATTGTAGATCATTAACTTTTAAGACAGTGATACGAGAAAACAACGCACGTTTAGGATGGGTTACGCTGTATATTTCTGGTTGCACGATGTGTGTGCCTGACGGAGCCGAGGGAAGAGCACCGAAGATGACAAAAATGATGATGCAGATTGTAAACATATCGGCTACAGTAAAATGGATAGAAAATACCACTACATGCTGATGTGTATATATTGTTGCTTTTCAGATCCTAAAGACAATAAGAAGATGCAAGGAAAATAAGAGTGCAGAGTATACAAAAAAATGTGAGAGAGAGGGAGGGAGAAAAATATTGAAATTGGGCAGCGAATTATTGTGAGAGGGATGTAGTAAGGCGGAATAGATATCTTTGTGTTAAGTTGAACCAAGACTTAGCGACGGGTTCTTTGGGCATGGCGTCTTGCTTTACCAGGTCGACCGGATGCTTTCTTTTTTGATTTCATAGCAGAGAGTGGCTTTTTGCCATTGTTGCTATTCATTCTTCGATTAAGCTTCATATTGGGTGAATTAGCTTTCCACTTCTTCTTGGATGGCTGTTGATCATCATCTAAATCGTCCATATCCATATCAAAGTCATCATCGAGTGTAAATCCTTCCAAACCACTGCTTTTGTCTTTTCGTTCTACGTAAACGAGATCAGTCAGAAATCCACTTATTCTCCTGGCGCCATCCATTGTTACCAGTATAGCTGCTAGTATAGAGACTTACTTCTACTGAATAATTTTGCCTTGTCAACCAACTGTTCGGTATGTTCCATTTCTTGATCCGTCTTGATCTTCTTTAAAGACTTTTTTGCTGCTGCCACATTTCTAGTTTGTCGTGCAGCCTATACACAAGACTTAGTCTAGCACATTATATAGCTTGTTTCCAGCTACCTAGATCGATTTAAGAGTAAATGATGCTTTACCTTGAGTGTGACACTATCGTCCGTGCTTGGGGGTAAAAACGGTGCGTCATGTTCCTCTGCTTGTTTTTTGACTGTCCTTGCCGCCTCAAGTGCTTGATCATAGAATGCTTGTTCGCGTGTCAGATCGTCAAACACATCGCGGATCTTGACTGGCTCTTTGGTAGTGACAGATAAACATTCAAAAGGCGAAACGTCTTCAATCACTAGATCGTCGCGTATACGAGTAATTGCTGCCTATGTTTTAAAAGAAACAAAGCATGCAAGGAATGAGTACGTCAATTAAATTTATGAGAAAGATAAAACGAATCGATCGATCACCACATTTGCTTAAACCCATACTTTGTTATAAACAGTAATGTGTTGCTCGGTAATAAGATCGCCATCGTCATCGTCAACATCACTGTCGTCTATATCTTCAAGACGATAGCCCCATTCACCGGTATCTGGTTCAACCACGATCTCGTCAATGTGATCTTTTTCCATGGTTATTTTTATGGGAGAGCCAAAAGTAATATTTCAAAAATCCTGCAAAAATCGTTGCCCGAAACGATCGAAAGGTGGCTGGCAGCAGACACAGACAGAGAACAACTGAGTGTAAATTATCACATAACGAAGTCGAAGTCTTTATTTGGATGTTTTCAATCATACATAGCCCAAAGGGTAGACTAATTATAATACCTTGGTAAGCCAACTCTAGCATAGAACCTAATCGTTGATTCTCTGTGCGATTTTCTTAAGTTTCAAATTGATCAAAGAAAAGCGATGCTTCGTTGTAGAAATCAGTACATACATCGTTACAGATATACTAAAACAATTTTACTCTATCCTGGGTTTACTAATAAAGCTAACTTCTATGTACCATAAAGTAGCGATACAGTATAAACGAATAATTAGATGAGAAGCAGTCGAGTAAACTTTGATATAGGAACCCTTCGAATGGGGTACAGGAGTGATTACAGTGAAAAGCCAAGAATGGGCGGCGAGTCTCACTTGTTGGCCCCTCTTCCTACCCAACAGTGCTCCTCTCTTTCAACGCTGATCGATTTGGCACTGATGATAATCTGACGGGATAGTACTTATTGCACCTCTTCTTGTACTTTTACCTTTGTGATGTCCTTTGGTACGTAAACTGTTGATTTGAAAGCTTTTGACGTTATAGCCTTAAATATAAATCATAATTCGATGGATAGTTCAGTTCATCTAACCGGGCGCTCGTATGTACGTAAAACAGGAATAGCTTTGCTTTGACTCTGGTGAGCGCCAACTTTGGAATGATAGTACTTAATCACTGAAACCAATTTGCGACTGCTTCCTTTTCCGCTACGGTTCCAGTCCAACATTCTGTTGTCCTTTGTTATGCGTTCTTCAGTATAGGTCTCTCGTTTTGTGGATCGCGCTAATGACAAACATGCATGGTCGCCCCCAGTGTTTCTGATTCCTTCATACTAAATGGAAAAACACATTTATCTTGGTACCCTGCTCTTATGTCTCTTAGTCTCTCTTGACTTCTCTTCTACCTTGTAATGCAGGCGGAAACTTCGTAACCAGTGGATACGAGATGATGAGATGATGGATAGAAGAAAATATGATGATACTGTAATAGAGTGATGATATATTGTATGATCATTGGTCTCAGGTAGATTTGTGCACCTTCTTGGTCTTTTTACAAGGACCAATAGAATCTACTACAGTACAAACGCAAAACATAGAGAAGGGGCACAAAATTGAAGGGACCGGTGCCGTGGTAGTTACAGAAAAAAAACTATTTACTATATGATAGGTTGATACATTACGGTACTTCTTGTACCGAGCATGAAGAAGGTGCTCAATTCAAAGCGCGTCAAAATGAAGTTTGACTGCAATACAACAAAATCTTTCCCTACAGCTGTGCCCTAGGCAGTCGCTGATCTACCATTTATTAACGCAGGTTGATATTCGTACTTTGCGGCTACACAACAAGTTTTATTATCTACATTTGTTTCTCTGTTCGTCATGTCTTTCGCAAACACTAATGATGATATGATAAGCTACACTTGGTCAACATAGCGTATCAACATCAGCACTACACCCTCCCCCTTCTCTTGGTTAATAAACGACAAAGGCTGATGGCAGCCAAAGTGACCAAAGAAGTCGTTCAATATAAAGTCATCTACGATTTATTCCTTGATACTTATTTATTATGTTTTCTGAGGGTATTAACAAGGCTGAGCTACACCTGGTAGTCATAACTTATCAAGCAAATATGGTGTGAGTCTGGAATGGTCCGAGCTGGGAAGACGTATGAGTGTAGTTGTAGAACAACCCAGGTCCATGATTCACTTTCAACTTCAACCACCTTACTCTGATATACAAGCATTTTTGCGAATGTAAATTTCTTTGTGCCACCGTGAGGAGAAAAAAAGGATGGCGCACGTAAAACAGAGTGATTTTATGCAAGGTCCGTACTATGAACGGCAAGGGTGAAAGCAGACATCATGTCATATTTAAATGCGGATATACGTGTATAATGACAGTAGCAGATGAATCCAAAGTGGTCACACATCTCATGTGTTTTCCAATACGGGAGGCAGAAGAAGAAAAACTATCAATAACTTTATGGACAGCATCATACTGCATCACCAGTCACCCCCATCACCTTCCATTTCCGGGAATCCGCTCTTTTGGTCTTCGCTTCCTTTCTGACACTACATACACGCTTATACAACGACAGGCCATCCAGCAAACACACGATGCAAGCTGATCAATCACAAAATTTGACACAACTCGTCGACAGTCTCTCAAAAAAAATACACAATTGCTTGGAAAAAGTATTGGTTGACCCTTCACTAAGCAGAGATGGCATTGAAGACTCACAAAGTTGGTACCAAAACGATCGCGTTTAAATTATACGCTTCCACGCGTCTTTTTTTTTCATACACTAACTAAAAGTATGGAATCACTAGCCTTAGATGCCCAAGTAGTCGAATTAAAGTCAACTGTACTGAATTTGGAAAGAAACTTCAAAGAGATTCGGTTACAGGCTTTAGGCGATCGCAAACTGGCCGTACAAGAGGTAAAGCTTCAGCTTCTCAATGAAAAACTGTTTATTGTTTACGTCCAGCTGTTAACATAAACCCTTTTTATTGCACTGCACTTAAGTCAGTAGAACTATTAAAACGCGACATTGAAGTGAAAAAGGCAACCATCGAAAAATACGCCAGCAAACTCGAGCAATGGGATCAGGAACTGCCGGCTTTGGAAGCCAAGAGCAGAGAGGTGCTCAAACATCGTACAGACGGTAAAGATTTCAATGAACCAGCGAAGCATGAATATCTGGAAAGAAAGAAAAGGCAGCAACAAGAAGACGGCGATGATGATGATGATGACGACGACGAAGATGAAGATGCTGAATTTGAAGAAGTATAAGGTCTATCTTCTGATTTGGTTGTATTACCTCGCTCCTTGTGTAAATATCCATATACAATGCTACTCTTTCTTTCACTTCTTTGATCACAACGACCCAATATTACTGCTCATGCCATTAATAGCGTCATCACCACCATCTGTCTTTTTATCCTCACATCTCCCCCTACGTGACAGATCGATGATCTTCTCAGCAGCGCCTTTATCATTTTGCTTTTTTTAATGCACTCGAATCAAACTACAATAATGTAACATACACAAGTTGTGGATGGTTGATTGACGCGGATTATTCGATTTTACTAGTGCATGGAGGAACTACAGTGTACGTAGATACATCTTTACTGTCTATTCCTTGCAATGACATCATCCTAACGTTATGCAATGTCGCCATTGTAATCTGCAAGCTTGACGATGTATAGGTGCGGTGCTCGTTTCTGATGCATTATATTTCACGCATGATATCCGCATCTGCTGCATGAGACGAGAAGTTTGTTGGCTTCACCTTCGCCAAGCACTAGTAGTCACCAAGACATACAGAGTGTGGATAGAGAAGTAAAAAACTTATAATGCTGGGAAATTTGAAGAGATTGAATCTATCTTCTTTTTGGTTGTATTTTATTTTTATTTTTTTGCTTTTGCGGTGTGTCTGTGTGTGTATATGTACATTATGTTGTTTGCTATACAGCCCATTAATTGGTATTACTCTTCTTGTTGCTCATGCAGAATCGGCATCATGATTATTGTCACTCCTCATCACCCGCTTCCTTCTTGGCATTTTCCCCCATCTCCTTCTCGTCCTTCTTAGGAGCACCTTCGTTGTTTTCAGCTTCTTCCACTTTGTCCCCGGTGTCACTGCTAGCTTTGGATGCATCGTCTCCGAGCAATTTGCTGTCTTTAAGCTTGCGGCCTGGGATAACTTCCAGAAAGGCCTTTTCCCAATCACGGGTCTCCAGCCACTTGATCATAATTTCATACACTATTACAAAAGCAAAGAAAGCGGTCAATATCTTTCACTAGAAATAAGATAGAAGTAAGGCTTATCAATTTTACCATGATTCACGGTGAGCACTTTACGACTTGCCATGTGCAAGTATTCGCCGATCGGAAGAGCGGCGGTCTGGATGCCTTGATCCGTAGCCTTATTTTGGCACAAGCCCTGGATCACATTATCCATTATTTAGCATTAGAGTTATTACTATGTAAATGATGTATGGCACCAGCCCATCGCTTCATAAACAAATATAAGCTAAAATTAAGAATAACAAGTACCTTGTGCCTATTTTTATCCACAATGCCACCAATAATGTAGACCTTGTCATCTTCGAGCTCTCGGACCACGTTATCCGAATCCGCCGATAAGTACACAAGTTTAGACGTATCGAACTTGTCCATATACGATTCCGTGGTAAACTCAATGTTTTTCCAATTCGTATACGTCGGTGTCTTTTTCTCGAACGCATTTTTCAACGCATCGTCAAACGAAGTGATAGTGATCTCCATCGGATGGGCTCCGGCTCGATTAGCGCTATGACAGCGGACAAGTTGGGCCTGCATCGATTTGATTTCCTATAACAATAACATAAAAAGGTCAGTTGCATCATACAACATGGTGCTCACTATTCTTATCGTTAATCACAAGTGGCCATCGTTTGCTTCCTTACCGTATCATGCATGTATGAGGTAAACGAACAATCCATAACCACGCGAACCGAACTTGGTTCGACAGTACGCGCCCGTTTGGGTGGTGGAGCAGGAATTACACCTTCTTCAATAAGCTTGCGTCGTTCTGCACTCTTTTGCTTCTTCTTTTCTTTTTGGAATTTATTGCGTTTCTCACGTGTGGCATTCCATACTTCTTCTCTGAGTAATTTTTTCAGTGCATTCTTGGACAAGCCTTGGTATTTTGGATCGGTAATGTCGTAGGTGATTCCTTTATAGGTACGAATGTTATCACTGGCGTTGCTATTGTCGTTTGCGGTGTTTTCATTTTCGCTGTTGTCAACGTTGTCGTTCGTTGTCGTTTCAGTGGTACTCGTAGTGTACGAAGCCACCAGTTCGGGCTTGTGATCGTCGTCAGCCATCGGGAAAGCAAGATCAAAAAAGTTATGTGTGCGAAATAAAAATGTGCTGGCTCTATTTCTCGGAGTGTGAAACGCTCAGCAATATCTTATGCTACCTTGTTTGCCTTCTCCTCTTTTACTACTTTCTTTCGCTCTCACACTATTTTTCGCTGCTTTCAACAATGTCCGTAATCGCTTTTAATATATTGTGGGTGCTTTGCGTTCTATTACTGCTATTAGCACTCTTTCTTGCAGTTAGACGACGACGAATGGCTGCTCGAAATGGTAATTTCCACTTAAAGACAACATTTTCTTCTTTTTCCTCCCCGAGCTCAGTTGTTGAGGTCATTCTTACATTCTTTACTCACGTTGATCATTGCACCCACAATAGCTGCGAGAGCCAATGAAGCCTACGCAGCTCGACAACAGCAAGGCATTGGACCGGGTGTACGTATCTACATGCCATCGTACTACGAATATCAGGCAGCACAAGCACAGTATGGCCAAGGTGCCAGTTCTTCGACAAACCCGGAAAGCGGCTTGAACCCACCCCCTCCGGTGTACAAGCCAGAGGAAGCGCCTCCTTCGTACCAAGATTATCGCAAAGATCCTCGAATTCAAGGGCTTGCTTCACCTGCTCAACCGCCACCAGCCTCAGAATCATCGCCGCCGCCTTTCCCTTCCATGTCTGAACAGCAACAACAGCAACCGTCGTCAACAGCAACCGAGACGTCGCCATCGTCACCACCTCCCACTGCCACTACTACTACTACATCTTCACACCATCAACAGCAACCGCCAGCGGCGTCCTCGTAATGAAGAACGAGTGGAAAGGATAAAGCTTTCTGTGCACGCGATTTTGTTCCAGCTTACGTACATCCTGTTGTATATTTTCTATACCCATGTTTCTCTTCTCTTGTCCCTTTCCAAACAAGCTGTATTTTCTTTCTTCCTTTCTGTCGTTTCCATGCGCGCTGGGCTTTCTGTTTCTCTTTTTCGTTTCCGAACGATGTTTTTTTTAGGAAAGCCATCGTCACTCCCCCCACCGACAGAGAGTTGCACCCCTTGTTTTTCTTATTGCACACTGTAGATACATTACTACCATTTAACGTACATTATATATATAAATATATTAAAAATGGACCTTTTATTACTGCTATAGAATGAATGCATACTATCCCAAACTTTCTTTTAATTGCTTGCTGATCCTAACTACCATCTGCTGCAACCTGATTGTATGCACTCGCATTCCCCAAGGGGTCAAAACAAAACCACCATCCCGTTTTACCGTTACACCAGTGGTTAAATGGTCCGCTTTCTCTTTTGTTGTACGCACCGACATTAAGGAGAGACTTATGCAGTTACTATCAATTCTCCTCAATTATCGCATGCAAGTATAGCAGAAGGTGCACTTGTCTTTTCTTAATTGTGTGGGACAAATGATCCACAGCTATCCAGACAGCTTTTTGTGAAAAGTTGTAGTAGCGAAAATGTGTGAGCGTTCCATCTATTTGTTATTGATGAGCCCTTCAATTCATACTAATGCTTGTCACCGTGGTCTCAAAACAAAATGAGCAGAGTATGCTGATGCCATCAATGAAATTATTTAAGCTGACAAACTTAAAGTGACTTAGCTTAAGACAAAAGAGAATGACTTTTTAGTTTCCTTTTTGTCGAAACTAAGGCCCTAGAATGAATCAAGGTTATCAGAGTTCATGGATGAAAGCGGTTTCTTGTTCATCTGCTTCTTTTCATATGGTCAAACGGACCCTTATAAAAGGGTAGAGTACAAAGTAACTATTGAAACGCTACTGTGAAGAATTCATTATCAATTAAACGGAAGTTGTTGTACGCAATGCGTAACTACTTCTTTGAATTGACAGAAATATGTATTGTTCACCAGTATCCCCGCAATAAATAAATTGGATCCCGCCAATTCTATTTTACCGTAACACCATTTTGTTCTTGGCGTTTCCATTAAAGAACATCGAAGCAGTTTCCATGGAACCCTATGACCTTAACTTTTTTATCTTACTCTTGGCATGCAACATCACTTTTCTTCTTGTCTGTACAAATTATTATAAACTAAAGCCCATTCCCCGAAAGCAGCTAGTATGGCAATTGACAGAAAGATGCTTATTATCGTACAGTGCACGCAAATACACTTTTGCTGGATGCTCAACATATTTAGGGCCTTGATATACATACAATAAACGCGCACATTTTAAAATTAGTAGTAGATCAATAAATAAAAAGCCATTGTGCTTTAGATCTCTGTCTCGCTGTTCCGCTATCAATGGAAAAACTTAATCTATTGTTACATACATGCTAGTGTAGGTAGAATTTGTTTCTTATAAAGAACCGTTCTTCTTTTGGAAAACATCTTCATCCATAATCCTATGCATGAAAATTCACACTTTGCGTTAGTGAGGTATATAAGAAATTGAAATCACTCAAGTGTCTTACGTGAGTCAAAAACATTATGTATTAAGCCTGAGAAAGGAACGATAGAAAGAAGAAACACTCAGCCAAAACAAGCACACTCTTCCCGCACTCAGATAACCCATAATAATTCAACAAAGCCCTTATACATGTTTAACATACGGATAGCAGAAGCAAAGAGCGAAAGAGATAAAGAGCACGTAACATGGAGTAATGTTTTTCCTTGACCAATCAATGATTGGTTTGTGAAGGGACTAGACGAGATCTTGTGCAGGACTGCCAGAATCGCAAGTTCCGATACAGCAACATCTGTCTTGCCATGAACATGTTCTAGGAGCAATTTGCCAGCTATCGTCACCGCCTGCTACGATAATTAAGCTAGTCAAATGTAACACGAACGACAGCGTCACCTAGTGCCGGAACTCTTTATTTTGCAGATGATCCAGCTGAGGCAAGCTACATGATATCCTTTTTGTGCCGGAGCACAAGTTTTCTCGCTACGCAGAAAACTTGTCACTTCTGTCTTTGACCAATGTCTCAGGTGTTTAATCATCAGCACCTTATTAAACCTTTCAAATGGAATTGATAATGAGTGATTACAAAAGGGTTTGACACACTAATGTGATTATCTGGACACGCTTGTAAGAAGGAGAAAGGTGAGTAGAATGGTAAAACGCGTTGTACGTTGTTGAAAGGCATGCGGTAAATTTCAAACGGCCAGCGCAATCTTGACAATACAAAAAATGGTTAAGCCGACAGCCATCAAAACAGAACTACAAAAACCTATCAAGTTACAAGCAAATCTTCTGTGCATGAGTAGCTGTTGCAGCTTAACAAATCACACAGGATGGTTCGTTCTTGTCCTCGTTTTGCAGATCGTTGAACTCTACAGTAGTAGCTCACTGACCGTTCGACGCGGCTTAATATTATGCGTAGAAGAACTCTTCTTTCTTCTTCATAGTCGTGAAAGATTCTCTTGTCGTACTTTTAAAAAATCGTTGTTTCAACGACATAAACGCATCCTTTATAATGAGTGCAGCTGTAAGAATTGAGGCGTAAATGCAGTTTTGATTTTTTTACCTTAAGGTGGTTCAGTACATCAGCTGTAGCGAGATCTCTAAGATATTAACAGGCTACTGTCTCTGGTAACCGTATGATTCCAACCGCCTTTTTTGTAGAAAACGAACGCCAGATGTCCTTTACTACATACCGTCAAGCTGTACGCTTTTATATGTAGTAGCTGCGAGTAACTGAAAATGCTGTCTTTTGGTTTGATGAAGTTCAGTGCTTCTTCAGCGTTATTACTCATCTTTGAAAATATTTAAGACTACCAATTTCTGCTAAAATATCGATAAAAATGTCTCATTGATGTCGTCAAAATAATTTGTTGCCCAAATGCGTTTTGGCTCGCTAATAGTGAGGATGCATATCAACCTATGAGGTAAATAAAGAGGAAGTTGAGGCACCTTGAACTTCATTTACTTCAAATATTAGAAGAATAACACCCCGGCCCAACGATCTACCCTATAACCATAGAAACAGTAAAGTACAAATGGTCGATTCACAGTCTTTCTCAAAAAATTTAATTTTAAAACTAAAAGGTTAGATCCATATTTTATCAGGAGTCGCATCAATAGTCGACCACATATCTGGCCACTGGTATCGAAGAAACGGGCTTGGGTAATTTTGCAGTACTTGCCGGACTTCATCGAACAAATGCCGCGCGTTTCCCCGGACCCACTTAGTAAACATCGTACTGCAAATTGCCTTAAAAAATAATTTGCCGTACTGCACTTTTGCAGTACTATTCGTTGCAGTAAAATGGTCGTTGCAATAAAGTATTCTTTGCAGTGGTGACACATAAATATTCTACAGCAGCGCTCTCTATACATACTATACGAATATTTGAGTAAGAAATTAGCCTCAGGAAGTTCGTCAGAAGTCAAGGCATACTTATTTGTGGTGAGGAAAGAGTGTGAGTAAAGGAAATATATTGATTGAAAAAAGAGAAAGAGAAAGAAAACGGAAGCAAAAATGGAAAGGAAAATTAAGGAGAAAGATAAAGATTAGGTGTGTGCGCTTAGTTCTTGCAGACAATAACTGCATAGTTGTCGGTTTTTTTGTAATTGTGCGTCGTTGTCTTTGCGAACACTACCCACCGAAATACATCCGTACATGTTGTCCATCTTAGCAACGAATGACTTAAATTGGTTGAGTATAGTCGCGATACTATAGTAATGGAAGCCATTTCGTTTCGTTGAACTGATCCGGCCATAAATTGCATATGTATTGCCTTGTAGGTTCAGTCTTGATGGAAATATGACGAAATGTTCAAAAAACACAGCTGTATCTTGCCACTTTCCTTTCTTGTACTCTGTGTTCTTCGTCCACAGTGGCCGCTCGTTATAGTGATATTCGATATAGTGATATTTCGATATAGTGATGGGTTTTCCAGGTCCAACTCAAATTAAGCAGGGAATTATTACTAATTCGCTATTGTGATATGTGATATCAACCATCAGAAATATCATTATATCGAGCGGACCATTAGTATGATTTTATTTATTAGAAAAGGAAAAAAGATCAGTTTGCTTTGCGCTGGTTAATATCTCAGAGTCTAGTCTACGTATCTTTTATGTAATAAGCCTATATAACTGAGCGTGCAGGTTGTCTTCAACCACCATTGTTTTCAATAAATCGCTCATATACTGCGTTCTCTCTCCTTTACTATGCAGTGGCTACGATGCTTCCTTCTCCTCATCTCGTCTTCTCTAGTTATTCTCTTCTTCATCAACATCTACCTGTCTATATCAGAAACAAGCCTGTGACTTTTACATATGCAGTTGCATCAGCCGTTTATAAACGTACCTTAATCTCTATCAATAATAGCATCGTAAATAAGGTCGTTTAAAGAAGTTGGTGCATGGATATCCTCTAATTTTTCATGTGGTATCAAATCAATACCATCAACGCCACATGTTTCCTCATGAGTATCCAAAATCCCAGCACCAAGCTCATCAGATAGAAGCCTTTCAGCTTATTCTCCTACACTAAAATTTTTAAGGAATTGCATAATATCAATTTTGACAGGATGTGGTTCTAGAGCTTCTTCTGTAGAGCTCGCCAAATACCCCGGGTAACCTATGTACCGGATATCTTTGACGGAACTACAATTCGATAAAGTAATAATTCGATATAGTGATGGGGTTTGGGTCTTACCGGGCATACCACTATAACGAGCGGTCACTGCATATGAAATCTCGTAAGTCGCACATACCCATCATACGTTTCTTCTTGTCGTTAGCCTGATACAGTATATAAGCTCGACGTGACGCTTCGTCATAATCATTATTCTGATTAAAGGAGATTCTGCCGGCTATGGAAAGATTTGGCATGATAGATTAAGAAGCATCATTTCCATTGGAGCATCAATATAACATGAACCATTACTGCTGCAGCAAAGGTTGAGCAAATAGCCATCGTATCACTGAGACGGCAGAAACGATCCATCGTCCATTTCTTCATCCGATGACAATGATAGCAAATCAACTGCTCGGTTTACGCTGCCGCTTTTGGTGTAAGATGGGACTTCGCTGCTGCCGGAGTCGTCATTTTCTTGACCAGAATTCGTTTTTTGCCCTTCACAATCGGATTCGACGCGAACTAGGTTATCCAGAGTCTGACTATCGACACACAAGCATCATGTTCGTCGTCGTTTTTCTCCCAGTCGCTATCTTGTATATCATGTGGCGCAATTTTGTCATATATAGGCCATTTATCACCGTCTTCACTGCTGCTGCTATTGTCTCCTCCGGTATCACAATCGCTGACTTCAACAATATACTTCCGGTTCTTCCGGTTTGCCTTTTTCAACATCTGAGCGGTGTCGGGAGCACGACCGTCGTTTACGTACTTGTCAACCGTCTTTCGCTTACTGCGAGCACGTTTTTTCGTCGATATTTTCTCTCTCCCGCATGACATTGTTTAGGCCGTAGTAGGATGGGACGCCTCGTAAGAAATGATCGGTTGCTTTTTCATCGTTATCGACGTACTTTAGCACGCAGCGAAAGTTATCAGCAATGCTTTGCCGCTTGTTGCTTAGGTGATACAATGGGTTATCGAACGATTCGACGGCATTGGTAGTATGTCCGTAGTAATCACGTAGGCCTTCATGCAAGGTAGACACCGCAGGGACGAGCTTCCTTACGATTCCACCATGCAACAAAACCTGCCGCTTCGGGATACATGTTTAGCACACGCTCTAAAACTTTCTTGTACTCTTTTCTTGTCTGAACAACTCGCAGCTTCAGAAGCTCCTTTTGCATCTCCTCCATTTCCCTCTCGTCACCGTCATGCATATCATCAACGTAGGCTGTTTGGTTTGCTCGTTTCATCAACCATCTCCCTCAGCAGTAGCGATACCAAGTCAATCAAACGTGGTGTGACTTGATTGGCGTATGTGTGGTTGATGTAAGATATATGTGGAAAAAAAAACAAAATACAAAAAAAAGCAGGATGGTCGGCTCGTACGAGAGTCAAGCATGCATAATCTAAGCCTTGCTTCTGAGCACATGAGTTCGTCTTACGTGTACTCTCATGTTCTATGTGAAAGTTGTGCCAACGATGTTTTCGGTTATTCAAGGGGTTGAAAGGGGCGTGGCAAGCGAAACATACCATTAAACCGGTTCTCTCAGCTTGGAACAGCTTGCCTTAAGCGCCGTTGTTGCTGGCAGTGTTGACGAATTTCGCCAACTGCAATTTTCGCCTTGGCGAAAAATAGTGCTTCATAATTTTCGCCTAGCGAAAATTGGGGATTTTTGGATCTTGACGGTGAAGTTGACGTCGAAGCTAAAACTCCTGACATACAAGTGCACCCAGCAGAAAACAAATCTTATAAATACAAATTGTCAACACTTTTCACCCCCTCCCTTCAACAGAATTAGGTTTTCATATGTATTTTCAAGTAAAGTAATTGATTTTTCGCCTCTAATTTTCGCCTTTTTTCGCCTATTTTCGCCCTGGCGAAAAACCCCAAAGATATTTCGCCAGGCGAAAAATGAACACTGGTTGCTGGTGTGCATACCCTCCCAACAAATTTTTCCTTTCGATTATTTTCGCGAGCAGAACTGCGCGACCACAGAAATGTAGAAAAAAGAAAGGTGAAAAGCGCGTACCAAAGGGCTACGCTACAGAAGATCTGTCATTATTCCCCGCATTGTTAGCCTGGACCTGTGAAACGCTCTATGGCCAGAGATGGCAAACACTCTATGGGAGAGATGGCAAACACTCTCTGGGAGAGATGGCAAACACTCTCTGGGAGAGATGGCGAACGCTCTATGGGAGGCAGCCAGCACTCACCCAGGTTTATTTGTTAAAGGCTGTTAGCAAAGAGAAGGGCTTCAAAGGCACTCGACGTCATCCTCATTCTACCGTTACCGAGCTTCACCACTTGTCCTTGGTATACACTTTGCTTTGGAGCACGTGTACTGCACGGTCGTCAACTTCTGCGCCATTATTTCTTTGTGTATATGGCTTCTATTTATGTGAGCTTCTTGTTACAATATCAGTAATTTTTATTTTCTACAATGTCAATCATTCCCGGCACCTGTCATTTACTTTTTCTCTGGGATCTTGTTGCTGAAACACTGTAAACCGTGTCTGTGCGCCTTGTGGCCCGACAGGCGGCGACACTGTCGGGGCACGCCCTGCATGATACCGGTGAAACATATTTCGTAGGACTATCAAAGCACGCAGACCACATACGCCTTCTTCTTGACAGCTTGAGCGTGTCTCTTCAACACCTCTACTTCACATGGTATCTTCCCTGCCATTTTACTTTCCCACCTGCTGATTGAATGACGAATTACAAGTCACGTGACGTGTTTTTGAATGACGAATCACAAGTCACGTGACGTGTTTTTTCTAAGCGGCGGGGTCAATCCAAAAAGCATAAATACGCCCACATTTTTCAGGCCATTTCGTTTTTTCTCTTCACTCTTTCTTTCCTTCATTTTTCTTTTTCCTTCACTCCCATGCCTCCTCCTGGTCTTCTCTTGGCTCTTCCCTTGGCTCTGGTTCTTCCCTTGGTTCTGGTCTTCCCCTGGCTCTGGCTCTTCCCTTGGTCCTGGCTCTTCCCTTGGTCCTGGTCTTGCCTCTTTCGGTCCTGGTCTCAGCCTTTTTCCCGTGGTCCCTGGCTGCCTACAACCGGTCCCTGCTTTGGGCTGTCCAGTCTGGCGTTCAACGGTGTTGGCCACAACCGATCTTCAGGCGAGATCAGAGGACGGAGAAATCCTGTTCGGTTTCTCGCCATAGAAATATGGTAGTGTCCTTTCGGTTGGATGCCTTGTCTGCTGGTCTGGTCTGGTCTGCCATGGTGGGGGTCGCAATGAGGAGCCAGGTGCCACTGTAGATCGCGTTGGACTCTCGGCAATCAACTCTCTGGAATTCGACTCTCGGCATTTGACTCTCGGCAATCAACTCTCTGGCATTCGACTCTCGGCATTTGACTCTCGACAATCGACGCTCGGCATTCGACTCTCGGCATTCGACTCTCGGCGATCAACTCTCTGGCATTCGACTCTCGGCATTCGACTCTCGGCAATCGACACTCGGCAATCAGCTCCCAGCTTCAGTGTTCGGCTCCCAGCATCCGAGTATCCAGTAAGCAGCTCCTCCAGCATTCGACAACAGCAGCAAATTTTTTTCTTTATTTTTGGGTGTTTCGAGAGTCAATTCTTTCCCCTACCCCCACCCCTTCTCTTTCCTCTTCCCTTTCCTCTTCCCCCACCCCTTCCCTTTCCTCTTCCCTTTCCTCTTCCCTTCCGTCTACCCTTCCATCTTCCTTCCGTCCTTCCCTCCCTTCCTTCCCTTCCGTCTACCCTTCCATCTTCCTTCCGTCCTTCCCTTCCCCCTTCCCCACTCACAGGCAATCCACAACCGATTGCTTGCACTTGACTCTCGAAACGTAGCGTACGTCATGGTTCCCACTCGTTTGTACCATGATGGCTGGGTTTGTGGTTGATTGACCCAGCCAAATGATTGGGAGGCTGGGACTCCCAGGCCGAGGCATTGGTGGCTTTCTTTTCCTCCCCCTTTTACATACTTCTTCTGTTTCTTCTTGCTTTCTTCATGCTTTTTGTATAGCCTGCAGGTTGTGCGAACTGCTTGTTGAGGTCACTTTGTAAAATCGCGTTCTTATTATTTGTCTTTATTGTCCACTGATTGTGTTCTTTTAATAAAATTTGTACTCTTCGACTATTGATATTCATAACGATAACTTTTGTCTTTTTTAAAAATGTTTCTTTACTCTATTATTACAATGAATAAAAATCTGCTCTTTTACTTTATGTCCTGCTCAAACTTATTTACAATTTCTTTCCTTGTGAAGATATTTGCGTGTCGCTTCACCTTGCAATATCCATTTTCTTTCTGACTGTGTTCAATCGTCTTCGCCGCTTCATTTGACAGTTAGGAAAGAACTCATGTTTTGGCGTGCTATGTCCCTGTTCTTATACAATGCTGACAATGTCATATGGCTTACATTAGATTCGTAATTACTTTTACTTTGCAATGACTTGATCAATTCTAAACATGATATCTAGGCAACTGTTTGACGCAAGCATAATGCACAGACCGTGTAATACAATGTCAAAGTGTTGTGAAACCCGTTGCGTAGCAATATTAGTACTGGGCACATCAGAAAGTTTCTTGCAACAGCAGAAACTCTTTTGGACTTGGAGCAAGTCGATCGAGCTTTGTGTGCTTAAACTGTCGTTTCTCATGCACTCTACAATCAAGATCAAATCTTTTGATACCGAATACTGTAATGCTCATAGTCATTACAGTAGGATTGTTTTACGAACGTTTCATATGGCTTTCTATCAAAGCCTAAATCCACGTGGATGTGGACATCTGTTTGAAGATCGCCTGAGGTTGAGCTGCCTTTGGGGCGCCGGATATGTTTTCAGGTGGAGGCAGTTCGACACATGTACAGCAACGCTTTTCTTGATTGCTCTTTCTCCGTGATCCTACTTGTCCATACAGTTACGATAAAAATAGCTGCCGTGGCATACCTTTCGCTTGTCGCCCACATATGGCATGGAACATGATAATGGCAGTAATTAGTTGGCCCACGAAAGCTTGGGACAGTACGATATGATGGCTCTCAAGTTTCGGACCACCTTCCGATGTTTTGCCGTGTAAGGCTACTACATTCACCAATACGAATCTAAATATCAATAACTAAGTTTCTTCAAAACAAATTAATTTTGTACAGCATCTTACCGTCGCCATTTGTATTGCACTTTTCCTAATTTACAATTACAGTATACTGGCTACCCTGGCCAGTATTGATTGAGCGGTCTGTATACTTCTAAAGCACGATATATCATTCCTTTGATGAGTGATGAGGGGTAGCAAAATTGAGTCTTTTGTCAATCTTGTAGAAGACGGTCGTTTACTGATAGCGGGGGAAGCTCACCAAACGGGCAAGCCTCAGTGGACATGGCCATATCTTGTTTTCGTGTACCAGTGATCTCGTATGAAAACGTCGCGAAAACGCCGTTGGGACGATATCGCGAGAGTTCACTCCAACGCTGTGAAATGGGTAAAGAGCTCGGATCATCCAATTGGATAAGCCATTGCCTGCCTATAGCAAGAGACGTAAATCAGTTTCTGTTTCTTGGAGGGAAATTTATATACAGACTTACAACCGAAAAGCAAACTTATAGACCGCGGCCTTGTCATCGGTTTTAACAAATTACATCTCAGTCTCGCTAAATGGTCGTCTACACACTCCCATGGATTTTCACTCTAGTGGTCATCGACACCTGTGCTTGTCTCGAGAGCTGTAAGTACTCTGTGATCCTAATATGTATGTCAAGCGCACAAACATATACGCTGCAATACATTCAAAGCACACATTTTATGGGAACAACGCACTGCTAACTATACATAACACATTGTACAAATTTATTTAAAAAGAATATTTGCTACATATTGCCACCCAAGAGATTGGGAAATAGTCGAGCAACACCACGCCCATGCGGTTGTCAGAGTGTATAAAATGCTTTTACGATACTGGACAATAAAGCGAAGCAGACTGAGCATTTCTAGGTTACCACTAAACGTGTTTTGGAGAAGTGCTCTACCGGTTACGGTACTACCGTTGGCAGCGACGCACAAAAGCGAGCGAATCAGCTTTGAAATGCTCTGAAAGAATCAATGTGCACTTGCGATACGCAAACGCTGTGTCATCTCTTTTTAAAAAATCTTTGAATGCAATCTTTTTGTCTATGATAGCTTCTTTGGTGTTTGCTTCCAAGTACAACTATTTGTACTGTGTGTAGCAGTGATGTTATTTGTTTCTCGTCTTTTTTCTTCAGAAGAAAGTTTACATTGTCCGATTATCGATTGTTGTACATAAAAATCTAAGGTTTTGACATTGCAGAAGGTGTAGTATACTAAACATATATGTAATTTAGCTAATAGTGTGTAATAAAGAGATCTTTATATAAACCAAAATTTTATGTAATGTAGCCAGGTGGTTCTTGGTTTTTGAACAGCTGTCGCATACGCCTCCCATCTTTTCAAAATACATACATGCTTATTTAAAATAACTTTAAGTCCCGGAAGGACGATGTAAATGCACATACACAAGGATGCAAGTGATATATTTTAACTGTCGTCATACTAATAGCTTTACGTACTATCCCATAGATTACCGTGATATATTTCGCTCCCTGCTTCGACAGCTAAGACTCGATTATTACAACCACATTCGTTGCAGTAAAATGCATACCAAATATATCGAGTTAACAATGTGTCCTAGTATCATACAGATGCTAGTATGCTCCATCAAGAAGCGGACTGATCCGTTACAGTTAAACGGACGGATGTAATTGAAAGATAGCGCAAGCTTCTGTATTCCATCAAAGCTCGCATTCCTTGGGTGGTGGCAAAGCAACCCACCCCTTTTATTTTTAAAATTTATGTTAATGGAGAGCCGATCGAGCAGTCTACACTTCCTCAGAGACTGGAATAAATGATCGTCCCAAAGGTATCCACCCCATAACCTAACGGATTGAAGACACATGTACGTTGTTAATAATGCTTGCGCAAATTCTTGAGCGCTAAACCTTTGGATTTAGTCGTTGTATATCTTCCAAGTCTTGTAAGTGCGGAAGGCTCAGCTGTAATATAAAGTCATTAATGTATGATCGCCCTAGTCCAATGGGTATCGAGTCAGATTCATAGTCTGCAAAGTAAAATACAACGATTCTTTGTAGAACCCAGCAAATACGTAATTTAGATCAGATCAAGAGCACGCTGCATCACAGTGGTAAGTATCATCAATAGGTAGGCCGGAGCTGCTATTGTTACTATTGTACTGGTGTATTGGAATGCGTGGCTGAAAGAGAAAGAATGCTGGCGACTTTTTTTTTTAGTAGGGCTCAAGTTTCTGGAGCTGACGGGGCAATGATTGTAAGCTGTCCCTAGAGTATGGGGTATATTTCGCTGCATCCTAGAGCAAGTGAGACCAAGTGTGGGATAATACCGTCGAGGAGTCAAGGTAAAAACAATGATGGATATCATCGGGTAATGGAGTGTATGTGTTTTTAAAAGCAAGAGGTGGATGATGATGCTGTGACATATCTGTTTTGATATTTCTGGACATTGAGTGCTGCGCTTCCGAAATGGTTGTACAAGAGTATCATTAAATTGCTTGCTAAAAGCGTTTGTGGAGCAAACTTCCTTCGCACTATCATCGCTGGTGTCAAGGATGGGGTCTGGTAATGCTCACCCAGCTCCTATGAACTAATAAGTGCAGCAGCAGCAGTAATATCCACAGCGTCAGGAACGCGTACAGAAACGAGGATCGCAATGTGATCGCACCACACCTCTCGGACTAGAGGACCAAGCAAAATTTTAAAGCACGGTGGGGTGAATCGTATTGTTCAAATACAACCACAGATATAAAACACAACTTTGACCGCCGTTATGTAACACGGAATTGAGCCCACTTTTAGCGCCAGCAGTTATACTGTAATTACCTCCCTAGAGCAGAAAACTCCTGCAATAATGTATGGTGCGCAACAATGGAGCAACTTTGCGGATCAGCAAATGAAGACAAGGAACCAAGCAATACAGAAAAGGAAGACGATAACGAGGTTGGAAAACATGGTATTGACGCAGTGATGCCAATGAAGATGATAGCTGGCGGGCAGCGGCGATATGGAGCACCCCAACTGCTAGTATTAGTGTCAATGAAGTTGACGTTTGGAGTCATACTACCAGTATGTATTAATACCAAGCATGTAGGACCAATGATAAAAGCTGGCGTGCTAATAGTGGTGGCGCAGACGCAAGCTGCATAGCAGCCGAAAAAGTGATATCAAGGTGTCTGCGGGAAGCGACACAGCACGTATCACCCACGTGGGTTGCTGCAGGTGGCTTCAAGGATGACGACACTCGAACCATGCTAGCCGGCAAAAGAGCGATACCAAACAGGCTTCGGGCGTTTCTAGTAGCTGGCGGCTGGCGCGTTGATGCAACGTGTGGTCAACTACAGCTAACGCTGACTAAGATACAAGGAGTCACAGTAGTCCAGAGAGCAACGTGAATTCGTCGACAGAAGGCAATACTGAACGAACATCTGCACGAATTGCTGCAGACGTTTATGATACATAAGATTCTTGAAGCTATTCCAGCTGCAAAAATGTTACCAAGAAAGCTGCAGAGAACAACAATAGCTGGCGTGCTGGTACTGTATGGAATACAACTGCATCCAATGCTAATGATGGTGCAAGGAGTCATAGCAGCCCGAAGAGCGAAATAAAATCACTGCTGAGAAATGATATAGTAGGATGAGCATTGGCTATATGGGTTGCAGCGGGCAGTAAAGCCCAATGGAAGAAGCTATAACAATGAAATAAACAATGCTAAGCAACCAGATGATGCTCAGAAAGCGTCTGCTACATCAAACACCACTGTCACCCATGGTACTCCTAACAGCTCAGCGACCAACCACGCCGCAACAAAGAGCAATGGCCAACAAAGGAGTAATGGAAAAAATGACAGCTGACGGCAGCGGCAACTTGATTTAGCAATGAAGCCGTGGTCAATACCAACGACGACCATAACGACATAACGGCCTACTCGAATACCAGCGATCATCTATATTCTATTTTAACCGATGAACCCAATTGCAATACCATCAAGTCGAAAAAAACAAACGGGTTTGAGTCTCCAGATGAAGCTAGATGGTAGGCATATGTAAGACAGCACTTTTAAGCGGTGGCAGAAAAGTGAGGATCATAACATGAGCTCTGTAAACATCAAACAAGCGGCTCCACCATTTAGTTCAAAAAGACGGTGAAACATGCACCTAAATATACGGATAATATCAATTCTGTCCCTGGACAATTAAATATTCTAGATCAAGGATATTTGCAGCTATATGATTTTTGCGTGTGCTTTTGAGTTCTTGGACGATATCAATATACTTTGGTTAATAGGTAAATAACTCTATTGTTAATAACGACGATAACTCTTTAGATAAACCATATTAAGGTAAATGAATATGTTGTGTGTCCTTTGTCGGGTTGCCGCGCTTTTGGAGAACGTAATCAGATAAGCGAATTCATCATAAAACTTTTGCCATACAGTCTTCGGACTTGCGTCGGTTTCTTTGAGCCGCTGAGAACTGCTATTGTAACTTTAGCGATTATGGCGGCGAATATTGCGACGCTGGAAATTTCGTTATTTAGTTATAGAAGCTGCTGTAGCGGCGACTAGCTATACTGGCCCACCAAGATTAGCTTTAGCGAATCTGCTGGAGATGCTCTGAGCTTTTTGATCCTTCAACCCAAACTTCATGAAATTACCATATCGGTTAAAAGATTTATAATGATTGAGGTTAGGCGAATTCCTTGAACCGGAAGGATAACTTGTCCTACACGGGTCATTAATCTTCAGAGTGCTTTATGTATGCATGCCGTATCTCACATATTCAAACATTATGCGCTCGAGCTATTGTGCACACGCATTTTAATAACGATATGTTCAAAGTAAACCCAGTGGTAATTCTTTCTACCTATGATTTCTTTGAGTGAACCGTATAGTTTATGTTAAGTTTTAAAGTAGCTGCTCGTAGTTCGTCGGTTGGAAATTGTGTACGTCTATTAGTATGTATGAAGAACAGACATGATTTGAACTACATAGCAGAGCGAGCAGATTTTTGATTTCTGCGTACCGTATCTCCGACAGTTTTCTCGCTTTCTTTCTGCTAAAACGGCTTGTTGCAAGCAAACGCGGCACACCAATCATGCCACAAGGAAAGCTGCTCTACATTCGCGCCAGACGGAGTAAAACCGTTGTATTTCTCTGCTACGAATCAAACGATTCCATTGAAAATCTTAAGCAGAAATTGTGCGCAGCTCAGCCAGGCTGCGACAAATCGCCAGATCAAATCCGCATCTATGCCCGACGTTCCGATCAGTACACAATTTTGATCGATTCCGATTCAGTGTCAAGCGCAGGGCTGGAAAGCGAGTCCGATATCTACTTTGTGTATCACAGTCAAGGTGAATAGTAGATGAGAAATTCTTTGTTGTTGTCCACCAATAGAGACTCACGCGTACTACACGCATCAAATAACAGGAAAATGGGAAGAAGTTCATACTGAAGCATATGAGCCACTGGATGAAGGAGCCGCCGGCGAAGAGGAGCAGGACGTGGACATGCATGCAGAGATATCACACACACGAAAAGAAAAAGGAAAGGGACGAGCATAGTGTGATGACGGTCAATCAATAAAAAAAAGTCTAAGTTTATTTTCTTTTACTGTACAAGAAGGTGGGATGGTTATGAAACTAGAATACGGTTCTGCATAGAGGGCAGCTGGCTGAGTTAGAGGAACGGAACCACTACGTAAAAAAAAAGGATGGTCAGTTTTCCAGTTATCATTTACTTTTTAAAAGGGAGAGAGCGGAAAATAGATCATGCAGTACCTTATACAAGCAGCTGGCATGGAATTTGTTCTTGCAGGTGCGGCACTGCTTTCTGGGTATGGATCGATCCTGAGCGCTGATAATCGAGTAACAGATTGTACAGTCTTCAACGCCACCGAAGTGCAAGTTGACGTTTCGCTTGAACACCGTTAAAGCATCGACTATGTTGCCGTTCTAATAGAAAAACAAATGTGGTTAGGATCTTTCTACGCAGACGTGATGACTATGTAGCACGTTTATATACCTGTGACCCAATCACTGCTGCAACGGAGAACATCCATCCTCGCCACTGTTTATCGCTCACGCCAACCTTTTGTACGCCTTCTACATCTATTTGTCGTAAGGGGAAGTTGCTCGGCAGCTTGATCGCAATCTGCATATCTTGTTCATCTACACGATAGGTCGCGGAAACTTCACTAGCTGCTCGGAGTGCTTTTACAGTGAACTCATTGCTGTCGTTGTCCTCGAGCAACGTCTTGATATCATCTCGCGCCAGCAGATCAAGTTCGCTGTTAATCAACATGGCGCTAAAGTTCTTTTCCGTATAGCTACATAGTAACATAGTTTTTCTATTAAAATGACTTTGTTTCTCGGGTTTGAATGGCTCTCCAAATTTGATGCATACTTCTCGACACCGATTGTCAGTTGTCGGTTCTTACAATCGACCCACCATTGCCTTTAACATAAAGGATGCAGTAAGTTAGAACATGGAACTAGCGATATAGACCATCATAGAACGTACCGTATTAACGATGGAATGTGTTTCAATGCACGGTAATACAGATGTGCAGCCATGACTTGGTAACTAATTTCATGTGCAGAGTCGAAGCCTAATGGATTGTGGTAAGTTTTTTTCTGAACAATTTTGTTCCTCTCGAATAAAGGCGCTCACCATCTACTTCATATTCATCAATTTCCCACAAGGATAGATCGAAAGGCTGGATCTTTGGGCCAACCCCTACACCAAGAATTTTGAAGACAAATGGCATGAGTTTGGCAACAGCAGCAGCATCCTTCAGCTGTGCAGTATACTCTTGTTTAAGACGGAACGTCTGAGAAATAATAGTGTTAGAATATTATCAAGGGTAATCTTTCTTTTTCCATTTCAATAAAGATTGAACTTACAATGTTAGTGAAGTGATCAAACATAATCAGCCATACTAGCATGTATCCAAATACATCGTGTAATGCCTAGAAATAACAATCATGAGATAACGCCCCTTTTAAACATGTTTACATCGAATTGTACCTGTTCATCAAAAGGCAACGAGTGCCAATTCGAAAAGTCAGGGGGGTTGATCATGTATTCAAAGATGGCTTTTTCGATATTCGCCTTATCTTGGTTATCATCATCTATCAGAAGATAGTTTAGTGGGATGTATATCGTCTAGCTTCACATGTGTTCTCCCATTACCATTTGTAGCACTGAACTCTAAACGCACGGATAACTCTTGCACAATGTGTGTAACATGAATTTCTAATAATTTAAAGGCGCGCTTCTGCAACGCTTCGTTCGATGCTTTTAATAATACGGCGATCTATATTGCACTTTACATATTAGCAAAACTATCTCTAGCATCTTTCCAACAAATCAACAACTTACGTCCGAAATATTGGACGATTCCAGTAAGACACTTGAAGGAACATCTTCAACAAGATCGGCTAATAGTTCTTGGTATATAATTTTTGGCTTAGTGGGGGAAGTGGCTGAGACATTGAGTCCTACAACATTTGATTAAGTCAATAAAACCATAGCACGCTCAAACACAAAAAAAGCGGATTTTACCTCCTTCCTTAATAAACAGCTTTAATAAAGTTTCATAGAATTGCGGTCCTTGATCATCAAGAGTTGCAAACAAATCTGCGATTCCCTCATAAGCGAGATTTTTCAAAGTTGAAAACAGCTGTGCTGCGTAATGTACGAAAGGCAATTCCTCATCAAGCTGGGGGTCGCTGTACTATAAGCCAAATATATCAGAAACGTCATCTTCTTCAAACAGTAGAGTAAACTTACAGTGACCCATTCATAGCTTCTTTCTAAAAAAAACTCCCATTGCCCACCCGATACGTCTTTAACCGATTTGGCGATAACGATGAAGAGTTGAGCGAGTTGCACCAGAATGCGGGCACGTTGATATAGCTCAAAATCATCCAGTGCAGAATCATCCTCGAACCATTTGCGAATAGTAAGGACGAGGTGCATCAAACGTTGTGGAGGAATAGAGATAGCATCACCATGCTCCAATGCAGTTGCATTGAGAAGCACGAGCAACTTCCATGCTAAAGAAGTAGGTAACGTCAGAAAAATCATTGTAATGGTATAGCTAAAAGTATTTTTGATGAAAATTACCTTTCCCACTGTCGTCAGCAAAATCACCCAAGTTTGAAATGCCAGAAAGTTTACTTGTGAGGTCGCTTTGCAAGTTCTTGTATCCAGCTTCTTGTGAGATCTCGTTCTTGATGGCATTAGTAACGGCTACTTTGATGGGCAACTTGACTATACAGTAGAACAAAGTAAATAACGAGATCAAACCTTATTTTAAAGCAGCACATAATGTCAACTTACGTTCTGTCGCTTCTGCTTTCACGAGACCCAGCCAATAAGGCACGCTATCACTCTTCAAACCAACTTGCGTCACGAGTTTTCTCAAAACGCTTTCAACCACTGCGCCTGACATTGCGTCGGTAAGAGTCGTTTCAACACCATGACTGCCAGTATCAGTACGCATAAGCTTTGCGACAAATGACATAAAACTGTCGCTATCCTTGGTAGACCCCGGGTTGGTGACCGCAGAATATAAGATCTTGTACCAAGAATGTCCAGACTCGGTTACCAGTACCGTCTCAAAGCGATAATCGAAAATGTAATTTACTCGTTGAAGGAACTCTAGCACAATAGGTGTACTCCCTGCTATGCTAGAGTTCCAGATCCGAGAGCTTCCAGGAATATCCAATCCGTATTGACATTCAACGCTTGACAGCATCAAGTGCTGCATAATCCACTCTCGGTCATTACCGTCAAAGAACTCATCAGGGCCGATTCGAACCACGTATTCAGCAACGGAAAAGATAAGACGACCATAGGCGCTCAAACCCAATGTATCGTATGATACTGGCATCAGTTCGTCACTGTCAACGGGAGGAGTTTGTATCAGGCCAACATATTTGTCAAGTACGTTGAGCGTAAGGAGGTTTGAAGTGTGTTGTGAAAATGGTGCGCGCACGATTTCCCAGCCCTTGGGATCCCCGAGCAGTGTCACCAAGGCATCCTTGAAACCTTGACTACCGACCGTGTAGAAGCTGCTGAGAAGTTTGTCTACACGATGTAAAATAGCAGATGGGCTATGAACGGAGTGGTTAATTTGCAGTGCACGCTCTTTCATTGTACCGTTGTGACAAGTATACACACCTTTCTGAGCGAGTGACATCCGTAATTGAGTCCTTGATATGCAATAAAACAGGCTGGAATAAACGGGATCGGTAGGCGTCATCTTCTTCAGCAGTGCTCGTACAAATCATATCCCATACGGTCGACGCAGCATGTGTTATCATTTTGAGGCGTTCCTGACTTTCATCAGTTACATCAACAAACATACTTTCAAATACTTCAGTAGCGATGCCTTGCGCGGCTTTGTGGTCGAGCAGTTTGCAAGCTGATTGCGTGTTTTCCATGATGTTCTCCAGGATCACCATGACAGACAATGTACTTTTGAGCAAGGTTTCATCCTTCGTAGCAGACTTTTGCTCTAAGAACTCGTGAAGTTTCTTGTGGAAACTGGCGAGGACGATGCTACATGCCTTCTCAGAAAATAGCGGATGTGCTAAAATCATACAAAGAGTCAGCTATGTTCTTGCAGAATTACATAACCGACATAAGTACAACATATCACTCACTTAAATGCACATTTAAACCGATGCTACCCAAATGTTGTAGTACATTATCTGGAACCTCCGAGGGTGTAGCAAGCTGATGGACGATGTATTTTTCAAACATGGCGTCAAGCTCAGCGCTTTGATAATCATTACTATTTTTGAGCTATTCGAGGTTAGGTCTATGCTTAAAACGATCATTTCGTCATAATTTTCTTACTTGTTCCAAAAATGCCACCAGTGCCTTGGCTTGTTGACTATTGTTACAATCAATATCAGATATCTTCTTGATTGCGAGATTCCATAAGATGCATGCTTCGACAGCGTCAGATATGCGAGACATCAAACCAACATAGACGTATGAGAGAGATTCAAGTACGCTTTGGGAGTCTTCACTCAACAAAGGCAACAGGATCTTGGCTTGTTCAGTTATTTCCTAAATATCCGATGGATTAAATTTTCGGCTTCCAAGTACTATTTCATCCTTTGTGAAACTCACATTTAAGCTTGCCTCGTCCAAACAATCCCAGTATTTATTCAAGATTTGACCAGACAATTGAAGTAGAGCTGGTGCTTTGTCTAAAGTAACAATGTGCAGTCAGTATTTCTCTTCAACAATCATCCACCACTTAGCTTATATCCAACCTTTGTAAACTAGACTCGATGTGAAAGCTGCCAAAACCAAGCGCTTGGCAAACCCTGTTGTCCTGGCGAAAAGCTCGGATGATTTCTTTTCTGAGACAGGATCCAACTTGTTACGGATTTCGATGAAAAAACTGCCAACGTTATGGCAGAAATAACCAAAATCCAAAGCAAATCCTCGAGGAAGGGTGCAATCGATGACTGTCTGGATCAAAAAGTTTTCTAGTTCGCTCCAAAAGGGGGGCATATAATCTGTCAAACAAGCAAAGAACACGTCTGCTTAGCATCGGCAGTGCACCACCGCATAATCATATGTACCAAAGAACATTCAAGTTACCCTTGACACTCTGAGTAGTGGCAAGCACAGAGAGATGCTTAGTCAAAATCGACACAAACTTTGAGCCTGCTTTCTCTTCCGAAAATTCTTTCGATGATGCAAAACTTGTTTTCATCAAGTTTAAGAAAATCTCATTGATAAGATAAGATCCGCGATCTGTATCCGAGTTGCTATCAAAAAGAAACAAAAAAGGGCTTAGCTGGCTTGTAGTTATACCGAAACATGTGATACATTTTAAGTCAAGTATACCTTTTCGAAACAGAAGCGTAAACAATGCACTCGGCATAAGCATTGATAAAAATATCACTGTTAGATTGATCAATGAACTCGCTAGATACGCCCTTCCAAAAGTTCGTAAACAGTTCCTTGTAGAAAGAATGCTCGGACCGGATCTTGTCAAGTATGAATTAGAGCGTTAGCATCTCGCCGAGATCAATATTTGAAAGGAAATGATCTCTATATTTCTTACCTCGGACGGCAGATTAGCTATGATGACCAGAATACTTGGATATCCAATACTGACTGCACCGTTTAAACCACCGCGAAGGAATGTAAAGAACTTGGGCATAATAGCCTTCTTCCTCCCTGCAATAAGCCATGCTTCCGGGAATTCTGGATTTTTTTTATCAGCTTTCCTTCTCTTTTATATAGCTTTCGCAAGAATGGGAAAAGGATATAGCATTACCTTTGGTCAGCAAAAGAATAGCATCCCACATGTCTGAAAATGTTCCAGCCTCTTTTTCGGTTAGAAAGCTAGCGAACAAAGTGGAGCATACAGAATTCAAGCGCGTTGATAATATTCCTGGATCCATGCACAATTACTATTTTTTAATGTCCATTTCATACACATCAATCTACACAAAAGCATATGATCGTATTATCTTACCTTTCCACTGTATCAACAGTGTCTTTGTAAGACGATAAACAGACTTTCTGATGATTGGACTGTTGTGGCCCGCGAATTTCCATAGCGTTGGACTATCGAATAATGCATCATAATCTTCCATGTGCTTTTCTCTCTCTTTCTCTGGCAGTTTTTCTAGATTGCTTGAAAATATCAGCAACATATCTACCTCAACGCCTTCCAATACAGCTACTATAGGACGTACCGATAACATGACAAACGCAATAGAAGCAGCAAGAGATCACTCGAGCGAACTTTGCTGTCATATCTTCCTTAGTGATATGTCGTGGGTCACCTAACGGCCACACAATTCAGTAAATGGTAATCAATAATATAAGAGAGAAACGAATGTAAGTGAACGTACTGAGAGTATCTGGGGTTTTGGACAGGATCATTTCAGTAACGTATTCTAGAATATCCTTCTGACAGAATTCCAAAACACCCTGTCTTTTATCCTCTGAGAACACGATCTACATGTCCAATTTAAGAGGTTAAAAAAGCGAAGTTGCATAATGAATAGGTATGGTATGTACCTCAAAAGAATTTCTCGCGGCCCGTGCAACATCCGGGCTTTGATCGAACATGGTGATCAACCAAGCTCCAATAAACTCTTTCAAATGAGGGGCAAGTTTCTTCTTAGCGTTCGTCGATATCAGCAAGTGAACGTTGTTGGCAGCCAAACGCACACGTCGGTCGACTTCGATCGTAAGCTTCGTGTACATTTTCGTCTGTCATCCAAGATCGTTGTTAGCTCTTTTGTCGTTTTTTTTAGTATGTACCCTACCCACAACCGAACGTTTTTATCGTACCCACGAAGAAACAACGGCAGGAACTGCATCCTTATTAGCCTTCAAGTAAGCTTCCAACTCTTCGAGCGCCTTTAGCTTGGTAACAGCATCGCGTTTCGAGATTTTCTTCAAGATCACCACAAGTTCAGCGTCTAAGCTGTTAGCTAATGAAAGAGTGTCGACGTCGGATCCGGGGGTTGCGACAGGCGATCCGGGGATTGCGCTGGCGAATTGGGCAAATCCACCCAGATTCTGAAAGCTTAAAGCATTGACGCTGCCACTGCTCGCTAAATCTGCTGCGCGACTAATATATAGACGCACCACGTACAAGAGTGAAAAAAGAATTAGTTGAACAGGCAGGAAAGAGTTGATCGTCTGTAGTAGCCACAATGTTTCAATTACCTGCTACTTGCAGGCTTCAGGCCTTTAACTTTGGGTTGCTTTGGAGGTTTTCCCATTGCGATTGCGCGTAGAAGCAAAAGATCACAAAGCGTTCAAAAGAAGAACCTCGAAACAGAGAACTTAAAATACACAGACAGCCAATTTTCCAGTCCGACAGCGGTTTGAGTAGGATTTGATTACACAAAGTGTGCTTTATTATTATGCTTTAGTTTACAGAAAAAAATTATTACTGGTACAGATTTAGTAGATACCTGTAAGAAAACAAAGTATAAAAAGAAGATTAGATCTCATACATTATTGAAAGATAATTGTAGGTCGATGTAAGGAACAGAGCCTAACTTACCGGGAATGATTCGGGATTTGACAATACTGCAGTACTTATCCCAATCCTTGCCGTATTTGACGCGACAGCTATGATCGTCTCGTCGCTCTCGGTGGATCAACAAGATGGCAAAATAAATCGCATAAAAGTATGGCACCACAGATCCAAATCCACATGGCAAGCACCATGACAATGCCATCAGCCAGTCACCGAGATAGTTTATATGACGAGACATACCCCACCAGCTGGAAATGATAAGTTTGGTACCACGTTCAGTCTTCATGTACTTCAAATCTATGAGAGTTGAAAGCAAAACATCGTCATTAGCAGCTTGTATGTAGCGTTGTCAAATAAAACCTGAACTTACGCTTCACACTCGGAGATTCAGGATTATTGCGGAATGCATTCTTTTGTGAGTTAGCACTTCTGAAAATGAAATAGCCGAGGAAATTGAGACCAAGTACAAGTCCTAGTTCCAGATAGCTCATATCACGTGGATAGTCGACGAGATAGCGAGCTTGGATCGTGTAAGTCATTGGGACCCAAGTGTACAATCCAAACGCAAGCATAAAGCCAAAACCGTCTAATATATAACAAAACGAAAATAATAAGTTGAAAATTTTGGCACATCTGTCTATTAATGATGCATGTCTCCTTACCTGTCGTAACATCCATGGTAGTAAGAGCAGCTTCTTCGTTCCAAAGCGAATCAAGAACATAAAATGAGTGGAAGAACAAGATCAAGCCCATCGAATTGGTAACGCGGTCAAGGTCAGCATATTGCTTGACAGCAAAGCACACATTCAGAACAACCCATCCGATCAGTCCAGGTCGAAGTTCGGTGAAGAATTTGATATCGAAATCGCCGATGCGTGGGTTCAATTCTCTGCCTATCATATACTAGCGATATAAAAATAAGTATGTTAACCACTAGCAAACCCATGGGTGGTGGATAACGACAATAGTTCCCGAGATATGGATAACGTACGTCGTAAAGAGGGTTGCCTGTGTTGCCTCCGAGGGCCAAAAGTGCACCCGGTTTAAAGCTCTTGAGGTACACGTACAAGGAAATGATGTAGCTGAATAGAATTGACGCGACGACGAGACCGACCCAGTGGTTGTAGATGAAAAGCAAAGGCTCGATACTTCCGTACTGATACAAGAGGAAACCGCCGAATGCAAAGACGTTGTGGAAAGTACGGAAACCTACGCGCATAAACAGTTTCCATTCATAATTGGTTTCATTGCCTTGATATGCTTGAATTCTCTGCGGTATTCGCGCTTACCGTTCATACGGTATTTAAGAATTTGACCGTTTCGTAGTTTGGTACCGGGAACAACGTCACCGTCCAAAACTAAAGCGTAGATTACTAGAATAGTAATAAAACCAAGGTACACGAGGATGGCAACAGGGTCAATGAGCGTTTTCGCGAATTCCAGCGAGAACAAATCCGAAAAGTAACCCTTTGGGTCTGCCAACAAAAACTGCGATGGATAGCCGGTAGCATTGCAGCAGATCGCAAAGAACAAGACGAGCAGTGGCAAAGCTGTGACAAAACCAAAGGCTCCCACAGGTCCGAGAAACTCGTAACGAGTTGTTTTTGGATTCAGTTCTTCCCCACTCGAAGCCATTTGAAGTGATGAAGAAGGTTAAACAAGAAGAAAAGCACGCTTTCTGAAGTCTATTACGCGGAGTTCACTTATATACAAGACATACAATTCGGCATCAGGTGCCGAATGTCAATCCTACACTCGGCCTGTGCTGTCATAAGTTTTTCGTTTCCGCGCTGCGCAAGTATAGTAATGGAGTAAAAGTTAGTCCCACGCCTTCCAGCAGTTATAGAGATCATTTCCGAAACTTACAATCACGAAGGACACTGTACGCAGCTGAAATTTTCTGGAATTGGGCGGTCGCCTTCTTCTTTTCTTCAGGATCAGAATACCTGTCAGGATGATGTCTCATAGCAAGTCTAAAAAAGTTTCATAATCATGTCAACTAATCAATATCACCACCACAATTAATGGCGAATCCTAGCGTCCAGAGCTTTACCCTCGAAAAGCTGATTGGATATCCGCAGTTGTGGCAGTGGGACTGACACCCAACGTGTGGTAATAGCCCTGAGGATCGCTATCTGCCTCCGTTGATCTTGATGATGACGACGATGATGCTCCTCCTCCCCAGAACCTAGATTGTCGTTGGTAGTACTGATTCTCGGATTTCCAAGTTTTATAGCGCTGCTGGTCCTCAAATGCATCATATGCACCGACCCAATCTGTATCCCATGTATGTGGATCCTGTTCAGCAGAATGTATCTCTTGTTGTCGCTTCCAATCCCTGAATCTCAGCGAGATCAGAGGGAAATACATGGCAAGCATAGAAGTCATGACAGTCGGTAGCACAACGCCGATCTAGGGAAAATTACATTGCTCATTAGGTAATCTTTCTTATCCCTAGTCATTTGCATGATACCGTTTTTTTCTTACCCAGAACGATCCACTAATGCCACCCCAACCAACACCGCCTGTCATTGTCATGACTGTTGCCATACCAGCAGCAGATACTACAGCAACACGCGTCCAATCGTATGTGCGAATACCGCCGACGCGCAAATCATTTCCGTTTATAAATGTACGAAGATTGCGACCGAGATAATGGACGGTGTAAACGTACGCAGGATAATACACTGGTGCACATTTCACGTTTTCGAGCTTGACTTCGACTTTCACCAGGCGTGTTTGATCGGCGGCGTACACTTTTCTCAAATATGCATCGGCGTAGTCTTCTTCAGTCGACATAATGTACGATTTGGCGAACCGTACGGCTGTTGCTGGGTATAAGTTGAAGGGGTCGACGGTTCGGTTGACGTGATAATCGGAGCTCATATCAGGATATGCAGGTCGATCGAAAAGCTGTGGTGTAAAAGCAGTAGCTTCCTGTAAGCTTTGTCCACTGCGAATGGAATTCACTAGTCCACGCCTATATTTATGAGAGGCATATATGTGCAATCCTGGGTGCTCAATTGGAAGATAATCCCGTGTCCAACGGTACTGATCCGAGACCCAAGTCTGCGGTAATTCGTTATTTAATTGAATGTTTGTGCTGTTCTGTATCACACTTGAGTGTAGAGAATAGATACGTACCCACTGTGTATCATATCGCACTTCATTACGCTTTGTGGCTGGATTATACACATTCCTCATGACATTGTGGCCCTAGTGGTCGGATTATTCAAAAAAAACTGTCGGGCATATACTGAGCTGAAGGTAAAGCAAATACTCCAGTACATACCACTTGCGCTTGCACTATCTGAGCATGGACCCTGCAAGAAATAACCCAGAACGGTAAAAATATTTCTTGGGGTGCTCCTGCGTCGGTGACACGAGCAGAAAAAAATCCACTGCCGTGGTAATCTTTAAAAATCTATAGTAACCATTCGTCAAAGTGATGCAAATATAATCGCGTGATCTGAATTTGGTAATTTGAAAGGACCTTACACTGTTGGCAGCTTCAACGTGTTGCGTGAAAGGAATGGCACGGAGTTTCTCACGGGATGGACCTTTAGTCTTAGATGACAGGAATCGATACGTCACTCGCTGAACCTGATTTGGAGGCCAAGCATGTCGTTGCGATATTGTTGTCAAACAAGACAACATGATGGTTTAAGACAATCCGAATTGATATTAGTCTCCGAAGGAAAAACACACGCGTGTGAGCGGTAAAATTGCCGGGTACTGCATAAAATGTTCACTCCGCGTAAAAGCTAACCCAGGATAGCTACGTAAAAGATTCTACCCGGATGTTCTTTGACCCAAATACTGATGAATAAGTTAGCGTTTTCAAGTGGTGTGCCATGTGATATCTCAGTTTTGGGAAATATCTAAGAACCTGCACAAGGCGGAGTCCTAGGAACAATGGTTCCGCAATGAAAAGAATACTGAACCAAAATTTGCGGCGCCCAGTGTTTTTGATACGGCCGCAAACCGCAAATCCGCGCCGCAAATTATGCCTGTACGGCTAATGACTTTTCCGCTCATGGAGAAAGTGGCTGAGTGTGCCTGAAAAAGCCTAACCCTTCGTTCCCATTTCCTATTATCAGCGCAAATAAGCATGTCTTTCAATATACGTCAAAAGCGTAAACAAACAACAAAAGCCTATCGATTCTCGGATAAAGGGAAGAAGCTTATCAGATTGACAAGCACGGTCAATAAGTCGACTGCAAGTGATATAACCACGCCATTCGAAATTCGAGCATCATCACTGCCAGCCAATTCTTCTCCATCTGACGGATGGTCAACTGATGATGAGGCGGACGAAGTTGACGATCAGCCAAGACGTCAGACTGCAGCTGTTAAGCGTGCAGTACGCTGGTCTAGCCTTTTTCCTGCGTTGCTCAAAGCCTATAGAGAAGGGTATAAGCAAGCACCGGTCGCAGAGGCACTCGAGCCTGCCACCCATAAGATGTGTGGTTGCGCTGCTGATAAAAAAGCACACAAGGCTGTCACCTGTATCTTTAAGTGCGGTAAGTATTGTTTTTGGGATATTTTCGCAAAATTTAACACCCTTGTCTTATCTAGGTATTCGACAGTTTGACATCGAATACTGCAAGTCGTGCCCTGACTATGCTTTGCCTTTGGTGCTAATGCGCAGTCATATGATTCCTCTGACGCCAAAGGCACCCGGCCATGCAGTGCATATCAAGTTGATGCAGACAATCCACAATTTGCATTACATTTGCCGCGTCTCCGTGCACAATATTGCAAAATGGCTACAAGCAGATTTTGAGCAAGAGGTATTACTTTTTCTAGGGCAATCTTTCATCTAGCAAGCTTTTAAATATACTTTTGTTTTTTAGGTTCCTGCCTCTCTCAAGTCTCGCTTGAACGATGTGCTGCCTATATTTGGCAGAATACTTCTAAGCTTGAAAAAGCAGTTGAGGGAAGAGTTTGGCGTAGAGAACGATGTCTGCCCAGGTTGCAGATACGTGGTACTGTAGTGATTTAATTTTTTGATTTGAAGATATACAAAAGTATGCATACATATTTTAATGGTTGTCATGGTTAATATATGGTAGGAGCACGAAAAGACTGTAGCACTAGACGGAAACTTCCAGCTACGGCGCTTTCGCCATGTAAAGGATGTCCAGGGTATAAACTTTAAAGATGAAGAAGAAGTGAACATGCTCTGGGTTGACGATGAAAAGCTCATTCCTTATAATGAATCGGTAAGATAATATTCTGAGAGTCATGTAACAGTATCTAATACAGTTATATTGATTACATGTATAAGGCCAGAGATGGCTGTGCCTCTTTTGGCGCGCTTGAAAAGCAAGGCGGATCGACCAAGGGTCTTGATCAAACCGGTGCTTTTGCGTGTACCTGTGGTCGCCACGGCTTTCCACTTGCTATAGTCGATATGCGTAGCAAAGGCGAACGGTATTTAGCTTGCTGTTCCTCATTTTTGTCATCATGTATAAAGTACTCACTCTATGTACGTTTAGTTATACCTATGTTCTTAGTGTCTTGAAAAAAGTGACATACAACGAACTGTACGGAAACAACATTCGTATTATGTACGATGTTGGTTGTAAGCTACGAACTGCTTTAAAGGTACTACTTATAACTTACCTCATGTGCACGATGTCCACATCCTAACATAAGCTTCTAGAAAACACCAGAGTTGAAGGACATCGAAGATGTTCCCATTGCAGTCGGTATCTTCCATATTACCGGACACAATGCTGCTTGCCAAATTCAATTCCATCCTCGTTTGGTAAAAGGCTTTGGCATGATCGATGGCGAGTGGCTCGAGCGAATGTGGTCATACCTCAACGGTTTTGTATCCATCACACGTACTATGTCGTCTCTCAACAGGCGACTCACCCTTACTATTGCGCTCGACTTTTTCGCAAAAGAAAAAATTGACAACATTGGTACACGAACTTTATATAATGCCTAAAGACTTAGTATAGGCCCCAACTAACATTAGTATTTTAGGTATCACAATTCAGCGTAAAGAGCAGCGTGCCAAACAATTGCTGGACGATGCTAGAAAGGCCCTCCAAGAAGCAGGGTATCTTGATAAACTAGAGATCTTGCTAGCTAAATGGGAAGAGCATATAGCACTTGCAACTCAGGAACCTACGACCGAAACAGGGCGCATCAAAAAAAAGGTCGACAACGCGTACGAAATACTTCGTACAGCTGTTTCTATCTATGACATTATAGACCAAGCATTTAAGATACAAGGAAATGGTAATGTTATACATCTCATTCGTTCAAACTATAAGCATAAACTACTTACCCGACAAACGATATATATGTATATATATTCAAGGCCATAATCGCACGCAAAACCTTTCCGACCAAAAGAAGTCTGCCTTGGCAAAGGTTCAAAAATGCTTGGATGCCTATAACATTGTGGCTAGAAACCATTCAGTTATAGGTAAATTTTAACAGTATAGGTTGCTATGTGCAATGCGTACACATCACAAACTAAAAATTTCGTTTTACAGGTTTAAGCCCGTTTGATAACAGCGTTTCCAGCTTACTGGCAAAAAACAGCAAATTTAGAAAGCACGCCAATTTGTTATCAACGATGGGCGATGACCTACCCTACGATGCTCTTCATGGTTACCTCAGAGCCCAAGAAGAGTTAAAAATGTTGAGGGTATGTAAAGCATGAAATGGTTTTCGGGGGAGGGGGCTCCTAGGTACTAATGCAAATGCTATGTTATAGGAGGAAGCCATGTCGGTTCTGAAATACGGAAAAGAGCTCGTTCATAAGCTCACCGAGGCCACCAAAGGTCCAGAACTGTTTGATAATCTGTCGGACGAGGTTCTTGGAATGGCTGTCATCTGCAAGCAGAAGCTAGTAGAGGCTGAGCGTTGGAACGTGGATCAAAAACGCCGGCTTACTCGCATTGCTGCAGGTCTCCATTCTGTAGCAAGCAGTGGTAATGTCAGAGGTGAAGATGGCGAGGAAGTTGAGGAAGAAGCTGAAGATGAAGAATGTGCAGACCTTGCTCAATTCGAAAACTGGATTGAAAGCATCAATTAGATGAAAAGCAGCAAAACTCTATTACGTACACTTCTCTTTTTATACTACCTAGACCATACACACTGAAATATATTCACTGCCATATCTCATGCTTGCTTTTCTAATAGTTTATAGTGCACAGACAACGAGTACAATCATGAGATTGACAAGGTCATTATTATATGGTGAACAAAACCTTAAGACAACTGTTCTATATATTTGTCCTAAGGTAAGTACACTTTTAATGGATAAATAATACAGCAGTAAACAGGCAAGAGAAGAGCTTGTCACATAACAAATTTGCGCTATATATCAAGGTACTGTATCATGAAATTGATCGTAAACTTGTATATATTAGCACAATTGGATCAAATGGTGTATAGGGAGACACATTTACAATAATAATACCAAAGCATACAGGCCTACTATAATTCATTAGCTACCAACACTGAATAAAAACCTACGGTCTATCAAAACTTATATAGCAACCTACCTGTTGCTGCTGTCACTTTGTACTTGAATCTCTTTTGTTATCAGACAGAAAGAGCTTCATAGACTTACAGAGGAGAGCTACTGCGTTCTTTTTAGACCTCCAGCACCTCAGCACAAAGTAATGGATTGAATTGAGTTTTTAATATGTTGTAAAGTAGCGTTTCAGCATTCGGATGGTGCCAACTGATGAGCTATACGATCATTTTCTGTGGAGAAAAATATATTAAAGCTGAAAGGTATAGGTGAAAGATGAGGCGATTGTTGAAAAAAAGCAAAGGGGTTGTTGTTAACCTGTAGTTTTTGCTTAAAAACGGGTCGTTTCGACAATATTTCCGGCAGATTTTCATGTTTCTAGCCAAGTGTGTAAAGAACGACGAGACGAACACGATGATACCAACCACAATGCTTTACTCGAGTCTTATCGTCTGCAAAAAGGCAATTTTGTGGATAATTTTTCTTTTTGTTTTTGTAAGCCGCTCTTTTCGTGAAACGCTCCTTCCCTAAACGGTTGACGATATGGAAGTTCGTTTTTGATAACGCTGAGGAGCTGAACTCTACATTGTCGATCATATAATTTTGCTGCGATATTGGGCTCGCAAGTAAAAAAAAACTTG